ATCCTCTTAAGTGAAATAAATAGGACACACGTGTAAATACCAAATAGTTTCTCTAGTGTGAGAAACTGAGAGCGTAAATAAGGATACACATGGATGAAATTGCCTAATAACATATTTCTCGGATTGTGTTTCCATCGCGTGTACTATGAGTGTGTCAAAATTTAAATTAGGGAGAAGTTTGGCTTACGTGGAGTCTGCTAGCTAACTGGAGTTTTTTTCCAGACCACTATTTGTTCAATGTTGGTTTTGGGGATCTTTCTGAAACAAATTACATCCTCTGGTGTCTTGTTCGTGCTTGAGATGCTTTTTTAAGTTATATGGAAAAAATGTTTAAGTGCTTTTCAGTTTTGTTTTGGTTGATTTCTACTGTATTTGAATATTATTGTAGTTTTTTTCCCCTTGCATTGTTCTTCTTTGAATGGTTTTAATTTTTGCATGTGTGTGTGTTTGATAATAAAGTTATTTTTTTTAAAAAAAGAATCTCAAGGAAAATAAACACAAAACTAAGCTGGAGAGACCTCAAAAAACTATTGAAAACAAGAAGACAACTTGGAGAAATCAGGAAAATCAGATGACCTGCAAGGGATCAGTGTAAACAACAGCAAGACTGGACAGAGGCGTTCAGAGGCAGAACACAAGGAAGTGAAGTCTTCCATACAGTCAAAGACAACAGCTGCCTATCTGAGCTTGTGTATCCTTCAAATATATCCTCCAATATTAAGGTGAAATAAAGACATGATTGTGAAAAACAAAAAGAGACATTGATCATCAGCAGACCCTCGTTAGGGGAAACAGTGCCTCTCAGGCAAGACAAGGGGGCAAGAGAGAATTAAACAAAATAAAAACAGTGATTACACAGGCACAGCTAGACTGCTTCTATGCCTTAGAAACAATAGTAATAACAATAGTAATAATAACAGTAAAATGGAATTAAGACATATAAAATTGAAAACCAAAAAAGCATATCAATGAGGTAGAAGTAAAAGATTTCTAAAAGTTTACATTTCCTGGGACGAGGGAAAGGCATGTCAGGGTAAAGAGCATAAGAAAAGTGAGACATATACAAAACACACATATACTGATTGAAAATAGAAAAATGAGAAAGTAAACAGGAAAATTGAAGAACAAGTTAAAAAGGAGAAAACATAGTAAACAGTAAGATAGTAGATATAAATTCAAATATACTAACAATTACATTAACTTCACAGAATAAATGCTCTAAAGAAATCAGGAAAATTGTGAAATAATGTTAAAATATCTATTACCTCTTTTAGGATACACTTAAAACATAAAATTACATAAAGTTAAAAATTAAGAAACTAGGGCCAGGATTTAGCTCAGTGGTTCCGCTGCCACCTGCCTTGCAAGCGCAAGGTCCCAAGTTCGATTCCTGGTACCAAAAAAAAAATTAAGAGACTAAAAATAATAAACCCTGAAAACACAAACTCAATAAGACCTTGATCTACATTAACATAAAAGTAGAATTTAAAGATAAAATAATTAACAGTGATCATCATTTCATCATAATTGAAGGTTAAATTCACCAGCGAAGTGTACATTTCTAAACTTGTATGCATCTAAAAGTGTCTCAAAGTATGAAAAGAAAAAATGGTTTCAAGTAAACTACAAAATAACAACTAATTCATAATAAGTCATTCTCTATACTAAATAGTCAGTAAACAGTCAATAAAACTAAAGATGTAGATTGAAACATCATCAAAACTAATTGGACCTAACCGATATACATGAACGTTGAAACCAATAATTGCAAAATGTGCGTATTTTCTAGCACACAGTGAAGGTTTCCAAAATTACTATACACTATGCAATGAAGCAAGTCCCCCCCAAAGTTAAGGGATTGTGCTCAACCTTTTCAATAGAAGAAAACAGACACAAACAAATATACTTCACCACCACCATCAAAAAAAGTTCAAATTCTCTTACTTTCACACCCTTTGGAAACTGCCCATGTCAAATTTTCCTGACAGATGGCAGCCTGAGGCTCATGCGGAGCTGGTCGATAGCCAGGCTTGCACTGATATTTCACCTGTGTCCCAATCACAAATGCTTCTTGATTCCTTATGGTAAACGGACTTCTCTCCCAGGAAACATAGGGGACGTCTGGTAAGACACGACAACCATCTGAGCATAAGGAGAGCAGGAAGGGGGAGAAATGGCAGAGCAATCCATGACACTGGTACAGAAAAATGACATTATATTCATTCAGCAAGCAGCCGGGTGACAGAGACAAACTGAGAATGCCAAGAAGACTCAGCAGCCTCACTGCCCTGAAGACCAATGGAGAGCACTAAGACCGGGGCTCTGGGGAGGCTGTCGTGAGGGACAGGCCATGGGGCTGAGCAGAGCTTCGTGTGTTGCTCCAACCATATGGTACTGTAGCTCTGCTTCTACCGCACTGCACATGGCACAGCCCATCTTTGGGGAAGCATTAGGACCACTGCTCCAGGATGAGACTAACTTTCAGATCTCTCTGCCAAATGGGGCATTAAAATAAGAGACATCCCCCTGGTCATTACAGCACTGCCACCACCCAAACTGCAGAAGTGGCCAGAAAAGCCCCTGTGATCTTTGTGTATTAGCTTTTGGTCTTGTATTTCCATCTACTCAATCAGTACTAATGGTTCGTGTACATTAAAGAGGGCACACATGTCTATCAAGCTACTCATTTATTAAACTTTATCATTACACATTTAAATAATACCCAGCTCTTATCAAGACAGAAGGGAATAGACAAGCCACAATGTGTGGTGGCTTCCCCACTGATTAACTATGTGAACTTATGATAGTTGCTTAATGTCTCTGTTTTCTCATCCCTGAAATGTGATACAGACAGTAGCTATCTCTTAGGAGTGCTGTAAATATAAAATGATTTAATTAATATAAAACTCTTAGAACAGTGTTCAGTGTGTAGGAAAGTTTAAATAAAATATTAGCAATATTAAGGTTAGGAGTGACCTGTATATATTTACAATGTCAAATGTTGAATCATGGAGACTAATGTGGCTCGAGGAACATCTCTGTATAAATTAGAGAAAGGAGCTGTCTAGAAGGAATTTCACTTCCATCGTCCAACAAATACTCAGGAATTGGGGATTTTGTTAGGAAGAGGAACTTTACCAACACCTGTGTGAAAACTTTTGTATTAAATATATAATCAACAATATCAGCAAAGTCACTGGTGTGACAAGTATATGATATATACAAAATCCTTCAAATAATGCTAAAAGTTTACTAACAATCTTGTTTCTAACAAGAAACTGGGGAAAGTATAGATTTGATGCTTCCTGGGATTAAAGTGGGCTGTGCCTGTGACCATGCCACCGCCATACTTTTGAATGACTTCAGGTGGGACGTACAGCTGGCCTGCGGTCACTACTCACTGGGCTCACAGGTGGGAACAGAAGGGTACCACTTGCTGTTAGCTTCACAGTGGATCACACTGCTGCCCCTGAGGATGTAACCTTTGTTGAAGCTAATCACGAGAGTGTCTTGGTAAGGGTAGAAGAGTCCAAATCCAGAAAGAACTGTTCCCTTTGGAATATGTGGGTGATGACAGATGATTTCTAAAGAAGTATAGAAAAAGACGTCAGAGTATAAAAGAGAAATGACAATAAAGATGTGATGACAAATGTTGGTATGGCCCCAAGGAAGACAAGATATGAGTTCACACCAAGTGGATACAAAAGAAACATTTTAGATTGAGTTTGAAATGTTCTTTCATTCCTTAGGGTGCTCTGGAAACTGAGGACCCATCATGTGGGTCATTATAGATAAAATCCTCTAACCTTGTCTTCAGTAAAAACTGGCAATGTTTAAACCTGGAAGCTAGGAACTCACAACCCTCCAAAAGGCTGAAATGACAATGACATGTGTCACTTCCAGGTCAAAGAGTTTAAGAGCCAGGGATTGACCCTCATTGCTCTCTTCCCCTGCTGAAATGATTGTGGACATTTTGACATAGAAGTGTTAGAAGACTTAACGGTCCTGGTTAATACCCTGGGGAGTTAGCCATGCTAACAGTATGTTAGGAAGGAGCTTGAAAATCTTGTGGCCATAAAAACCACAGGAGATTTTGCTGTATAACATTAATCAAACAAAGAAATTGTTACAATGCTGAATTTGTCTTTACGTTATTCCATTTATGCCGGTAAGTACATCTACCCTTTTCTCTTAAACAAAGGAGTACAAACACTTCCAGTGCATCACTGTCACTTACTTTCACAGGTAGGAGGGCTTGGGCTCCAGACACCTACTGTTTTATTCACCACCACACAGGAAATGGAGGCGTTGCCTACAAGGGAGTAGTTGGGGTCACAGCTGTAGGTGACCGAGGAGCCATATGTGTAGAGGTCTTCATCTCCACCACTGTGTTTCCCATTGCTGATGTCTGGAGGGGACTCACATTTGACAACTGACATGAAAGAGTGAAGAGAAAGGCGTATAATTAAAGAAGGCACTGTTGCAGATCTAAAGTTCCTGCAGATTCATAGGAAGGACCCAGGAGGCAGAGAAGATGCACAGAAGTGTTACCCCTGATATAGGTTAGGTGTATGGCAGAAAGACTCTTTACTTACTCATGCATTATGGGAGAGGATAGCTCCAGTCAACTGCTTTACCCTGGCTCTCACACTGACTAGTTGCTGAACCAACGAGGCTGTATCTGAAAGAACAGGTCAAACATTTCAGTGGGATTTATCTTGTAACAAAAACAAGGATTGCTTAGCACATTTTCAACAAATGGAATTTTTTCATTATTCATTCATTTATATGTGTTCGTGATACACACTGGCAGGTTTCATTTTGGCATATTTGTACACGCATGTAAATACTTAATCACTCCCCCATTCTTCCCTTCTCCTTCCCTATCTCCTCTTCCGATCTCTTCCGTCTTCTCTAACAGGCTCCCTTCTACTTTTACACCATCTATTCCCCCATTTTCCTAACATGAGCTTAAACATGTGCAAGTTGATGTTCTCATTTCACTTAACATAATTTCTCCCACTTTCCCGCAAATGACATGATTTTGAAATATTTTTCTTTATTGCTGAATAACATGTATTGTGTATATATACCACATTTTCTTCATCTGTTCATCTGTTGAGAATTATACTTCAAAAAATATGAGTATTCAAGTATCTCTACACTATGCTGACTTTAATCCTTTTGAGAAAATACCAAAGAGTGGTAGAGCTGAATCAACGTATAGCTCTATTTTTAGGGTTTTTTTTTTAAAGAACCTAATTTCCTACTAATTTTCACAGTATCTTTACCCTGCATCCTTACCATGTTTTTTGGATCCTCCATGATAGCTATTTTGGGGTTTGGGGTTTTTTTTTTCTTTTTGGTACCAGGGATTGAACTAGGGACCTTGCACTGGCAAAGCAGGCAGTGGAACCACTGAGCTAAATCCCTGGCCCATGATAGCTATTTTGATTGGGGTGAGATGGAATCTCAATACAATTTAGACTTGCATTTCCCTGATGGCTAGAGACATTCCACATTTTTCCTATATTTATTGGCCATTTGTACTTAAGAAAAGTGTTCAATTCTAATGATTGGGCAATATATTTGGGGGTTTGGGTGTTAATTTTTTATTCATTTTAATATTCTAGACATTAGCTCTCTAATAGAATAGTAGCTGGCAAAGATTATATCCCATTCTTTGGTTGTCTCTTCACTGTGTTTATTGTTTCATTTTCTGAGCAGAAATTTTAAAAATTTGATGTAATCTTACATGTTGGTTCTTGCTATTATTTCCTGTGTTATTAGAGTCCCATTCAGGAGTCTTTGTCTGAACCTATGATTTCAATTTTTCTCCTCCATTTTCTTCTAGGAGTTTCAGAGTTTCAGGTGTTAGATTTTTGATCCATTTTGAATGGATTTTTGTACAATGTGAGAGATAAAGATCTAATTTCAATCTTTTATATATAGATACCTAGTTTTCCCAGCACTAGTAATTTAAAAGGCTCTCTTTCTTTCAACATAAATTTTTTGCTCCTTTGTCCAGAATCAAATGGCTACAGCTGCTTAGGTTTCTTTCTATACCCTTTATTCTACTGGTCTATGTGTCTATTTTTGTGTCAGTACCATGCTGTTTTTATTACTATGACTTTGAAGTGTATTTTGAAATAGAGAATAATCCATCTTTTAATGTCTTTTTTCCATTTCTTTCTTCATTATTCTGTAATTTTCACTGGAGAGGACTTTCACCTCCTTGGTTATGTTTATTCGTAAGTACTGTATTTTTTGAGCTATTGTGGTTGAAATTATTTTCATGATTTCTTTCTCAGAAGGTTCATTATTGGTGTATATAAAAGCTATTTATTTTTATGCTGATTTCATATCCTACCACTTTGCTGAATTTGTTAATCAGCTCTGAAAGTCTTCTGGCAGAGTTTTAGCATCTTCTACATAAAGAATCATATTATCTGAAAATAGGGATAATTTAACTTCTTCCTTTCTTATTTGTACCACTTTTATTTTTTCTCTTGTTCTGGATGAAATTTCAAGTACTATATTGGCCAGAAGTGATGAAAGTGGTCATCCTTGTTTCATTACTGAGTTTAGAGGAAGTACTTTCAATTTTTGCACATTCTGTAAGACGTTGCTTGTGGGTTTGTCATAGATAGCTTTAATTGAGGTAAGATCCTTCTATACCTAGTCTTTTAAAGTTTTTATCATGAAGTAGTGTTGAATTTTGTCAACAGCTATTTCTGCATCTATTGAGAGGTCATGTTGCCTTCATCTTTGGTTCTTCCTATGTGGTGTATTACATTTTTTGATTTAAGTACACTGAACTATTCTCTATCCTTGCATTGCTGGGATGAAACCAACTTGATCATGCTCTATGATCATCCCTTTAATGTGTTATTTGATTCTGTTTGCATGAATCTTGAAGATTTTTATCTATATCGATCAAGGATATTGGTCTATTGTTTTTGTTTTTGTTGATATCAGAGGTATGTTAGCTTTGTAGAATGAATTTGGAAATGCTCCTTCCCTTTCTATGTCAGAGAATAGTCTGAGGAGCACTAGTGGTAGTTCTGTAAAGATCTGGTAAAATTCTGTGGTAAATCAATCAGGTCCTCGGCTTTTCTTTGTTTGGAAATATTTTATTACTGCTTCAATCTTATTGCTTGTTATCGATCTTTTTATTTTATATGCACTTGGTGCAAGTGTGGTAGGCCATATGTATCTAGAAATTTATCAAGTTTTTCTAGATTTTTCAATTTATTAAATATAAGTTTTAAAAATACTCACTAATAATCCACTTAGTTTCAGTGGTATAGCAGGTAATATTGTCCTTTGTGGTGTTTATATTAATTTGGGTCTTTTTCTTCTGGTTCACTTGGTAGGGCTTATCAATTCTGTTTATCTTTTCAAATAGCCAATTCTTTCTTTCACTGATCCCCTGCATTGTACTTTTAATCTCCATTTCACTAATTTCAGATCTGATTTTATGATTTCTTTACTTCTATTGGTTTGGGCTGTGTTTGAAGAGTTCCCCATCTATTGCTCTCACTTCTCTGCTCCTCAGCTGCCAGGAAGGGAGCATATTTATGACCCAAAGCAATGAGGCCAAGCAACCCTGGACTGAAACCTCCATACTCAGGAGCCAAAGCAAGTCATTCCTCTTTTAAAATGTTTGATCTCAGGTACTTTGTCGCAACACACAGAAGCATAATGCAACCCCAGATCTCCAACCACCCAGGCCAAGTTCAGAGGACAACAAAATATAGGAAAATCAGAAGCTAGTCACCTGAATTTTCTGAAATGGTAGCAACAGAAGTAAAAAAAACAAACCAAAACACAGGCATTTTGTCACAGCAATGGGAAACTAACAAGCACAATACTCATAAACACACAGAGAATGAAGGAACCCTTGGTGCATGAAGGTCAAAGATCTTGAGTATGTATTTGTCTTAGTTCCAGCTGCTGTAACAAAATGCGATTGGCTGCATGGGTTGAACAGTACAAATTTCATTCTCATAGTTCTGGGGTCTGGAAAGTTCGCGATAAGGGTGCTAGATGGTTGGGCTCTGGCATACGATTACTTCTTGGTTTTCAGATGGCTGTCTTCTTGCTGTGGCCTCACATGCACAATCAGCAAGCTCTCTCAAGTACCTCCTTTAAAAGCCAGGAAGTCCTTCATGAGGGCTCCATCCTTATGACTAGTGGCCCCCTAAAGACTCCTACCTCCAAATACAATCACATTAGAAATTAAAGCATAAGTTTGGGGAACACAAACAACACTCAGTCATGGCAATTTTGTCAAGAGAAAAAAAGCAAAAGGAAAATTCTAAACAACATACTCTGTCTGATATCTTCTTTGTAAAAGAAGGACATAAATATTGATAAAAATGTCTGTGCTCACTTGGGTTTACTTCAGTCTTGCTAAGAGGATAAATCAGAAACTAAAGTCACTTCCTGTCAGAAGGCAGAGAAGAACTGGATGAATGAGACTTAGGGGAAATGAGAATTTTTGATGTGTACATTAGCACACAGTGTTTACTGTTGTTGTTGGGTTTTTTCCCCCAGAACTGGGGATTGAACCTAGGGCCTTTGCTCTGACCTACATCCCCTGCCTTTTTTAGGTTTTATTTTTTTATTTTGAGACAGCATTTCTCTAAGTTGCTCTGTTTCCCAGATTAAACTCACACTTGCAGGCCTCCTGCCTCAGCCCCACAGAATGCTAGGACTAAAGGCTCATGTGAGCCACCTTGCCTGTATACAATTTTGTTCTTGAAACATATGAATGTATTAACTCTGTACAAAAAATTAACTACAAAAATAATCTTCTAGTTTTCCTTCTACTCACCCCTTTGAGCAGCTGAATTCTATGGTTGAACCAAAGAGCAGATCAGTTATAATTTCTACTTTCCCATTGGCTAACTCTCCTGGGTGTCTGCATCGCCTGTCTGAAGGAAAATGGAACTGGTGATTAGAGGCTACCAATAATCACAAGCTATAACATTAGAAAAAATGTCTGGTTAATTATCTTTCAGATCGATCCAGAGTTATTTTTCAATACATGTTTCTGATTCTGACTCATTTAATTTTTACTATGAGGAAAAATAAAAAGTATAACTCATTTTTCTAACATGTTTTTAAAAGATGAAAAACTACCTAATTTCATTTAATTAAACCTCTGTGATAATACAGGATGTGGTATATTGACCAGTTATTCACATAAGTTTATGCTCTCAAAAATGTACATCTTTGGTCATAAAAAATAGACAAAAGGGGAAATAGATTCTATGCCCTTTGTGTTGGAAAAATATTTCATTATGTAACCCCAATTGACTTTTTCCAAATAGTATAGGTGATATTAACTTTTAAGACCATTTGCTCAAAGATTTTCCTATGAATTAAGGAATTTATTAAAGAAAAGTAAAGCACAATTGAGAAGAATAAATGTTGGCAATTACTGGCACAAAAGACATTGTAGATCCATGATCCATTAATATCGCAAATAACGTAGCTTGAGTTGACTCTCCAGTAGCCGCGGTGGCAGTTGTATCTCAGAGCAATTCCAGTTGTGAAGTTTGTCCCATATGACTGCATGGCTGGGGACGCAAAAGGAAGAGTGGGTGGAGGACCACAGTCACCTGGATACAAAAGCGACAAGGACAACCAGAAGTCACACCTCCAGACAGAGGCGTTGAGAACGAACGAGCAGTAAGACTTTCACAGCAGAGACCGTGTTTCTCTTACTGCGACTCTTTGGCTCCAAAGTTCAGTGAACACCGTAAGTGATCAGCAATGCATGCTATTCGATGAACCATAACAACAACAATGATTTTAAAAGGCAAAAACATGTTCGTCTATTCTTCCTTGAATAGGTGATAATTTGTCAAAACTGGCTGGGGAGCTCTTAATTTCATTGTTCTCTCAGATTGCTCACTTCTGCCTGCCTACTCACGGGACAATCACCTGTGTGAGGCCATTTTTCACTATTTCTTCCCTCAGTAAAAACGTATCATATCAGTAATATCATTAGTTATATCTGGAATTCGAGATGAGAAGGAACTATCTTAATTATGTTCTCTTGGATTTCTTTTTAATTTCAATTAGATTGCCTACTCCAACATGAAAATGTTTTTCAAAGGCATCACAATGTGAGAATACATTAACCCTTGGAAAATAAAAACTTAAATCTATTTCTCTAGCAAGAAATAAAATTTTAAGTTCCCTTCCAGAGGCCCCAGCAGAATTATCTACATCTGCCCTCCATTCTGACACATTAGCAATGACTGTTTTTCACAGTCAAGTTGACAGGTAACATATTTATTTCAAGTCGTGATTTCTTTGCAGTTAGGTTGTTTCAGGCGCTTTGAGAGGAAATTCTAAAAGGGAAAATCAAGAATATCTATGAAACACCCCTTAACAGCGCCTATAATACCAAATTTCCTGAAATTCCTGGCTGTTAAATATTCCCAAGATGTGAAACACAGATATCTATCTGTTCGACATCTCTTGCAGAAAGGCCTGTGATGAACCCATGAGGAGACAGCAGCCCAGATGATCTCCCCATTACTCACCAAGAGCAGGAGCCAACAGAGCAGCTACCAGAATAACTTGGAACAGAATTGGATCAGAGACTGTCCACAGCCTGGGGAACATGCTGGCTCCCAGTTTTCCCTTTTTGGGAAAGGTGGAGCCCTCCGGGAATGCACGCGTAGTAGCTCTTGGGGAGCATGTGATCCGACTCCTCTTCAGTATGTTTCTGCTGAAAAACTCAACAGTAGTCTTGAACTCCTATTTGTCATAAAGTACTAGGAAAAAAATCACATGGGAACCATCTTCAAAGAAATTGCAATCAAATAAGTAAGAAAAAGCATTAAATACAAATACATACAATAAACAACTGCTTATACTATCGGGCCCTGGAGCCACTTAATTCTACATGAGAGGTAGCCTGGGCCTCTGGTCCATACTGCTGTGAAATTAGGAGGATGAGCATAGGCCGTTTTATGCCAAAAGTAAACACCAAGTGAAAACACAGCAGTGAGAAGGTAAAGTTACTCCTGGGAAATAATCATCAGCAGTTCAGTTTTCTTGGAAGTTAAGGAATGTTGGTAGGGAGGTGAATGTTTACAACAGGCAGATTCCAAGTGGATTTGAATGAGGTTTCAGTGTCAGGATTGGGAGTTTGGAATCAGAAAATGGAGAGTCATTTTCATTTATAAATGTGTTTGTTTTTGAGTGAGATCATTACTGTGTTTTGAGGAGATCACTATGGCAGATGTGTTCAAGGCAGATTGGAGGCAGAGAAAGGTCACAGGGAGGTTGATTAAGGGGACCATTGGAACTGGCCAGGGGTGCCTGTAAGACGATCTGAATAAGCAAATGACACAGGAGTTACACAAAAGGGAACAAATGTAAGAAAAGCAAGAAAACAACGAGGCAGAGGACTAGAGTTGGAGACCCATCTACAGTACCTATTCATCTGCAGCATCTGCCCATCTGCCTGCCTGGACCAGTTTGTCATGGCAACTGTCAACAAAAGCAGCCATATGCTGAGACAGTTCGGAATTTTCAAAGCATGGTTTGTCACAAAAAATAAAATAAAATAAAGGGAAAAAAGGAAACTTACTCTTACCTTTAGGTTTCTTGGTCCTGGTCATTCATTAATCAGAGATTTTTTCTCTGATTAATGCAAAATTCTTATAAAGTCCTTCTTATCTCCTATATGGAAAAAAATCCTCACAAATTATAACTTTCCTTAAGAAATTCCTAAAACCCAAAGTGATATATGAAAGCAATGATATACATGATCCCACCTTCACTCTAAACCCTTAGGTGGACCGAAATGATTTCTACCACCATCTCTCCTTATTTGTATAAATTGTGGGCACAAATCTACTCACGGCAAGTCAGTCTTCCTGTGGTCCTCACCAAGCTGTCCCTGCCTACTTTGTGTGGGACTGAGAGAGGGGAGTTTGAGGTACTCCTCACTCTACATGCAGCAGCTCCCCTCATTTACTGAGCAAGATCTCACGCCAGACTCTCAACATTCTAAACCTCCCCACGCCAGTGCCGCTGATTGTGACGTCACACGTTTCCAGAGAGAAGCGGCACAACCTCACTCAACTGTAGGCTTTGGAAGTTAGGTCTTCTGGATCACACGCTCCTCCCTCCCCCTCCCCTTCCCCTCCCCCTCCCCCTCTCCCTCTCCTAGGAAACCCAGTTTACTTCCCATTCCTACTCCCAGAAATTGGAGGTGGACAGGAACATCAACGAACACACTTACATTTCAGGATCCGTAAAAATGAGATATACGTGTAACCTAATGTATGTCTTACTTCATTGGTAAACACTGTTAGTTCTCCATTCATAAGTTAAACAGCCAACTAACTCTAACTCTTCAACAATATATACTTTCCATGTCACAAAACTCATTTTCTTTCTACTATGAAATGTAATAATAATCCTGAAACAATTTCTGATGAACAGATATTTGAAACTCCCCCTCCTGCTCATCCTCCCTCCCTCCCTCCCTCCCTCCCTCCCTCCCTCTCTCTCTCTCTCTCTCTCTCTCTCTCCTCTTCTTTTGAATACTGCGCTCTCCAAAGTGACAAACACTAACATTTTCCCCAGGGTCATCTGAGTATTTAGTCTATCACCAAACTGAAGGAATCTGAGCAAGTAGAAGACTCCTAGTGTCGCCTCGGTTTTGAAGCACCTTTGATTGCCGGCATTCCTAGCCCCTCCCTAAAACAGAATTTACCTCAACATTCTCTCCTTTCAGGCAAATGCTCTGCTAAAAACTCCAAGTTCTGGCGATGTGATTGGCAGCTGTATGGCTGGATGGGGATGAGTGGGAGTGAATAAAGACTAATTTGTTGTCACTGCAAATGATTAACTGCAAAAACAGAAAAAGCTGCAGTGTGTAGTCAGTCTCTTCCTTCCCCTGAGCTAGTCTTCAAATTTTGTGAGATGTGGTGGTGTTTGTTTTCTCCTTTGCCTCCCCTTACCCATAAAAAGCAACAAGGAAGATGATAGGTCTCCCACCACCTCAGCAGCTATCATGTATAGTAGCTGCCCTCTTCCCATCGTGCCTTGCCCCCTCCCCTGTGTGACGTCATGCCAAGATGGCTGCTCCCACCAAAGGATAAACCCTTCTTCCCAGCATGCCCCTGTTCCCGCCTAGAGAGTAACCTAATACTCGCTCACCTCCTACCGCCTAGTGACATCACCAGCTCCTCCATTCCCTAGTCACTACCTCACTCAACCCTACCTCAGCCCCACCTCAGCCCCACCTCAGCCCCACCTCAGCCCCACCTCAGCCCCACCTCAGCCCCACCTCAGCCCCGCCTCAGCCCCTACAAACCCCACCCCAGTCTCTATAAAAGACTCTCCCTGCCCTAGCCATATTGCTTTTGTCTCTCCTTTGTTCAGAGACAGCCCGGCAGATCTATTCCCCTAATAAAGGCTTGTTGTGGCCTGGTCTGGTCTTGGTCTTCGGCCTTTTACCTGACAGAAGATGGCCCTCCTGACCTATCAGACGCGCACACACACACACACACACACACACACACACACGCATTTGTGGATTCAGCCAACTTCCAGTGATGCACAAAGTAGTTGGGCCTATTATGGTTATGCCTGTATTGCATATGTAAGACTTCTTTTCTTGTATTTTTCATTATTCAAAACATAATAACTATTTACATAACGTTTAAATTGTTTAAGAATTATAAGTGATCTAGAGATGATTTAAAGTATGTGGGAGGGTACGTGTAAGTTATATGCAAATAGTTTACCATTTTTCATATAAACTTGAGTATCCTCAAATTGGACACCCAAAAATTCAATCCCCTTCAGATACTGAGGAAAAATATTGCACAAAATATAGAGATGGAAATGAGCAAAACTAGACAATGCGTCCTCTCGGTCCTGGGGTCCCATCCTTTTTGTTGAAGGACGAGGGCATTCAGACCTGACCCCTGATTCATCAGAATGTGGCAAAGTTGAAAGGCCAGCTCTTATGATTGAGTTTAAACAACTGTAAACAATCCTCAGATTAGGTCCAACTTCACCAGAAGTGATTCACATGGTGAATACTAGGGCCACAATTTTAGGGAGTGTTAGCTTTTCACCACTGTGACCAAATACTTGGCAAACACAAAGGGGAAAGGTTTATTTTGGCTCATGATTTCTGTCCAAGGGCAGATAACGCCACAGCAAAGCCGTCATGGCGGAGGGCTTGGTTGAGCAAAGCTGCTCACTTCACAGCAGCCAGAGAACAGAACAAGAGCAAGAGACAGCGCAAAGGTCCACTTCAGAGGTGCGTGCCCATCACCTACTGCCGCTGCGTAGGCCCCGCCTCCTAACAGCACACTCTGCATCCTTGCACACCCGGCCACCGAGTGCCGCGCCCCAGAGACAACGCCTGCTCCAGGGCTCTATTCTGTCTGCAGGCCCTCGAGTCACCGCCAGCTGCAAGGGCCCTGTCCCTCATCGTGTTCTCAGTGGTTGAATTTTGCCTGGTGACTGCAGGCCAACTCTGGTCCAGCCAACCAGCGACCTTCCCCAGTATCTAGTGACTGTACAGAACAGCTACATGTCTTCAAATGAGGTCAAATCCCTCCCTTAGAATGCCCCTTCCCTTTGAATTTGTCCCCTTTGAGTACCTTCCCTCAGCCCAAGGGTACCGTACCCATTTCCTCACATTCCCATAGTTACTCTTTATCATATTAACCCTCTTTGTTTCAGTGCTTGTGTGGCTTCTATCTCCTGATCTAAACTATGCATATATATTCTGATATCATCGAAAACTTGTAGTAATCAGGTTTTCAATTTAGTATGTGGGCAGATGGAATAAGTCTATAGAAAAAATTATAGAAATATATTTTTAAAATTATATTACTCCATCCAGATTATTTATTTAATGAAGATTGAATTCATTGTATCTTTAAATCTGTAAACAGGTTCATTATTAGTATCAGAAAGTCAATTATTTAAAATGGACAGAAAAATGATACTAGGAATATATCTTGATTCACAGAAATTTTAGAAAAAATATTTTCCTTATACAACTATAAACTAGCTGGACAATGGAAATAGATGCTTTCTAGTTGTAACATTTTTGGGGGGGGCGTACCAGGGATCGAACTTGGGACCTTGCATAGTTGTAACTTTTTATATAACCTCTACCAGTGTCTTTCTTATGTTTATAAAACCTGGAATTGAAATAATTCACTTATCTTCCTATGGTCAAAGAATGTAATTTGGCAGCAGATGTTTTACAGTTGACTTCTCTTTGGCAGAACTGAACTTTAGGTCCTAATTAACATTTCATATATTATACACTGCTTACTCATAGCATAATTATTCATTGCCAACATAGGCAAACCTCTGAGTAAAAAAAAGATGAATTGGTCCTACTGGTAAGGAAGTCATTTCCCTGAAGACAGAGGTGAACGCAGCTGTCTTGCCTTCTAAGGATAGGAGGGATCAGCTCAGGAAAGAAAGTCCTCTTGGGACTGGAAAGTACTGTGGCGGAAATAACCAAAGCCTGAGGAGTGGTGGGAGCAGAGAATTCAGAGGTAACATCAAGGCAGAATCTCATCTTCCTTGGTAGAAATTTCAGTTGTAAATTCAAGTTATAAGCAGGCCAAAGGCCAAAAGGTAATGCCTGGAGAAACCACAAAGGACACCAGCAAATGCCCATATTTGGAGACTCCTCTCCTTGCACTGGCCAGGAGACAGGACACCCCAAAACTCAGTACTTCAGGCCAGGTAGAAGCTCATTTTTCTTTCATGTCACAGTTCAGAGGCAACCCTGCCCCCACAATCCATAAAAGTATTCACAATGGTCAACAGAACCTCCCACCATGGGAAACCAAGGGACAGCTCCTTTTCCTTTGTCAGCTCAACCCCTCTTCCCCCAAAGCTGTCCTCCTCAACAAGGCGGAAGCTGGTTCACCAACCAGTCAGCATTTTGGTCCTCAGCAACCGGAAAGAAAAAGTGAAGAACAATTTGCATGTATTAGGAAGTTACTCCAAGGGAAGGTCTAGCTAGCAGCCCTGCTGATATTTAAAATGGTGCAAGCTGTTCTGTACTTAACATACAAGTAGAGGTTAATATAGGAGAACAATTACCAGTCTCTGCTGTATGCACCATGTAATTTAAACAGCCTCACTCCCAACTTCCACCTGCTCACTATGTGTTTCATTTCACCTGTTTTTTCCAGAACCACTGACGGCTACTCTGATCTGCACAAGGAAGCAGGGCACAAGGAAGGTATTTAACATTTCCAGAAGCAGACTTCAATTAAAGACAGACAGAAGTTACTGTGTAAAGCCAGCTCCTTGTGCTGATGCATAACACTCTGGGATGTGATTTCAACATCTTCACTGGTTCCCTCGGTATGAGGCTATAGTCATCAGTACCAGCTTGATAACATATCTTTTTGAGCTGTTCTTTCTTCCCCATCTCCTCCCTTTCTTCTTTTGGTGTTTCCTGCACATCAAGAACAAACTACTGACACTTTACTTCTTGTTTCATGGTCTGCTCTTAAGAACACTTAGACTAAGGCCATGTGGGAGAACAATGGGCTCTGGGAGAAAGATTGGAACATCTTCTAAAACATTTAGGAAGATGTGGAAAGAGAAATGTAGACAACAAAGCAAGTGAGCAAGCAAACATCACTTGAAAGGACATTAAGGGGCTGGGGATTTAGCTCAGTGGCACCGCGCCTGCCTGGCAAGTGGAAGGTCCTGAGTTCAATTCCTGATACCAAAAAAAAAAAAGGACATTAAGGACACCAGACTAAAACAAAAGAAAGGAAACATGCTCACAGAACACTTTTGGGATTAATGCAGAGTCATAACATATGAAAGTTATTGTTGATTTAACCAAAATTGCATAGTAGTAACTACATCAGAAAAAAGAGAAAAGGCAGGTGTGTATTAGAAGATGATTAAACCTTTGTAATCCAGTGGATAACGTAATGTATTGTCTAAAAATGTACAGATAAATACTAGGGAAAAAATGCTACAAGAGATGACAGTGGTTCTTGAGACTAGGACAAAGGACTTGTATGGGTCCAGAGAGTACAATATCTTCTAAAACAAGTATGCATTTTAAACCATTTAAAAAAATTATTAGGTAAATAGATGCATTTGTTACCTGATTTATAATCTATAAAATTTTCTGCAAAAGTTAAAATTTCAATATAAAATTGAAATTTAAAATGTAAAGAGAAAGAGGAAATGTTATGGAGGTTTGCTACTTATATCTACCTTTATCATTTTGACATCTGTGTGCCTATACATGCATTTATTTTAGATAGTTTTTGAAAGATTTTTCAATAAAAGAATAAATTTTCAAATGAAAAAATAATTCAGATTAGTGTGAAAATAACTGTACTGCACCATGACATTCATTAAGGTAGTAAGAAAGGAAAAAGAAGGGCCTGGCATTTTAAAGTCTCGGCTATTCTGTAATATTCTTAAAAACCATAGCTTAAGATGGATAACTCTTTATCCAAGCACATTCATAATCTAAAAATATACGCATCCATAGCTACCCATTCTAATCCAATAAGATGGTATGGGAAGTGTAATTCTATTTAAGAAATTAACTCATTTATGAAATTAATCTTGAAAAGGGAAAAATAATCATTCTTTCCCAATCAATCCCAGTTTCCAAACCGCATTCTCTATCTATAAAACATTCTTAACCACAGCTACAAATATCTACCAAGGATTTTTATGTAGATAGTACCTTAAATACTTAAACTAAACTAATTTACTAATACCACATGAACTCGTTAGTAAGTGTGATTGCATGTAGTGTGCAGTGATGCTATGCAGTACCAAATACAAATTAGGAATTTAGTCTGTTCTGGACAAAATGTGGACTCTAGTGCAAGTGTAATAAAATAAGACAGAAATTATAAAACTGATGAAACGATTCAGCTAGCACATAACAAAATGAAGAGACAAAGTCATATTTTAAAAATCATTAATGAATGGAGATTTTCTGGGTGACATTTGGTTTCAGGAGGGAAGAGATGGGGCATAATTTCTCTTGCTGGCGGCAAGGTTTGAATAAGAATTAGCAAAAGTGAGTGAGGGAAAAGAGGAAGTACTAGGTACTTACCACCTTTAATCCAAAGAGCTGGCCTATGCCCTCTCCTTGGTCCTGAAGAGGCTGGAAGTACAGAGTAGCTTTGCAGGAAGCTGGCACAGACAGGAGGGACATCTACCTCAGTTTCCTTTGCATACAACTGTACTGCTACTAGCAGGAGCCTGGGCTGGTGGCTCCACTTCCTATTGTGATGCATCTGCCCTCCTCCTCCTGAGACACCAATGATAATTATCTTTCTGTGTGTTCTAAACTTTATTTACAATCATTAGTATAAAATATCTAGGCTCCTTTCCTGCCTCGCATTCAAACCATCACTGAGCAGCTGGCTGCACAAGTTCTTCCTTCGCTCATAAATTCTTTTCTAAGCCATGTTTCTAACAGTCACTTCCACTTTCTGAGATCATATTTTTGGTGCATAATGTGGAAAGGATGAAAATTATACTATGTGAGATATATAAACAATGAGAACAGAGGACATATAATTCAAAAAATGTCTAAGGCTTCACAGGGCCCATCAGACATCCACAGGCCCAGAACCAAAAAGACGGACTCGAGTTTGTCATGATGGATTCTGGACATATTCATCAATTTCAATTAAGTTGAATTAATTGAACTTAATGCATACAGAGAGACAGGTTTAACAATTTCTCAATTCATGAAAATTTACTAACAAGACCTACCAGTATAGACCAGCATGAAATGAGAGAGAGGAAAGTAGACAGCCCACTCGACAGAAGTGAAGAAGATGGGTCAGGAGCAAAGATAGGCACATGACCCAGGAGTCTGACAAGGGAAATAAGATCTGTGCAGAAAGAACGTAGTGCCGTGGAACAACATGTCAACTGATGGGACCACTAGGAGAAGGCAGCTCTAGAGGAAGCTACCAGGGAAGTAACTGCGAACAGCCTCGGGTCACTGCTGGCCACCTGTGTCCCTGCTGCATGACATCTCCCTCCTCGGTGCCTGTTCTGCAGGTGCTCAGTGGAGGTCACTCAGTGGAGGTTGAGGTCTCTCTCGTAAGGGAAGAGACTGCTGGGTGAATACCTCAGGTTCTTATCCTCAGGCCAAGCCTTGCAGTGGGTCCCACCTGCCCTCAGGGCTGCTGCATGGCTGAGCCCCTGTCAGCAACAGCAGCAGCCCTTGGGTGATGGTTTCTCTTCGGCTTTCCCTCTTTCCCCATCCTACAGCCTGCTTGCTCAGAGCTTTGTGGCCACCTTCTGTGACACTCTCCATGTTAGGTGGGTTTAGCAGCTCGGACCCCTCTGTCAGCCCGAGAGGCCCTCTGTTCTCTTCACAGTGTGTTTGGGAAAACTGAATCAAGGGAGCCAATGTTCCTCACAGAGCTCTGTGTAAAGGAGAGGAGACAGCAGGAGGAGCTGAAATCAGAGAAGGCGCTCCACCGGAAGTCGGAGGAGGTGGTGCCTGGCCAGTGAAGCCCCCAGAGACATAGAGGAGCTCCCCAAGGCTGTCTCACGTGTGCCACTTTAAGAGGCGGAGGCCATTTTAAGTTACTAGTAAGGAAAATGACGGCCCAACAGACAGAAGACCTAGGCGTGGGGGGCTGACAGGCGGGCTTCACGGCCCCGGGCCTGGAGTGAGTGAGGAGGTCGGACCCAATTGCAGGTCCCTCCGTGGGAAGCAGAGAGAGGCACAAGGCGGGCGGCGTGCAGGTGGAGGAGAGCTGAGCCCCGTGCGCCATGCGGTGGGCGGTGGGTGCTGGGCGGTGGGCGCTGGGCGGTGGGCGGGGGGGGGCAGTCCTCAGGTGCTTCGGCCTCTGCTCTCCGCTGCGCACAGCGCGATGTGTTTGAGTGGAGCTGTGAAGAAAGGCTGTCCTCAGAAGCCCACACATTAAAATAATCGTATAGATTTCATACGATGCATTTAAGACACACACTCCATAGAGTACTAAATGACCACAAAGACATAAATTTTAATTGAAAAATGTACACTTTGCATACAGAGAAGTAAATATATGAGCCACAGATGATCAATAATTCCGTAATCTCAGAGCACACTTTAAGCACTGATCCTCTCTAGATATTTATTGTCAGGAGCAGAGGTGCAATGTGCAGAAGAGTTGCTAAATTGGTCTACATGGAATTGGAGACAGCAAGACATCCAGGCATCCCTTTCTCTTACGGCTATGACTCCCGCGTGGACTGCCCGGCCTTGTCTATCTGTAGTTGCAGTAGTTCAATCTCCAGAGACAGCTTATACACCTCCAGTGCCATCTGCACTTCAGCTGGATTTGAGAGGCACTGCATGAGCTTCCTGCCTGCGATCACCTGTTCACAGCCTTCCAGTACCTCCTGAAAGAGACGCCGGTGGTGGGTATGGTAGAGAGACTGCTGCTGGCCATACAGCCACAGACCTGGATGCCGTGTGGCCTAGAAACAGTTAGGAACCAGTACTCCCAGGTCTACAGGACTCTGCGCTCTAAGGGGCTCAGTTTTTCCCACACTAGAATGAGAATAGGGAAACTTGCCACTGCTAAGTCACCAGAGTGATTCAAGAAAAAAAAAAAAGGAGAATTTCTTTGAGGGACTCAGAAAAGATTCTTGATGAGTCACTTGTCACCATTCTGGGCCAGGACACAGCTTTGCAGGAGAGCACCACGCTTGGCAGCACAGAGCTGCCTGAGTTGTCCACTTACCCACTCACACCTGGGTACCTCTGGGTACCAGGTTCTGTTCCCAGAGCAAGTGATACTTCGGGAGCCCACGACTCCAAAGCCAGCGTTACAGTGGATGGTGATGTTTTCAGACTCGACATACAGAGGCTTATTCACAGACAGCTTTCCATCTGCTATCTTTGGCTTCAGACACTGAGCTACAATGGAAAGGTATTTTAGGCAATCTATGAATCTAAGAAAAAGATACAATAATAGTCTAAGATGATGAGTTATATTCAGGTGCTTGTTATTGTTATTTCATTTTCATAATAATGTTTTTATTGAGCATAACAACCTGAGCATTTTATGTGGCTAGTTCAGTTATCTCTCAATAGCCCTATGAGATGCGTACCACCATCTAATCCCATTTTATCCAGGAGAAAGTTTAGATACAGAGAAGGTAGGAAACTTGCCCATTGCCATAGCTTGTTTAAATAATATGATCGGATATTTTAAAAAAATGAATGTGACCCCAGAGCCTCAGCTCGCAAAGTAACTCTCACAGATGGAGTTGCTGCAAGATTCTAGGCATGGAGGCCTCCCTATTGCCTGTTATTCTTCTGTGTGCAATGGAGAAGTGGTGTCAAATAAACCTTGTATGGTTATAATCTAGTGATGCGTTTGTTGTATGCATGTAAAACTCACCCCCGATCTTGACTCCTCCCATTCCCACAATTGACTGGCATTAGGAGCCCCCCAAACACACCATCTCTATGGTGCAGGGGATACTTTGATGGAAGTAGCTGCCACTCCATGAGACTTGAAATTGGCCCGGGAAAGCCAGCGTGCATATCAGAGTAAGATTCCTGGAGTATTTTTCATGGGCACACAGGTGTACTAATAAAATGTGATGTCTCCAGACTATTTCTGAAAGTATACACAAGCAAGCAGGAAGAGGGGCTGAATGAAGAAGGCTGAAATCTGTGATTGCGAGAAAGAAGTGGAGGGAAGCCATATTTGTGTGCTTTTGTGTGTGTGTGTGTGTGTGTGTGAGTGTTTCACAATGGGGTACCATCTGCATATATTACTTACTTAAATATATTGGAATAAAATGTTTCTTTGCTGCCACTGGCAGAGAAGAGCTTCGCTCTCCATCCTTTAGCAACAGTTCCATGACCTTGGCCAGGTCCTGCATAGGCAGTTGAGTTACCTTTGCACTGGGGGGCTTCAGGTAACCATTGGGAATCCTTGCAGGAGAGCTTCTCTTGTCCAACCAGCTTGTAACCTTCATCACATTTATATACAAATGTATATGATGAGAAATACGATGAAACTTTTTCATAATGTCCGTGGGCAATGCTAGGAGGCACTTCACAGCCTTGATGATGAGACATAAAAGTGAGTGAGTGTGAGCTTGTAGAACACGTGAAGTAGCACATTTTGGAGTTTGTATGGTTTACAGAAGGCTTCATTCTGTCCTTCTGTCTTCTCTGCCCATAAGATCACTTGTGTCGCCTTCCTGCAAGCCTCAGGCTAGGGAAATAGACAGACTCAAGCTGTGAGCTGCTATAGGCTGAATGTTCCCCAATGGCCTATAAGTTAGACTGGGTCACCAGGGTGGCATTATTGGGAAGTGGAACCTTTAAGCAGGGGGGACCTAGTGAGAGGTTCTTAGGTCTGATGTGGGATTCTGCTCTCTCTCTCTCTCTCTCTGTCTCTCTCTCTCTCTGCCTCCTGGTGAGGTAGACAGTTTTGCCTTGGCATGATGTGTTGTCTCAGCACAAGTCCAAGGCAGCAGTGTCAATGAATCATGGACTGGAACCTCCAAAACTATGAATGAAAATAAACCTCTCCACTTTATAAACTGGTTACCCGAGGTGTTTACTATTGTGAAATAAAGCTGGCTAACATAGACTTTCATTTTATTAATTCACCCTACATTGTTTCAGGACCAGTTTTGCATAAAGGCAGGATTTGGTCCTCAGTCACACAGTAATGATGGTACTTTTGTGTGGGGGGGTTTGCTTGTTTTTTTGGTACTGGGGATCGAACTCAGGTCCTTGCACTTGCACAGCAGGCGGCAAAAACCACTGAGCTAACCCCCAGCCCTCAGTGATGGTACTCTCAATCGGCTTCATACTGAATGTCAGGATGTAAGAAGAATGCCAAAATATTTCTCCCTGAAATATTTACCACTGTTGATTTAAGGACACGGAAAGTGCAGAGGGGCTCTCTCACTGTTCTTTCACGCCCCCTTTCCTGCCTGAGACAGAGATGCAAATCTCAGTTCCCTATCAGCATAGAGACGGCATTAGCAGGGCCAGAGGAATCTGGGAACAGATTTTACTGTCTTCTCAGTTTCCCCACCTTTTTGAGCCTAGAACTGCTCTCTCTTTTGACCTGTCATTTCTCTAAGATTTAGGATTTGGGGCTAAAATGTTACTTAAGACAGTTCCAAGCTACTGCTTTGGAAGAGCTACTTTCCAGAGAGAGAGAGAGAGAGAGAGACTCTTCTCCCACTTGGTAAGTAGGACATATATCATTAAACTTGCTTGTTTTTCTTTCACCAATCTGTCTTTTGTTTTAGGAGAGTGTTCCAACAACAAACTTGTGAAGCTTAAGGAAAATTGTATTTTCCCCCCCTTCATATCCATCTCTGAGACAGTGAGGATGTTAAATCCATCCAGAATCTCTAGTCACTGATCTCAGTCAAATCTGTTCATCCATTTCCATCAAGAAAACCTTACTGTATTTATATCTTAGAAGACTGCTCTTTGGGAAGAATAGAAACGGTAGGTTTTGTGTTAAAATAATAAACAGGACAGGGTATAGAGTACCTCTCTGAAGTGGATTCTGTTTAGGCAAACATTGCATGAGAAAGTTAAATAAGATCAAGCAGAGAGGATGTCAGATAAAGAATTATACTATTGTACCAAAATGCATCTTAGACACATGGAAAAAGTGATGGCTTGCATGAATGCAAAGAAAATTCTGGAATTGCCATGGGAGGTGGCAGAGGGGATTAAATGACTCAAGGAAGCGAGCATGCTGGACTGAATATACTTTGTACACTGGAAAATTCACCAGGTGATTGTGTTCCATGGGAAGGCCTAGAGCCGAGGGCCCCAAGTCCCAGGCCATGCACCAGTACCAGGTGTGGCTGGTTAGGAACCGGGCTGAGGTGAGTATGGGCAAGTAAGGCTCCATCTGTATTTACAGCCGCTCCCCTCACTCAGGCAGCAGCCAGAGCTCCTTCTCTTGTCAGTCAGCAGCAGTGTTAGGTTCCCATAGGAGCAGGAACCCTACTCTGACCTGCACATGTGAGGGATTTAGGTTGTGCTCCTTATGAGAATCCAATGCCTGATGATCTGTGGTGGAGCTGAGCTAGTGATGCTAGCACAGGGGAGTGGTTTCAAATACAGAAGAACATTAGCAAGAGGTCTGGCTGCACAGAGGCCATTCAAATCAACTGCTGGCAGACTCAGATCAAAACCCTATCAGTGAGCGGCAAGTGACATGTGAGCTGTATCTGGTGGCAGGCTTTCTAGAGGTAAGTGAGTTGATGCACTTCAACTGTACATCTGCATCTGGGTTTTAAGTCAGAATCTGACATTTGTCTTAGTCCACATGTGAGAAATGGATTTAGCCTGTCCATATTTTTCAGTGGTGATGGCACCACTGAGCTAAATCCCCAGCCCAGCCTGTCCACATTTTTTTTTACCATTTCCCTCTTTGCCTCTTTCTTGCACACTACTCTTGTTTCAGGCACAGTTTTGGGGAAGCCCACAGCTAACCTTATCCAAAATGAGTAAAAGACAAACTTCACTACTCAGGTCAAAGAGGTTGATTCTAAACATGAGTCTACACACTGTGTCATCCATTGAGGAATGCTGGCCAGCCAACAATGTCACCTGAACTTAAGAACATTTTTTGCATGTGATTAAAATTATGAACCACATTAAAGTATGTACTCTAAACCCATTTATGCCAAAGATTGAAATTTTTTTGAATTTTTGCATGAAATTCATATATATTAACAAGAATTCAAAGAGAACACATTTCATTATGTTCCACTGTTATGGGCGTTCCAAAACTCGATCAATAGGCATTGAGGGGTTAACTCACACCTGTTTGCAAACTCTTTGAGGAGATGGACACAGAGCACATATATCTTCTCCCCTCATACACAGAAGTGAAATGGTTTTCTAAAGGTAGATCACTGGCCACAATTTTTCAGTTATGAGAGCCACTCCAGAGATTTTTTTTAAGAAAAAAAAAAATTGCTGACAACACATTTCAGTAACACAGAATGGGTCACAAAATGTGCTTACTTGTGTGACATATTCAACCTACTGAAAAACCAATTCTGTCACTACAGAGAAGAGTGCCATCTATATTCAAGTTGGCAAGTAACGTGGCTACACTCACATCAAACTGGAATTATGGAGACAGTGATCAACAGTGGGATTTTTAACATGCTAAAATTAGCAGAGGTTTTGAAAGAGACTGAACCAGGGCCTTCTTTCTCGCAGCTGGTGCATGATCACCTACCCCAGCTTTCAAAAGAGTTTGAGCATTTCTTCCCAACCACAAAAGACCCCTGAACTTGTAAGGAATAGATCTGTGACCATTTGTGAATAAGCCGGGTGAAACAACTTTGTCTATGGTAGAAGAAGAACAACTGCTTGAGATCACAAATGACTGTGGCCTTAAAAGTATTTGAAACAACTTCAGCTCTCCATATGTTCTGGATTAAAGGCAAGGCAGAATATCCCGAGAGTGATACAAAAGCACTGAAAAGCCTGCTTCCATTTCTCACCTCCTATCTTTGTAAAGCAGGGTTTTCTGCAGTGACAGCAACCAAGATGAGATTGTGGGGTAGACTATATAAGCTACACACTTCGGGTGTCACTGTCTCCCATCATCACCAGATGGGACCATCTAGTTGCAGGAAAACAAGCTCAGGGCTCCCACTGGTTCTGCATTATGGTGAATTGTATGCTTATTTCATGATGCATTACAATGTAATTTGAATAGAAATATAATACACAATAAATTAATGCACTTGAATTATCCCAACAGCATCAATCCATGGGAAAATCATCTCTCAGGAAACCAGTACCTGGTGCAAATAAAAGCTAGGGACCATTGGTCTGGATGATACAACATTTAACAAGGTTATAAGGAGTTCTCTGAGACGAACATCAGCATCAGAGGTCAACGCAAATGATAGCAAAGACCTCTGAAGAGCAAGACTCACTGTGGCAATGGCTGTCAGATAGGTCTTCTTAAGCCTTCAAAGCTAAGTGAATGCAAGCAGTAAAATGAATTGTAAGATCAGAAAGGCAACCCAAGGTGCTAAGAGTTATGAAGATTAGTAGACTATGGTGATCTCAGAAGTGAAAACAGATTAGCAGTCCGTGAGGATTCTACTCAATTTGTATCATCAAAGGAAATTAAAGATGCATGGTCAAGGGACTGATGTCATTCAGCCTAATTAAAAAGTGAAAGTCCCTTGCTTAGTTTCTGTGTTTGGATCAGTTTTCCAGCCTGGATTACTGACTGAAGAAAAATACAGCTTCCAGGAGAGAAGACGCTACATCTTGGAAAGTATGCACAATAATTCCTTCTGTTCTTCAATGGAACCTGTGTTCATCCATGTAGCTCTGCCCTGGGAAAGGTGCACAATAATTCAAAGATTATTAGCCATGGCTTGAATTGACATTGAGATCTGGGACCACCAGCCTCCCCTATTAGGGTACTTGGTGGTCATTTACATTATCCCCGCGAGGAGATAAAATTGGATTCCTGGACTGTAGGGTAAGAGTTTTCATAAACAACAAGGCCAGGAGGGAGAAATTGATACTGCCCACCTACCTCACACCTTCCCTGAGGCACAGGAAGTAAAAAATGCATGTATGTGTGTGAATCTATATTTACTAATTTATAATTTATATGGAAATAAATTATAATTACTTTACATACATATTATAAATATCCTGAGAGGTAGGAAGGGAATGGAGAAATCAGTACCCCTTTTAAAGAGCTGACCACGTGGGGGTGATCACCTGATCATATCTCCATTCAATTCACCAGTCTATTGAAAAGTTAAAGGGATTTTGGAACACTGCAGTACTCTGTTAAAAACTAAACCACATGCAAGCCCCATCACAGCTTCTGTACCAGAAGTGACGTCTTTGTTAGAGCAGATGAATGGGACTCCAAGTAAATGAGGCCGCTGATTTAATAAAAACCCTCTTCTCCATCCCTATGCAAGGTGGTCAGGAGCAGTTTGGGTCTGAAGATGTCTTGACAAACTGGATATCTGCAGGACATCACCTTGATTCAGTACATCAATAGCATTGTGCTAATTCTACTGAATGAGTAGGAAGTAGTTAGCATAATGATGCCCCAGAGTATGGAAGGTAAATATTCAGTGGTTTGCCATATGGAAATTTTTAGAGGTCCCAGGTTTAGGGAACACTAGGATGTCTTATCCAAACTAAAGTCAAATTATTGCAAATTTTACACTACAAAGAAGAAAGCCTAGCACCTAACTGAACTTTTCAGATTCTAGAGGCAGCACAATCTGTACTTAGGAACTCCGCTCCAATCGTACACTAAATGACACAGACGATTGTCAGGTTTGAAAGGGGCCCAGTCGGGAAAGGGCCGTGCTGGAGCTCTAGGTCAAGGCTGTGATGAAATCATCCCTGGCTTAGGGGGAAGGGTCCTGCACAGCCTGGTATACTGCACGTGGCTATAATAGGAGCAGATGCGAATGCCAGCATGACAATCATACCATGGGCCCTGAGACCATGAAGCAAAGCCAGCACTGCCTCAGAGACCTATGTAATGTTTGAGATGTGACTCCTGCTGTGTCACTTGGACCTGATGGAGACAAAGCTCCTGATCTTGGGTCATTAAGTGACCATGACCATAATCACTCATCATGAACTGGATCTGTCAGATACATCCAACTGTAAAGTGAGGCTGGCGATAATCCACTGTGCATTGGAAGTGGTGCATCTGGTACTGAGAAGGAGCAGGTCCAGATGGTGCAGACAAAAAGCACAAGAACCCCAGTCTCTGCTTTGTGACTAGCTGTTGTCACATGAGTGGCTTTCCCTTAGCTCACTCTCATGGCTGCATGGGTAAGTTTCCATCATAACCAACTGACAGTGCATTGGAAAGACCGAGTTTGGCTCACAGACAAGAATTTTTGATGTGTGTGTACAAGAATAAATGAATGGAAGCTTCATTAGAACCCAGCCAGGGTAGTAAGAGGAAGTCTTCCAGATGAGTAGAGCTGTACATAGGTAGCTGTTATGATTATAATCTGGAATGTCCCCCAAGAGGACAGAAGTGGGACTTGGCGGGGGTTGGACCATGGAGTTGATATACTCGTCTGTGGATTAACTCACTGGTGAGTTCACAGGTGAATGTACTGTTACAGGGTAGGGCCTGGTTAGAAGAGGCGGGTCACTGGGAAGATGACCTAGAAAGGGGTACTTTTGTCCCTGGCTCCTCTCTTCTCTCTCTGCTTTCTAGCTGTCATGAAGTGAGCTGCTTTCCTCTGCCACACCCTTCTACCATTAGCTTCTGCCGTGGGCCTAGCTTCCCTGGGACTGAATCTCCGGAGCTGTGAACCCAATTAAATCCCTCCTCCTTTCAAGTTGTGGGTGTCAGTTATTGTGTTCAGCAATGGGAAAACTGACTAACACAGTCATACACCTTAAAAGAAATGGCCTCGGAACGGGCTAAATTAGGGTTCATGGCATGGAACAAATGGCTTGTCTGGTCAGGGTCCTAGAAGGAGAAAGACTGGAAGAGAGGGCACCAGAAGATCTGGGTAGAAGCAGAGAAGTGAACATACAGGAGTAGGCAGGAAGTTTGAAGATTTTTCTTTCATATGCTCATACCAGAGATCCCCAGTAGAAGAGATATTACACAACCAAGTAGGAAAAAATGTCTCGGCCAGTCCAAGTCAGCCATCCTCTGTCATTGGCTTCACTTGTTCAGGCACAGAAAAGGAGGAGCAAAGTGCCACGGTACCATGAACAGAAAACCAGGATGGGCCCAACAGCATGGGTGCCCACTTATCAAGGTTAATTGTTATCACTGAGTTTCCAAACTGCCTGCAACAATGTTAAGTGCCTGATATGATACCATCCCTTGAAGCAACCAGTAGCAAGTTGTGTATTCTAGACCCTTTCCACTCTAGAAGACAGCAGTTTATTCTGAGAAATAGACAAGAGGTGTAGCTATGAGCTTGCCTTTTTTATTTGCACAGCCTTCATTAGCACTGTTATCTAAAGGACTATAGTGTTTGAACCATTGACAAATTAGTTAAGGATGTGCCACTCCAAAATATGCTGGAGTGGCATATGGATTATTCTGAGCTGAAGGCACTTCAGCAGCTGTAATTGTGAAAAGGACTAGCTGGCTGGCTTTTTCCTATGTACTGTAGCAAACCATGACAATTTACTAGAACCAGAGAGTAATCTTCAACACCGAAGAGTAGGAATTGTTGCTGCAATGGACCTGAAAAATGATTCTCTGCAGCAAGAGCTCAGGCCATGAGGGAAACAAGACCCCACCATTTGGAAGGTGACTGAATTATGGGAGGGATATACTGAGTTGCTGTTGGGGGATGCATTCTTGTCAGAACAAATGGGTCATTGGAGATGGGACCTAAAAGAGTGTATCTCCCTCTCTGCCTAATCTCTTTGCTCTCTGCTTTCTGGCCACTATAACATGATAGCCTTTCTTCGGCTGTGCTCTTCTGCCACACTGTTTCTCTGTCTACGCCTGCCAAATATGGACTGTGAGACAAAATAAACCTCTCCTCTTTTAAATCGTGGGCGTTGGTATTGTGTTCCAGTGATGAGGAAAGTGATCAGATACTTGCTCAGGAGAGAAAGGCATTTTATAGCGGGATGGAAGACCAACTGGAAAATGTAGAGGCAGCGGAAGAGTGCTGTCCAAGGAAGAAGAAGGAATAAGCTCAGAAAGGCAGGTATAAAAAGATGTGGGCAGGTCATGTTCTGCAGATGAAGACATATGGACCAGAAGTAAGGGATAAAAAGAGGAAGTACAAAGACACAAGAAGCGGGATTTGAAGACTGTGGCTCATCTATTAGTTGTGATCTATGTTCCCTGATTCAGAAACGAGGAAGAGGGGAAGCCAGAAGAACAGGAGCAAAGCATGAGGGCAAGAAAGAGAAAGTTGGGTCTACTCCAAGAATCGTGCGGGGTGTCCAAATTCTTTCCTAATTTTAAACCTTCCCTTAGTAATGCCCATCACAGAGATATGAAGAAACTCCCCAAATAGCATAGTCCTACTTGCTCTTACCTTGGCTGCATAATGGTGTGTGAGCACTCCACGTGCCATCCAGTTGGCACGTTGCCGAGCGCATTTGCCTGCCGGGACATCTGTAGAAAATTACGTCCTTATGGGAATACGGACAATCAGTGGTGAAAGCAGCTTTTGTTTCAATGCTTCCACCATGCTTCACCTCTGGGGCTGCACAACAAACCTCTGAAAATAAAAAGTGAGGATCCTGGTTAGTAAAGTCAACATGAGGAAGCTCTCAGAGCTAATGGCCTCCTGTCCACCTTTGGAGGTCTCAGCCACTGTTCAGGAAAGGAGGTCCGAAGCAGCCTCAGTGTGTGCCACCCATCCCTGATGCTAAAGAACTTGAATCCAGTCATTTTCCTCTAACTAAGCATCTCCATTAGAAGCCTCCAATTGAAAAGTCATAGCACACCTGTATGAAAATGTAAATTTTCCCCCAAAATGTAAATTTTCGATGTTATTCAAGAAAAATGATCACATCCATTTACTTATGGCTTCATTGGAATTGAGTAAGCTTTCTACTGGCATATGCTTCTTCGGTCACAAGGAAAAGGGAAGTTCTCAACAGTATATCCACCTGACATCTAATGCATAAAAATAAACATAAATTATTTCTGACGGTCAGATTTTTCTTGTTTGATGCAAAATTTAGAGAAATAGCTATCCAATTTCTTTCATTTTTAAAACAACAAAAGCTGTATAGGGGTGCAATTTTTCATTCATTAGTAGAAATACCTTACAATGTAAATCGGTATTGTCTGATGTAACACAAGACATCAGAACAGAATGAAATATGTTATTCCCTATATTAGGAGCTTGTCTAGCACTACAATGGAGCCTTATGGGCATACTAAAACACAGGTGGTGCTCATTTCTTATGAAATATAACAAAAACACCTAATGTCCACATGATTTTTAAATTGGAACAACAAAATTTATGAAATGCTTTATAGTGTAGAAAACTCATGTAAATCATGAGTCTAATAGTTAATCAGATTTTACATTTGAATACCATTTTATTTCTACTTTTAATGGTTAAGAATATTCTTTAGTATATAATTAAATCGATAAGACTATTTTGAGTAAAATAAGTACAACTAAAAGTAGGTTTTTAAACATCTACAAGCAACACTTTGTTAAGCAGGTGGTGGCCATAAGTTTTGTTAAATGTATTTTCCGTTTCAGTCTTTTTACTAAAAGGCTTTCATTCTGTTTCCCCAATATGAGTTGGAATAACTACAATTAAACTGTGTCAAGTTTTAATATGAAATAATCTGATTGGTTGATCTAAACTACCACTTTTCATTATTTGCACCCTTCACACATTTTTCAAATTCTAATCTGGGGCATAAAATTCCCCACAATCTTGATCTCAGTGTTTTCCCCTCTAAAGTGGGAAGGTTCTGTTAGATGGGTAGACAGAGGCAGTTTCTCCCTTTCTTGTCATGTTCACTGATGTCCATAAAATAGTGTCCACTTGCTCTGCAGCCCCTTACTCCTTCCCCCTAGCAGAGAAGGAGGCCCCTTTCCTACCAGCAAAACTGGAGAAAATCTTTCTGTCATTTTGAGGTGAGAACACCAGGTCAGGAGTCAGGATCTGTCTTCTCAAAGCAGGCGACGAACCTACTGTCTCACATCCCAAGGGACATGAGACATGGGGTCAACTTGTAGATGGCTGAGTTCATGATTATTTCCCAGACTTTCTGCTGGGCACCCCACAGTTTACGTGGGGAAGGCTGGAGAGCGAGCGGAGGGGGAACTCAGACTCTGACAATGGCTGAACTGTAATCTCCGTTCTACCTTTCCCAGTAATGAAGCGAACACTTTGCCTGCATGCTGTTTGGCTTCTGGTCTATTTCTCAGCTGACTCTAGACTAGCCTAAGGAAAGGTTAGGATTTTTTAGCAGCTCTAACTTCAAGTCTCTTACGGTCCCTTTTGGTGATAATAGTTCACGGTTTGCCTGAAATAGTGTACTCTAAATTTATCTTGAGGGATAAACTTATATTAATTTAAGGTAGAGAATCCTACCACATCCGAGACATTGAATAGGCAAAAATGTTTTAAAAACAAAAACTCAGCTTGCACCCTTTGAATGGGCTCCATTTGAAATTGCTCTGACAAATCACAGTTGTGGGCTCATGTGTAGCAGGTCTGTAGCCAGGATGACAATAGTAACTTAGCGCTGTCCCGGGGGGATACAAGTCCCCTCTCTTTGGCCTGCTATATTCGTCCCAGGAAGCATTTGGAATGTCTGGTAAGTCGGTGCAACTATCTGCTCAGAAAGAACAGGAGGAAAGGACACTGCCGTTAATGGGCACTGCCTCCACAATGAACGACCCTATCCCCTGAAGGGCTCATTCTCTCAGAAACCACCCTGCAATGGCCAGCGGATCAACCACACCAGGAAACACAGATGGACGTTTGCTCCACTATTCCCACCCCAGAGAGGTCCCCACAGAGGACACCCCAAGTGGTTTCTGTGTGTTGTGTTAACTACCCATAATATTAACTCTCCTGCCTCTCTAGCATACTTCAGAAAGTTCAGGTTCTGAACTGAAGCATTCACCTTGCTAAGTAAACATGGCAGGAAAATGGTCAGATAAAACAAATCTAACTTTCCACATTTCCTGATTGGGGAAAAATAAAAGTCATTCCCCTCATCCTGGCAGCACTAGGAACTTCATCACTAAAGGTAAAGTGAGTCATGAGCAAGCTATACGCATTTTTGGTGGCTGAACTCTGCATCCTGTCCTCTTCCCTTTCCTGATGCTGCTGATTCATATGATATGGAAATGTAATACAACTATCTACCAAGTTGGATGTTTATTATATTTTGTCCGCAAACATTTTATAGTATGTAGAATTCAATGGTTCTTGGTATAGTCACAAAATTTTGCAACCATCACCGCTATTTAATTTTAGGAGGTTTCTTTTACGTCAAAAAGAAAACCCATATTTGCTAGCAGTCACTCTCAATTCCCACTTCCCCCCGCAACTATTAACTTATTTTTCTCTCTCTATGGATTTCCTATTCTGTACCTTTCAAATAAATGGAACCATATAGTACTTTTCAGGGGTTTGGCTTCTATTAAATTAACATAATATTTTCAAGGTTCATCCATGTTGTATCATATATTGGCACCCCATTCTTATTGTGAAGTGATATTCTATTGTATAGATATACCACTTTTAATTTTGTCTGTTACTCAACTTATGGTCATATTATGAATAATGCTGCTATGAACCTTCATGTAAAAGTTTTCATGTGGACATCCATCTTCTTTGCTCTGGGATCAATACCCAGGAGCGTAACTGCTGGATCATATGGTAACTATATGCTTATGCTTTAGAGGAACTGTCAAAACTGTTTTACAAAATTGTTGCAGCAATTTACATTCCCACCAGCAGTGTATGAGAGTTATAGTGTTTCCATCAATGTTGATGGGTATACATATTTTGTTTTTATTATAACCATTGGGATGGATGTGGAGTGGTTTCTAGAAGACCATTTTTTACAAACAATAATAGGGAAAATTATTTAGGCTAAAAATGAGTGATACCAGGCAGTAATCTGAGTCTACACGGGAAATAATGAGCACATGAAAAAGTTCTTACACAGGTAATTTAAAAGAAAATATACAATCATCCTTTATATCCATGAGGATTGGTCCCAAGACCCCCACAGATGTCCAAATCTATAGATACTCAAGTCCCTAATATAAAATGATGTGGTATTTGCATATAACCTACACACCTCATGACAAATACTTCAAATCAGCTTTTGATTACTTATGTACTTAATACAATGTAAATGCTATATTAATAGTTGTTACACTGTATTGTTTACAGACAGTGATAAGCAAAAAAGTCTGTGGGTATTCAGAACAGACACAAATTTTTTGTTTGCCCTGATAGGTTTTGGTCTTGTTTTACTCCAATAACAAACCAAAATTTTTTCAAATATTTTCCATCTGCAGTTGGTGGAATCCTCAGAGGTGGAATCTGGAGATACAGAAGGCTAACTACAATTGAATCTCTCTCCTCCTTTATTTTCCTAATTCAGCAGCACTTGCAAAAAACAAGGTGCATATGAATCATTATTAAATCTATAATAGAAACACAATATATTTAACAATAATAGCACAAGGGAGGTAAATGTGAACAAAGCTATACTGGAGAATGAAAACAACATCAGATAATAATCTAGATCCACAGGAAGGAATAAAGAGATCCTGAAATGGCAAAGAAGCAGTTTAACATAATCAACTGCCTAAATAATACTCTCTTTTTTTCTCTAAGCCTCCATAAAAACTGAAACATAAAATTATACAAAACAATAACTAGAACAATGTGGTGTTTCTAATAAACATGGATATGAAATGTTTTGCTGGCTGCTTCATTGATTTTTTTTCCTTCTGCACATTGAATCTGTCATCTCACTGCCATCCAGCCCCATTGTTTAGGGTGAGAAGTCAGCTGTTAATCTTACTGAGGTCATTACACATGATGTGCTGCTTTCCTCATGCTGCTTTCAAGATTGTGTCATTATTCATGACTTTCAAGATTTTGACTATGATGTCTCCATATCTGGATCATTTTGAATTTATCCTACTTAAGTTTAGTGAGTCTCCTGAGTGTATAAATTAATTTTTTTATCATGTTGGGAAATTTTCAGCCACTTTTCTCTTAATAGTTTTAACATTTTTTTAAATCTCTTCTTTCCTCTACTGTCATTATGCACATGTTGGTGCACTTAATGAAGTATCTCATATTCCTCATGCTTTTTCCATTTTTCCTTTTTATTTTTTCTCTATATACTCCAGATTATGTCTTCTCAATCAATCTATCTTCAAATTCACCATTTCTTTCTTCAGCCAACCTGGATCTACTCTTGAACTCCTCTGGTGAATTTTTCATTTTATGCATTGTGCTTTTCAGCTCTAGAATTTACATTTGACTTTTTAATAATTTCTATTTTTATTGATATTTTCTATTTGCTGAGGCATTGTAACAATACTTTCCTTTACATTTTTTAAAGATTGTTTCCTTTAGTTCTTGAGTATATTTATAATAGCTGCTTTGAACTTCTTTGAATTGTTTTCTGCTAAGCCCAGCCTCTGAGCCTCCTCAAAGGAAGTTTCTATTGTTGGTTTATTCTCTTGGTATGGGTGACTCCTGTTTCTTTTCATGTCTGAAATTATTTGTTAAAAGCTGGGCATATCAAGTAATATAGCAATTTTGTGACTAATTCTCCCTCACCAACTTTGGGGCCTGTTTTTCTCTACTTGTTTGGTTGCTTATCTAGCGACTTGGCTAGATTAGTTCAGTAAAGTCTATTTTCCTCAAATACGCACCATGGAATGGCATGCTGCAGAGAGCACAGCCTTGGGTGTGCTCTGTCCTAACTACCAGGGCTGATTGTGCTTTCACTGGTCATCTCCTTCTCATCAAGCTTTTGGCTGACCTGGCTCTGTTATATCACACTTAACTCTTAGCCTCCAGTAATTGTTACGTGGCTGGTCAATTACTATTTTTATTACTCCCTGCAGCATAAAATGCTTCACAGTCTGATCTAATTAAAGACTGGCCCTATGGCAGGGACAGAATATCAACAGTCTTTGAAGACTGCTCCAAACCCACACTGGAAAAACTTTTGGGCTACAGATGAGGACCTAAGAAAATAAGGAAACTTAACTAGTTACCCTACCAGAATCCTTCCAATAGTGTAGAAGCTGTGAAGAGGGAGAAGGGGTATCATAGGAAATAGTTCTGCCACACAGTTGTGCCAGCTTCCAAATATGCACATTCCACAGCATAGAGCCGTGGGAAATGAGATCCGTCATTATTCACTGGTTTTCAAATGCACCCACAATAGCTCTATGCTTGGAAGCTAAGGAAGATAGGAGACGCCATTCAGCTGCCCAGGCCACTGGAACAGCTTTCCTATAACACAGAGCTGTGTAGGAAATGAGAGCTAAATTCTTCCAGCTGCCTTACCTGGACCCTCTCTGTATAACAGAAGTTGCGGTAGAGGAACAGACACTTATGTCTGGCTGCTGGCACCAGTTCACAGCATGGAACTTTGGAAAATGCACAGTGTTCACTGGCTTCCAAAACTACCCCAAATAACTCTTCCACCTCAGGGAGCTGGGGAACATTGGAACTGCCACTTGTGAGCCCACAGAAATATTTTGCTAACAAAATGGTGTTTTTTGGTTGTTGACTGTAATCCCTAGTTCTAATACAATGGCTTGCTACTACTGTTTGTGTCAGATCTCCACAGATTCATTGACTAAATGCTTCTTAATTTGATATAAGTACCTTGAATGGTTTTCTTTGCTAATTTTGACCAGCTTAATATATACCACTCCAGCTGGGCGTGGTGGCACATGCCTGTAGTTCCAGCACATGGGAGGCAGAGGCAGAAGGATCACTGTGAGTTTGAGGCCAGCCTGATCTACATAGTGAGACCCTGTCTCTTCTCCCCTGAACCCCCCCAAATGTATATAATATATTATATACATATATATATATATCACGCCAGGAGAGAGATTTGCTCAACCACTGTTGCATAAGCCCCCCAAGTAAAGGCGCTTCACTCTACATGAGGCTAAAACGAAGAGCCCCAGGCATCTGAGGATTCTTCCTCATACCAGTTGTATGATCTTAGGAAAGTCACTTCATCTCTGAGAATAGTTTTTTCATCTAAAAAATGAGGATACTAGTAGTGCTCACAATTATTTGGAGGATTTATTGACTTAGTACTTGTTATGCACTGATACTAATTCCAACTTACCATTATTACTTTTAGCATTATTTTTAATGGGCCACACTAATTTATAATTTCAGATTCCTAGAATCATACCTATTCTATTCAATACTGTGGGGAAATCTAGAAAAAGACATTTTTCTCTCATGACATTTTATTGTTTACATTTCAAAATAATGATCAAAACTGTAAGGACTTTGTTAAACTAAGAGAATGTTCTATCAACTGCCAGAAAATTGTTTACATAAATATATAACCCACCACATCTGCAATGTTAATGTTAATGCAGGCCCGGAGTGAAAACAACCTGGAAAACTCTACATGGCAGCCTTTTGTGGAGATATCCAACCTTGCAGGGTACACTGAAATCATGCTTTCTAACAACAACAAAAATAATAAAGGAATTTATTGACCTAAATTTACATTTTAGCTGTGGCTCAATGTGGGTCTAGTCATGCAAGCGTGCTGGCACTTCTGGGTACCTGTAGATGCCAAGCTTGAAATCCCTTCATGGCCCATACTTACTTGGCTCACAAACAGGAGGAGAAGGGCTCCAGGTGTTGTCAGCTTCACAGTGGATTACACTGCTGCCTCTGAGGACAAAACCCTTCTGGCAGCTAAACATAATAGAGTCTTTCAAAGTGTAGATGGGTCCAAATCCAGACAAAATCTTAGCATGTGGAATGGTTGGCTGGCGACAGATGATTTCTAAAGAATCATTAGAAATGAGAAGTGGGTTTTCAAAGATAAATGGCAAAGAGAATATTACTGCTACTACTGATCCAATTATGAGTTTAAATGCCGAATATAAGCACATGTCAAATACATACTAGTGAAAACTTTTTTTTTTTTGCCATACTCATGAATGAACCCAGGGCCTTTGCCCCGAGCCACATCCCCAGCCCTTTCTTACTTGGAGACAGTGTTTACTAATTTGCTAAGTTGCCTAGGCTGGGCTCAAACTTGTGATCTTCCCTGCTCAGCCTTCCAAAGTGCTGAGATTACAGGCATGCAACACCATGCCTGGCTACATTTTCAAATTATATAATTTCAGATTTTAAATGCCCCAATAAAATGAGGCCCCATCACATTGGTCCTCATATGAGATGACTGTGGATAACTTCAATTTGCCAATAAAAACTAGTAATTGTTTTCACACCAGAAGAATCATGCAAGGCCCCAAAACTTCCAGTGTAATGACAGAGTCTCTTGGATGATCGTGGCTATGGGTTAGTAGCCATGGCAGTGACGTGATGGTCATGAAGAGATGCCTAGAGCAGCAGAGACCCGTGCCCTGCATGCATGGAACAAACCACACCCCGTCTCTCGCCCTTTTGTCTAGTCACTTATCGAGTCCTACTGATACAGATGATAGTGCCCAACCTGTCTCCAGGCCCAATGCATGGCCACAGTTGAATCCACCTTTACTTCTTGGCTGGATACAGACACCAAGGTCTATCTTAGCTCATTCCTGTTGCTAAAACAGCACTCTTTGGATGGGGTGACTCATACATAATAGAAATTTATTTTCTCACATTTCTGGGGAGTAAGAAGCCCAAGGTCTAGGCACCAGCAAATTCAGGGTCTGGAAGGAGCTTGCTCGATGCTTCCAGGATGGTGCTTTGGTGCTACATCCTCACAGGAAGAAGGGACAAATGCTGTGCCCTCACATGGGAGGACTAAAAGGACCAGGGCTCTTCCTTCAGCTTTTGTTAAAAGGGCATCAATCACTTCTCCAAAAGCCCTACTTCTTAACACTGCCTCTGTGGGTCTTGATTCTAACATCTAAACCACAGCAGATGCCTATTGGTGAAGGTATGTGCCACCTCAAACTGTTGCCCATCCTGCAGCTAGAGTTATCTTACTAAAACGCAGAGCATATGGCATCCTCCTGAAGCCTTTCATCTCCCCTTCACCTCTACTCTGAGCTCCTGAGAGTGACACATGAGGTCCTTTTCAATGCGGCTCTGCTCACCTTCCCAGTCTCAGCTCCTACCTTTTCCATCTCTTATACTCCTGACTCAGTTATTTGAGCCAGGTTGCAATGCTGTGCTCTCTGGTCCCCCTGGTTGGATTGCATCCTAGAGTAAGTCAGAGTAGTGAGAGATATTATATAAGCATTTAGTAGTAAGGGAAGATGTTTTGGGTTAGCAAATTAGCAACACCGCCATGTATCTTCCAATTCAATTACTGCTTGCTTTGTCTCGTTGGTTTTCTGGATTTCAGGAGGTTTTGTTTGCTCTCCAGGCAAATGTGGTTGACATTATAAGTGTAAACTAATATTTCCAGTTCTTTCTCCTGAATAGACAAAAGATTTCATTCATCAGTCCTCAGAGGGTAGGTAGGGACTGCACACTGCTAGTTCTAGACAGAAAGATATGACAGAAAGTGATCTGTGGTCATTTCCAAGCCAAAATTCTTAATAACCAGGGTGCCTTTCTCTCTTACTTTACTGAAGAGACTGAAAGTGCATTTGGATATAGAAGTGCCAGAGGATGAACGCCACCTGGACTGCCGCACTGGTTATTAAGCTAACACTTAGGCTCCTGCTGGCCTAGAGAGTCTCCTGGATATGCGACAGACTCCTGATGAATGAGGACTAACTTTTACTTGACCAAACCAATGAGAGATATTGGTACTTTTTGCTCCATATTCAAATAAGCATGCAATAAATAACTGTTGGCCAAATAAATGACTGCTTCGAAGCAATCATTAGTTCATCATTAAATTGTCCCATCTGCCCGCCCCCAAAATTCACCATCCTTTAAGAAGAAAACAATTTAAAGCAGAATTCATCGCTGTGACTTACTTTCACAGGTAGGAGGTCTTGGGCTCCAGACACCTACTGTTTTATTCACCACCACACAGGAAATGGAGGCATTGCCTACGAGGGAGTAGTTGGGGTCACAGCTGTAGGTGACCGAGGAGCCATATGTGTAGAGGTCTTCATCTTCACCACTGTGTTTCCCATTGCTGATGTCTGGAGGGGACTCACATTTGACAACTGAGAGGAGGGAGGAGAAGGAAATATTAAAGGAAGGCATCATTACAACCCTAAAATTCCTGCAGTCATATGAAGGGTACAAGCAGTAGTAAGGATGCACAGCATTGCTATCCTGAACACAGTTTAAGTTTATCATCCAAGTCAGAAAAAAAGAAAAACTTGACTTACTTTCACATACTGGAAAAGGAGCACTCCAGTCCACTGCTTTGTCTTGGATCTCACAAACACTAGTGCTTGGGCCAACTAAGATATACCTGAATAAGATAAAAATCAAAAATTTTAATGGAATTCCTCCTACCCTAAATTAAATTGGATAAGGAGACTTGAACAAATAAAATTATTACTCAATATTAAAATGAATAAATAATATTTTCTTGGATATCACTTCCCATTGAACATAATTTAGTAGAATGGCATTTCTGCACTGAATAGCGCATGGTTGCTCGTTTGTTCCTTTGTCCTTCTGCTCTTCACCACAGTACTGAGCACCTGGCAGGTGTCAGGCCTGAGCAGGACCATGACCTGCTCACTTCTGTGTGTTCTGCTGTTTTCTTTGATTGCAGGTGTCAGCTAGATTACTGACCTGGAACTTCCGTGATATCTAGATGAAGCCTCCTTCTGACTCACAGACGCATGTCTTGCTTCCATACACCACTAACTCTCTATGCAACACTCCCACTTTATGGTTCTTGACAAGTCCTAACCTTTCCTCCGTTTGACTTTCTTCTGCATCTCTTAACAGAAAAAAGGCATTGCTAGTATGATTTCACACTGTGGCATCATCAAGGAATAAACCTACAATGTGATATAACATTAAGGTAAATAGCATCTTTAACTACCTAAAAGTCCCTGGAATTTATTGAATAATAATTTAAAGACGTTTACTTCATTGAAATAAGATTTGCTAGAATTAAGCCTTTATTTACTTTTATGTTTCTTTAAAACATTGCTTTTCCAACCCAGTGAAAAGTATTCTTTCCATTACTTTGTTAAGAGCAACTTTGTTCCAACAGCACCGTAGTTTTGAATCTTCTCAGTTTCTCCTTTGGAAGCCATCCACAGTAGGGAACATGGGACCAAAATGAAAAACCAGTGAGCATAAAGCAACAGCAGGAAAAGATTATGGAAAGATAATAAATATAGATAGATATAGATACAGATGGCAAGCAAAGGAGAATCCTTGCATGCTTTACTGCATAATAAAATGGCTATTTAAAAATACATAAGTAGGGCTGGGGATTTAGCTCAGTGGTTCCACTGCCTGCCTTGCAAGCACAAGGACCCAAGTTCAATCTGCAGTACAAAAAAAAAAATATATATATATATAAATGATACAGAAATAATACTTTATTCTACATATTAAAATTGCACATCATATAGCAACAAAAATTGGTCTTTATCAAGGCAATGAAGAATAAAATTATTAGATTTCAAAGTTAAGGAATAATTAACTTTGCACAGCCAAAGTCCAAGTTGTGTATAAGAGAAACAAGTTGAGGTTAGGATCAGAGTGCTGTATGGCATCATTCACCAGCAAAAGTTACTATTTCAGCACCTCTAGGATAGCTGCAAAATGGAAGTACCTTATATCCAACCTCATTATCTCTTAAGTTTCTAGTTATCTTTTAAATACCTCATTATCTCTTAGTTCCTCAAATGTATTTGAATCTGCAAGAGCTTACGGGATAATTTTCACTTGGTTTGTTTGACGGGGGGGGGGGGGGGCTTTGGCTTTGATGTATTTTGTTTTGTTTTTTTAGGAAACTACTACAGTGCAAAGTATAGCCAACTAAGAGACCACCACAGCAACTGCAGCAAAAACTAAAATGTGCTGAGCATTAAACATGTAGATCAAAGACAAAAACCAAGATGGGGTTAAGAGTAATTGAGTGAAATGTAAATGTTGTACACTTAGTGCTGGAATGTTATAGCTAACAAAAACAGGGAATGGGGCTGGGGATTTAGCTCAGTGGTGCCACTGCCTGCCTCGAAAGCACACGGTCCCGAGTTCGATCCCTGGTACCAAAAAAACAAATAAACAGGGAATGGAGAAGAGATGAAAGTTAAAACATTCTCCCCTACTGCTGCATCTACAAGAACTGGGAGTAAAATCCACCTGTAGACATATATGCATAGTTAATATTATTACTAAATACAAAATAAATACCAAGGTGATACGAATGACATAAATTTACTGGCAGAGAGAATAGAGGGGATAGGAAATGGAGGAGAGAATTTGCGTTTATTGTTGCTTGCAAGGAACACATTTAAACTGTGTAAAGATATTTGGGAACGATATGTTAATTTAAATTTATAACTACTAGAATCAAATTTTGCAACTTCCTAAATATCATCTATTTCTCTATATACTAAGTAACAAAGAAATATATGCATACGTATAACACAGTAAATGAAATAATACGAGAAAACCAAGTGTATACGTATCACTCGTATTAATAAAGATAGTTAGACACTAGGGATACAGCTCAGTGGTAAACCCTTTCCCAGCATCCATGAGGTCCTGGGTTCAATCCCCAGCACTACAAAATAAGTAATTAAACAAGTTTAATATCCTATTGAAAGAAAAAGAGCTTTTTTAGGGTAAGGGGGATCAAACTTGGGACCTTGCACTTGCGAGGCAGGCAGCAGAACCACTGAGCTATATCCCCAGCCAGAAAAAAAGAGCTTTTAATTAGAGCCAAATTTAACTCTTTGTTGTATATAGGGAGCAAACCTAGATATGTTTTGAACATATTAAAAATAAAAGGAAGGGCAATGCTATCTCAGGTAAATGCAAACTTAAAGAAAAGCAAAAACAATGATTTTAAATATCTCACAGATTGGACATCAGAACCAAGATTATTAAATTATAGAAACATAGGTGCTTTATAATGTTAAGGGTTTTGATTTTTACTGAAGACCTAGAAAGATTTACCAAAATATGCAGCAATTTTTTAAATAAAATAAAACATATAGGATATAAGAAAAGTGGTCAAAATGTACTATTAGTTAACTATCATTAACTTATTTAATATGTGAAATAATTATGAAAATTATAAACTTAAATTGATTCCTATCATTGTTTAAATTGTAAAGAGAATTGCAATAAAATGTTCAAAAGAGATCAACAAAATAGACCTGATGTGTGTATGTAATATAATAATATATCATATATACGTATTATATACATAATATCAAATTGTGTGTGCTATAATAAAAATATACCTTCACTTGAAGAACCTGTGGAATATTAATGAAAATTGAACCATATACTATGATGCTACTGGAATTGCAGTCATCCTAAAAGTAAAAATAAGCAATATTCTCTATTGATGTAGAAGTGTTAGTTTCCAGTGGAGGAATGCTTCTACCATAGACAGCAGGATGTAGCAAATAAAAAGACAGGATATCTACTTTTCAAGTTAAATTTGAATTTCATGTAAATAATTTTTTTAGTTTAAGTGTGATCCAAATATCATATGGAGCATACTTATACTAAAATTATTTGTTGTTCATATGAAATTAAAATTTAATCAGGCATCCTGTGTTTTACTTGACTTTCCAAATTAAATTTGAAGTTGAACCCTGTCCACTCCGGCCTCTCACGCAAGTGAATAAATAGGCAAAGAAGGGGTCTGTTCCAATGGGTGGAGTGATTCATCCTGATATCGAGGGGAAATTGGATTCTGCAAAATGGTACTGTGTAATCACATTGTGTAAATTTATACAGGCACAAAGTAATGCATTGAGGATAGTTCAATATTGCAAAAGAATGGATCCACCAGAGGGGTGTTACAGCACCAGAGCATATCTACAGAATAAAATTCTACACATCTATAAAAGAAAATTAATGAGAAAGCTTTATGTACAAATACGAAATATCTCCAATATATACTGATAAATAAAAAGGCAAAGCAAGATTGAAAATTATGCTTGTTACTAGAAATAAGAAAAATAAAAATACCTGTTAATTTCTGTTATGACTTGTATTTAGATGTCCCCCCCAAAGCCTTATGAACTCATAGGTGGGATTTTTTGGAGGTAGCTGGATCTAGGGTGTGTGAATGTGGATTAAGTGTATGATACTGGGATTAAGGGTGTGTAGTACTAGATTAGTATGCTGATTGAAATTACCATAGTTCTGGGTGTAGAAAATGGAAGCCTTACCCTGGGTGTGGGTGGCAGCAATCAATAGGCTTCTGGCCTGGATGGAGTACAAAGGAGGAGAGAGAGAGAGAGAGAAGGCAGGTTTGCTGCTATTGTTGCTTGCTGCTTTGCTGCCTTCTGTCTGCCACACCATGAGCTGTTTCTCCTCTGCAATGCCCTCTGCCACGCTGCCTTTCCCTGGCGCCAGCCCCCTATGGACTGAAACCTCTACAACCTGTGAGCTGAAATAAACCTTTCCTCCTTTAACTTTGGGTGTAGGGTATTTTGTCTCAGCCACAAGAAAAGTAAGACAATTCCTTACCTTGTATTTGTATAAGGAAATACTAGAATGATACACTATAAAATAATAAAAGGAAATCTTTGCCTGAGGACAAGAGGAAATGGGGTATATGGAGACAGGGTGGAAGTGAGAATTCTGAAGGTATACCTTTTTGAAAATATATGAACATTTTAAATTTTAAAATATATGAATGCATTAGCTATTTTAAAAGTAATTAAAAAGTATTATTTCTAGATTATCTCACACTCACCCTTCTAAACAACTGAATTCTATTTGTGATCCCAAGAAGAAATCTGTCTTAATTTCCATTATGCCATTAGGTAAATCTCCTGGATTTCTGCACCGTTTCTCTGGGAGAAAAATTTAAATGATGATTAGTGATTCCACGTACTCACAGATAGGGGATTAGAGAAGAATGACTGGTAAGTTTTCACCTTTGCTTCCAGAAAGTCCTTGATCTTTAGATTCACACTTACTTCTGATCTTGACTCACTGAACTTGTTTTTTGAGGGAGGGAGTTTTGTTGGGGTTTTTTTGTTTTTGTGGTGCCAGGGATTGAACTCAGGACCTTCAGCTTGCAAGGCAGGCATGGTGCCACTGAGCTAAATCCCTGGTCCTGAACTTGTATTTTTGAGAAAAAAAATGCATACAGATTTAATCTCATATATGTGCACTGAAATCAGTAGTTGAGAAACTGGATGGTTTCTTAGATTCTGGAAATTTAGATCCTGAGACAATATTCCAAAGCTGGGAAAAGTACAAACGAAGAGAATGTCGATACTTACTGATGCAGAAGACATTGTACTTCCACCGGCCGCTAATGTTACAGGTAAGAGTCTGAACTGAACTGCTCCTGGTGTAGCCAGGGCGGCAGGTGTATTTCAGAACAGTTTCAGTTTCGAACTCTGTCTGGTTCAGCTCCATTGTTGGAGAAGCAAAGAGTAAAACAGGAGGGGGACCACATCTGCCTGGGCACCAAAATGACAAGAAGCACCAAACATCATATCTTCAGACACCGCATCTCAGTGTTTCAATAGCATGATGTTAGAGTAGGATAATTCCTTTTTCCCTAATCAAGGAAAATCGTAACTCCTCTTATCCCCTCTGTTCAACGAATCCAAGAGTGATCAGTATGTATGTTGGTAAATGACAATGATACGGGCATAAAATTTTATCTTTTCTCTACTATACATGAGATAACTTATCTAAAATGGATGAAAGACAGAAATTTCATCAGTCTATCAGATAATTCATTTCTGTTGCCGCACATGCATCTATGGAAAGCCAGAAATCCTTACAAGTGGGCCTCAACAAAAAAGCATTATTTCATTAAAATAACATTACATAATGTTGGTTGCCTCAGGGAAGGAAAACTGAGTGGCTGGGAGATGGGTAAACATAACATTTAAAAAACGTTTTGCAACTTTTGGATTTGGAATGATACGGAGGATGAAGCATGGAGTTGTTGAAGTATAAGAATATTAATCCTGCTTTCCTTACAAAAATTAAATACAGAACCAATTTACCTGTAAGAGCCCCAGTAGAGGTACACACTTCACCCCTCCACGCTGGACAAATCCACAAGTGGTGAAAATCATTCACTCAGACTGACAGATAATACAGATCTATTTCAAGTCATGCCTGGGGAGACAGATTGCTTTGGAAATTCTTAGAGGAGAAACTCTAGAAAGGAAATGCCTAGAAAACTGCTTCTTTCACGTGTAAAGCAAATTCCTCTAAGTTCCAGCTGGCAAAAACCAAAAACAAACACCCTTTGTTGCCGACCTCAATTTTGGCTAGAAGCTTAGTCATCTCTCTTTTTCGCTAAGTGTGGCTGATCTCTATTTTTCTTTGTCCCTCTGGACTTCTTCCTTACTACTCACCAAGAACGGTGGCCAACAGAGAAGCGACCAGTGTGATTTGGAACAGAGCTGGATGGGACACTCCGCACAGCCCAGAGAAGGGCCAGGCTCTCAGTGCCCCTTTTCTGTGATGGGTCCCATTTGGAGCTCTTGGGGGGCGCAAGACTTGATGCTTCTCTGACAGTTTTCTGCTGAAAGAACTCAATTTAATAAGCAGTCACTGATTCCTACTTGTCATAAAGCACTAAGATAAATGCTACCAGATCCATGTCTTCAAGGAAATCACAGCTTAGACTGGAAGAAAACAGAGAAGCACAAATGTTACGAGACAGTGGAGGATGGCTCTGCACAAGCACGCTGCCAAGAAAAGAGATTAATTCCAGGTGGAGAAAGGCAGAAGGCTGGCTTTACAGGGAAGACTGCTTAGCTGGGCAGGGAGACACACGTCTGTAATCTCAGTGATCTGGTTGGCCAAGGCAGGAAGGTTGCAAATTCAAGTCCAGCCTGGGCATTTAGCAACTTCGTAATCTGGTCTCACAGCCAGAATGAAGGGGTCCGGAGATGTAGCGCAGTGTGCAACCCCTAGCAGTGGGGAGACAAAACTTATTTAAAATGAACTCACTGGGGACATTGTTGTGATACCATAACGATGCCCTGATTCATATCTATGCCCATCTCCACTTAAAGAAGGACGCTCTCTCAGAGACGTTTCTACCCCACATTATTTATGCAGGGGGCATTTCCAGTGGTGCAACACACTGTGTAGAGGGGCGAGCTCTTCGTCGGGTAGAGACTCGCGTCGGCTCATCTTTCTAAAACTCAGTTCTGATGAAGCATTCCTCCAGCTACTGTTGGGGTGGACACCTCCATGCCACACACACCCTGTTCCATGAGCCTAACGCATGGCCCCTGGGACAATTCTGCCAAATGTAAGTTAACCTTCATAACAATCAACTAGATGAATTTGCTTACTGAAAGTACGTTCGCAGAATTTGTACTAGAGGAACCCAGATGGTCTAAAGAGGTTGGGGAAGGCACATTGCATGTCATAAAAATCAGCCCACTAAATCATTTGTGAAATTCACAAAATGTAGTAAGTTTCTCCCATCCAATAAAAACGATCATGAACTATGAAACCCACGAGTTTCTTTAGCTTTGGACAAGTCAGTAGCTGGTATTTTATTGAATTTCAGTGAAACTGAGGAGATTAAAAATACTGATGTCTTGGCAAAGTAAAATTTGACTATAAAAAATAAAAAATACAAAGTGAAATTTTCTCACAGAATTGTTGCAGTTCTTATTTTCACAAGAAAAATATATACATGGAATACATTCAGAAACATATTCAGGACTGCATTACCAAAATGCAGCTGTAAGAGTAAATTTTTAGCTTTAGGAAATTGAACAAGAAGAATATCTAACTGGTTCTAAAAAGAACATATTGGCTACATTCAAAAAGAATGTACTTATAATCACTGAGTATATTTGAAATGAATATTCCACAGTGTTTGGTAAATTGGTTTCGGTGAATTCCGGGCCCTTCAGGACTGGCATTCACTCAACTGGCTTTGGGGCTGAGTTTCCGGAAGTTTGGCCTGAGCCCTGGTGTCCCGGATGTCCTGGATATCTGAGGTTTCCACAGGTTCCTAACACTCTCCTCCTTCTTACTCCGGCCCACATCGTCTGCCCTCTGCCCCTTGCCGCTCCAGCTTCTGCTCACCCTGCCAGTCTGTTCCCAGAGTTCCCTTCTCCTCCAGGCCAAGTTCAGCTCAGTGGCTGTAACTTTCATTCTGAGTTGGATTCCAGCTAACCTCTGCAGTCGGGCTTCACCACCTCGCAGTCAGAAGGTGGTTCCTACTCATTTCCACCCCGTCTAGAACCTAACACTGTGGCTCACAGAGTCAAAATTGTTCAGTAAATGTCTGCTGAGTGTAAATCCAAAAGCACCTATTGATAAAGTATGCTTCCAAGAAAGATAATACTGTTCCATATCCATCCTAACCCTTATGTGTTAGCTTTGTCAAGGGCAGATTTTAACTGATTTTACAGCAAGACATGTCTGTATGTTAAGAAAAACTGATCCAAGCAATTTTACTACAAGCTCCTTTTCATTGTCTACCGAGGGCATCCTGTCACCTGCCAGTCAGTGGGGGTGGGGCAGACGTGGAGGAGGGAAGCAATTACAAAAGTGAGCTCTGCTCCCTTCCTCACCCTGTACAAGCTAAGGTACAGCCACACAGAGACCCTGCACCCTAGTAGAGAGGGTGTTTGTCTCCTCTACCTCGGACTCGGCCACAGTGCTGGGGACAGAGGAGGGAAGTGTGGACTCAGACCCAAACTATGTGGGCTCAAATCCTGGTTCCACTGTGTAGGAATCAGGGCTCCACGGGCAGAGACACTCACCCCCACCATGATTTAACTTCCTCTTTTGTAAAATAAGAATAGTCATTGCACATGTCCTCAGGATAGCATGGACAGTACATCGTGAACATTTACGAGGGATTAGAAAAGAGTATGATAGCGTGGGCATTTAATGCCCCTCTGCCAGAAGCGGAACTCCTAGAAGTCAAAACATTATCATAATCATCCGAGTTATAAGAAGGGCGGCTGTGTCACCAGAGGACTTTATGCCCCAGTGCCGAGGACCACCCACTGGGCTGGGGGCCAGAAGCCTTGGCCTGCCTCTCCCGTGGATCTGGGTACAGTGAGACCCAGGGCAGAGAGACACCAGGGCCCCTAGAGGCTGTCCTGGAGGTTCCTTCCCTCCCCCTCAACTGTCTCACTGGGAGGAACTCATCCACGTCCACGACGTTGATCATCGCACGTGGGTCACTCCCAGTCCTCTGGCCCCAACTTCTTGTGTAGATGTGCAGCCTCACATGCTCCATGAACTTATTGTTGATAATCACCTTATGCTATTCTATTTCAATATTCCTATGTGTAACTTTGAAGTCATTGAAGCTTTGTCTTCTCTATTCTGGTTGCTAACTAGGGGAATTTCTGTGCTTAGCTTAAAAATATATACATCTTTCTAAAGTCAGTGAAAGAAATCTTAGCAAAGTAAGGAGGAATATTCCTCTTCCCCTGTGGGAGTGGAAAGCAGATAATATACTGCCTGAGAGTACCGACTTTGCATGTTTCCAGTCAGGGACTCGATCCTAGACTCTGTGGTCCAGGAAAAGACTGTTGCTTTGCCCCTTGAGTGTAACCTTTAACCTTAGAAAAGTCTGCAGTTCTGGCTGGCTGTCTCAGTTATTTTTGTCTGAGATAATATTTAAATAACGTTTCTGTTTTCTGAAAGTTATAAGTACTTGCGAGTTTTCTTTGCAGATCCAGAAAGACATTAGCATGCATTCCTCTTCACTTGAAACCCTAAATGTAAACTAAAACTGACCCTGTTAGATTTCTCAGTGAAGCGAAAAACCCTTGTTTGGAAGGGTTGCAATCACCAAGGCTCGGGTTAGTACTTCGACCCACTTCACTTGTGTTCCCAGGCACCTGGTCTGCGTGTACTCCGAACCATCTTCCTCCCACACTGTTTGACTTCCCTGCTGTCTTGCCTACCGGAACAGTTCCGTTTCCACCCGACCTCCTGGCCTAGGAGCCCTGTCAGCCTCGCCATGCCCCTGTGTCTCTTTCTGTGTTCACAGAGGCCCGAGTCCTGCTGAGGGGCCACTGCAGCGCACAGGTATTCACCTCTCCCTCCTGTCCTCCACTTCTACGGCCCAGGCAGAGGTTCACGTAAGCTGCTTTACCCCACCCCAGATCACTGCAGAATTTTCCAAATAAGTGTAGCTAGCACCTTTGTCAGACAATTATGCCCTTACAAAGGCAATTGAACTATGTCGCCCTGCTTTACTGGTCCCTGATTCCCACGGGTCCTCACTATTCTTTCAGCTCTCCACAGCCCTCTTTTGCAAATAGAACAACGCTGTGCTTCAAACCTCAGGAAAGGACTAACCTTTTGCAAAACACCTCCTGCACGTCTGTAAACACCTGCACACATCCGCACACATGTCACATAATGTCTCCCACGCGTGAATGCTCTTACCTCTGTTCTCTTTCACTGTTCAGATCCAGGGCCACCTCCATGGTGAAGAATTGCCCAGCTCCACCAGGAAAAGCCCAAACCTTTCGTGTGCCCCTGGGACTTCGCTGATAACCTCGATCAAACCGTCTCCTTTCTCCTGCTGCCTGAAAGAGATTGCAGTTCCCTTGAAGGGAAATATCACAAGGGTGATAGTTCAACTTTCTGTCTCCAACCTGGTATTTTAACGGTGTATAATAGTTACCCAATAAATGTAAAATAAGTAAAACTCGGCTTAGTTCTGTCTCAGGAGTAAGAATGCCTGTCTCCTAGAGGATGTAATGCATGTAAATTGCCTCGTTAGCTTTGGCATAGAGGCGGTGAGATGTTTGGACGTCTCCCGTGAACTCTTACTTTCCTGGCTGCTCTGGGGTCTCCCAGCAGAGCTGGCAGGGAACTCAGCTGATCACGGAGTATGGTGGGGCCAGAGGTGAGGACTTGCAGGTCGAGGAGGCCTGAGTGTGAGTTGTAGCAATGGCACAGTCTGAGCCTGTACCCCTGCAGAAGCTACGTGAGCTCCTTGAAACTCAGTTTCCTCCTCTCTAAAGTGATGACACTCGGCTTAGCTGATGTATTTTATTTCCTACAAACTGCACAATTCTGGAACTGGGGACTGCAAAGCTGAGGCCACTCTAGCAAATTCCTACATATCTCAATATCACCTGTTTAATTTTTAGAGAAGTGAAACCGACTCAAGGACTATAGTCAAGATGGCAAATGTTTTGGGAAAACACTGTTCACACTTGCTATTGAAGTACAATTTGAGAGACGCTGAGAAAATCTTCATCCCCAACTTTCTGCTTTTACTATCTTTTAAGTTAAGTCATTTCTTTTGTCTGAATTCACCTTTAAAATTCAGACTCTCCCCAGAAAGGTCTGGTATCTGGTAGAGTGTCTTTCTTAGGCCTTGGCTTTCAAGCACTATCACTTCCAAACTCCAGAGAGAACTTGCACCCTAGAGTCTGCTTCTCTACCTGCCCCTTCCTTCTATGCCCAGGCCACAGGCAAAAGTGTCTCTAAGCCTCACGCCAACCTCATTGATGCCTCCTGCTCTTCAGTAAAAGCTACTTTTCCTTCCCCTGGCACCATTATGCTCAGAGACAGAATGGGAATCAGTAAAGATGCAATTAAAACAGACTGTGTTCTGGCCAGCCAGAGCAGGAGGGGATTTCGAGAAGAAAGAGTAGTTGATGGTGTCAGTTTTGGAAAACAAGGCAGGCAAGGAAAGCTTCGGAAACAAACCGAAGGCCGACTCCCCATTACCAAGTCTAATGGTCTTCGCTGTCTTTGGTATCACTGAGACGTTAATAAAATCTCCGAGAAAAATTACAGCAACTTTCAGAATATAGACTGGAAAACAAGTCTCCTGTTCCCCTTTGGGAAGTCTATTCCCTTGTGCCTCAGAACTCTCATGTGGGGATATGACAAAGAATCAACAGACCAGGCCAGGCACAGAAGCTCAAGCCTGCAGTCTCAGTACTCGGGAGGCTGAGGCAGAAGGATCACCTCAAGTTTGAGGCCAGGCTGGGCTACATAGGGAGACCCTGTCTCAAAAAAACAAAAACAAGCAAATCAACAGACCAACACACTTATTTCTGGGGTACAATAACACGAATAATATCATCCCACATTTATTTTCTGCTTTATTTTATTAAGTCATTACTATTCATCAATTTATAATAAAAATTTAAGGCTGAGGGGGGTTAAATTACTCTTCCAGTCATGCAACTCCCTAATGCAATACTCCTGAAAAGATTTCTGAAAGCATCACCAAGTTTTTGTCTCTGATTGTCCTTCCAATCCTATGCTTCCAGAAGGGCCAAGACACTAGCCTTTTCCTCTGGATCTGCCCAGTGCTGCCCAGGGAGTCCACTGACCTGCAGGAAAAGAGGGAAAGGCTCTGCTGGAGGCCTTGGTGTGCACAGTCCTAGTTCCTCCCAAGATCGTGGTGTCCTGAGGCCAGCTAGTAACTGCTCCACCAGGAATCCCTGAACTCTAGCCGAGCAGTTGGCTGGTCAGGGGTAGCTGGATGAAGATGGATGAGCAGAAACTCCTCTGGCCCAGTGAATGATTAACAGCAGAGACAGGGCAGCAGTATTTACTTAATCTCCTCCTCTTCACTAGCCCTGTCCTTAACAACATGTTGCAATCACTTTATCCTCTGCCAACCATTTCCCCTAAGTGAAGATGTAATTTGATCTGGATGCCAGTATTCCATTTTCTTTTCATAAACACAAAAGGAGTCCAGCTGCCCTGGAAGTCTTGACTACCGCAGCACCGAGAAAACTCCACAAAAAATGACCCGCTTCCTGTAACACTGGGTCCAGAGGTTTGATGGGGGCTGCGGGCTCAGGGTCTTGCCAGGCACTGGTCGCTGTTCTGACCCAAGGAAGTACAATCGGAGGGGAACTGGTTTATTGAGTTGCTGCTCTGCACTGGGTTGGCTGCAGTGTACTCAGAGCTCCCAGGGCCGGGCTTCCACACCACAGATGCCGCATGCCGGGCTCCAGAGGATCTCGGGAAGTCAGCCCGTCACCAAGCTCTGCTCAGGACACAAGAAGGGGCTGCAGTGTGTCACACAGACTAAGAAGGAGCCCGAACCCTGATACTGTGCAACCAAGTATTCATCCTAGCACTTCAGATATGTGTGCTCAGAAAATACTAAAAGGAAATTCTTTCCAACAATAGAACCTTTTCTATAACACACACTGAAAGTCCCATAAAGCGTTCAGAAAGGAAGGAATGAAGTTCCCCTACCTTATCAATTTCTCTTTCTTAGTTATTGTTACCTCCGATTCTTCCTTCTCATCCCTAAACACAGAAACATTTCATGTCCTTTTTAAAAAAATTTTCTCTTCACAATTTTAGTGACTGCAGCTACTGTCACTTTATTGCCAGCCCCAGGACTTCCCCATCCTGCATGTTTATCTCATGCTCTCCTAAACTCACCCTTTGCTTTTTATTTTCTGCTGGCCAGTGGACACATTGCAAGTTCTTCAGACTCGGCACATATGGAGAGGACTTCTCAGCTCCTGCCCGGTAGCTTCATTTTATGATCCGATCTAATCTAGGTCCTCAGAGTGGAATTTCAGGCTTGCCTTAAACTCCATCTTTCCCTAATCCCCCAACAGTCAATCTGCTGACAAGTAGTTTTGTTTGTTTGTTTTCTGAGATAGGGTTTTGCTACAGAGTCTAGGCTGAACTAGAACACCCTACATATCCAGGCTGGCTTTGAACTCGAAATCCCACCTCGGCCTCCTGAATGCTGGGATTATAGGTGTGTGCCCCCCACACCTGGTGACAAGTTGTTTTGATGTGAGTTTCACAGTGTTTCTCATTTCTATTGCTTTTTTTCCCATTTCTACTGCCATCAAGCTAGTTCAGGGTACATTGCCCATTGTGTGGCTGTCTTAGTCTGTTTTCTGCTACCATAACAGAATGCCAGAGTCTGGGCACTTTATAATGAAGACGTTTATTTCTAATAGCTCTGGGGGCTGGGAAATCCAAAACCGAGGAGCTGCATCTAGCAGATATCTTGCAGCACCATCTCACGTGGGACAGTGGAAGGGCAAGAGAGCGCAGGCATGGCCGGAAGGGGAGAGGAGCTGGATTCATTTATCAGGAGACCGCTCTGGGGACAGTAAACACTCCATAACAAGAACAATCCATTTGCCAGGGCTCGCCCCTCCTCACCAAGTCGCCTCTTAAAGTTCCCTCCTCTCAACCCTGTTGCACTGGGGCCTGGTTAGATCCAACACGTGGACTTTAGGGGACAGAGAAACCACAGCTGGTAACAGCTGCTGCAGTCCTTCTACTGGCTTCTCTATCTCAATTCTTTTTCCACTTCAACTGATACTTCATACTAGTGTGAGATGAATTTTCCTGTGTTCTGTGCTTATGATTCCCTTGCTTGAAAGTCTTCCGGGTGTACTCACTGCCTAACAGAAGTAGGTGCAAGTTCCCTAAGGTGATGTCTAAGCCCTCTGTCAGCTGTCAGCTGTCTCGGACAGGTCTCTGCACCCTCCTCTCTTGCCACCTCCCTGCCTCATCCATGCCAACCCCATCTCCGTGCTGTCCTCCAAATGCGTTCCATTGTTCCTGGTTCAAAAAATTATCAACCATTCATTTAAAAATACTAAAACACCTCAAGAGATTTAAGTATTTGCCTGTAATTCCAACATTCTGTGAAAGTAGTTTTCATCTGTGCTCACTGCTGCCCAGTCCTTTCTTACAAGAATAAAGACTTTACATAAATGCGATCATAAGTACTTATTTTTTACCTGTTATATTGTCAAGATTTTTTTCATAATCACTGTAAATGCTGCGTAACATTTGATGGGCTATAAATTACTTAAAAATTTCCTACAAGAGGCAGAGGTTGTGGTACACGCCTGTAGTCCCAGCACTCAAGAGGCTGAAGCAAGAGGATTACCAGGAGTTCAAGGCCACCCTAGGCTGCATGGTGAGTTCAAAGCCAGCCTGAACCACACAGCAAGACCCTCTCTCAAAACACTAACATAGAATTTTTTCTACAATTGAATATTTTAGATGCTTGCCATGTGTTGCCGACAATAACAATACTATAATAAATATCTTCAAGTTAAAATCAATATATCCCAGTTAGATTAGTCCTAGCTGTGGATTTACTTGGTTAAAATATGAGATATGCTCCCAGGTGCTACTCACTTCACTGTAAAAATATTCCTTCCACTTGGAATATCCTGCTTCTTAATCTTTGTCTATAAATCTCACCTTTGAAAGTACAAATAACTAAAACCGCTTCCTTGGCAGTTTTCCTGGCCCCATCTTTGCTCCCACAGCGCCCTGTGCTCTGGAAAGGGTCTGCTTCCTCCCAAGCACCCTAAAGTAGTCAGGCTTTGGGGCTGTTCCAAGACTTCCGATGACTTAAAAGTCCATTTCTTATTTTCCTTTGTAACGCCACCCACAGATTTACCATTATTTCAAGCTTATTTCCTCTGTATTTTGGACATATTTTACCCAGATTTCTTGTGTGCTGCAGGTGGAGTCGGGGTAAGGAGTGGAAGGAGCCTGTCGGCCAGCTCAGGATGACATTTGGTAAGAAAGCCTTAAGATTCTAATTTCTTCTACCCTCAAAAAAGCAGAGGAAAATATATTCATTTATGTTGCATGCTTCAAAGCTCGTGATAATGCAGGGCTGGTTTCATCCAAAAGGTGGTAAGCAGCAGTGCGGCAGAATGCTCGGAAGTCTGGTTTCTAAAACCGTGGGTAGGGAGGCCCAGGAGAGTTTGGGATCTAACTATTTCTGGCTCAGTAGTCTGTTTAGGGTGTTACTGTTCTGAGCTTATTTTCCAGCATGAGAGGTTAATTTTGCCTCATATGTTTTGAGTCACTTGGGGTTAACTTTTGCCTCATAATTCATATTAAAATATGAGGCACACTCTCAGTGAGATCCACACTCCCTCCTTCTCCTTACAGACAGGAAATTAAACTCTCCAATCTCCATCAATGTGCTGCCAATTCTGGTCATCAGTGAAAACTATCTTGGTCTTTCTGTAAACACACACACACACACACACACACACACACACAGAGGCACACACGCACTCACGAGTATGTTACGCGAGTGGCTAGTATGAAATTGCATTTCAGCCCAGTGAGAAACAATCTGAAACCATTTTAGAACCAGGAGGAAAATTTATTCATAAGAGCATTTCTATCACCAGTCTGCTCCCCATGATGTTACACCAACATTTTTGCCATCAGCTCAGCTTTCTTAATCTCCAGAGAGTATTTTAGTTCCTCCATTGTTAAACCATTTCCCTTTACTCTCTTCATAAAGTCCTCCATGGCACTACACATCTCCTCAGTCTCCCGAAAGGCAAGCTGAAGAAAGAACATTTTTAAAGTTACCAGTGAAGGACTGCCATCCAGCCCTAGACTCTGAATGGTGGCTCAGAACCAGGAGCTTCGGGAGGGGTCTGGGCCTTCAATCATTTACATTTTCTGGCTTGAAGAAACTTACTAATATTTCCCCAGTAGTGAATACGGACTAGAGGAAGAGTCTCAAGAAGAATAGATCCATTTGTCTTTTGTTGAAATTTAGAGGAATTTTTAGAAATTTTTCACATAATCTCAGGCAGTAAGCTTTTGTTGTGTTTTGTTTTAAGACAGGGACTCACTGAGACACTAAGTTGCCCAGACTGGGCTCAAACTTGTATCCTCCTGTCTCAGCCTCTCAGAGAGAAGGCACTGAGTTTAAGCACCTCATTCTGTAAGGCACATGAGGCAATGACTCCTACCAACATGGCTTCCCAAGGCCTCAAGGATGATGGTGGTGGATGGGAATGACCTTATGTAGAAATGTGAGCAGATAGTGTGAGAGGTCCCTTCTAGAATCAAGCCAAGACCAACCCATTGAAAAACACTGTCCATCCTGACCACATGCCCGGAGTGGCCTGGCCTTAGAGACACTGCTGTGACAGGGGCCTACTCACAAATGCTCTCTCAAACCCCATCGGGGGTACTGGTGTGGAGGCTTCCGGGATCAGCTCGCAGGCTGGAAGGGCGCTGCTCCACTCCCCGTCTACACACTGCTGCTCCGGGGTGCCCACCAGGCGGTACCTGGACACGGTGATTAGCAGTTACCAGGGCAGGACTGAGACCCGGCCCTGTACTCCGCAGCAGGCAGGTCTCTGGGCCTGGAAGGACCCTGACCCTTTCCGCCCTCCACACTGGGAGACGGAGGCCGGTCCTGCCCGGTCGCATTTCCATGTTTCGGCTGTGGTAGAGCCACCGTGGCCCTGAGCCTCCCTGCATGCTCAAGTTAGCTGCACATCCCAGAGCAGTGTGAAGGAAAATGACTCTCCTGGGGCACAGAGGACCCGGGATGAGTCAGCCCTGACCCCAGAGCAGTTGGGATTCTGAGTTGGTGATGCACACGGCTTGTGGGTGAGGGAGGAAACAGTGGACCCTGACAGCCTGAGAAGGCACCTGTCATCGGAGCTCTAGAAAGCAGAAAGAAGTTAATCACACTCCGGTAGGTGGTAGTGGATGGGCTGAAGGGGAGCGGCAGGTTTTAGTCAGAAAAATGAGTCGACTGGAGTCTGTAGGACTGGAAGCCCGGAGGCCAAGGGACTCGGAGGATTGAGAAGGGGAGAAGAGTCCAGAAGACCCACAGGGGGGAGGCCAGGCATTGTAAACTAAAGTCAGGTAGGTTAAGGCCCATACTCTACCTCTATGTGTCAACTTCCGCATTTCTTTGAGTTTTGTGTTCTTTGATTCTTTAGAAAACACATACACAGTATTCTAAACTTTGTCTTAACTGGGAGGGAAAGTGGTACGTCCACCAGGATGAACAGGAGGCTTTCATGGGATTACCCCGTGTTCTCAGGACCAGAGAGCTGGCCTTGGACTACAGCGGCCCTCAGAATCAGAATGAGCCCTGGATCCGGAAGCAGTGGGAAATCGGGGCACTAGATGCCATGTTTCCTGCAAATAATCATTAAAATATTGCTAATGATTATTAAGACAGTGTTTTCCTAGCGATCTAAGACACGAGTCCCAGGCAGCCTGTCCTTGCCTTTCCCTGTGGCCATTACAGGGCGGCGGAGCGGGCATCCCTGGAGTCACCATGGTAACGGCCGGCGCTTGTTTTAGGGGCAGACGCAGAAAATAGTTTGGGTCACTCCCCCAAAACAGGGCTGCCAGGGAGCAGGAGCTCGTGCACGTACCTCTTCTCGCAGTGAAACGTAATGGTGGATCCTGAGGTGAACTTCGCTCCTTCAAAGTAGCCATGCGCTGGCTTCTCGGGAGGGCCACAGTCTCCTAAGAGAAGCAAGCACCGGGGCATCCGTGAGGCCGGCACGCCCAGTGGGCAGCGCCCCGACTTGCACGGCAGCACAGGGGGCCTGGGCGGGGTCTTCACCTTTCAACGCCTTTCTAATATTTTAAGATAAGTTGGCTAAATACTGTTTTTGGGGGGCCCTTTTCAGCGCTGAGATTTTTATGAGGCTAAATGCTGATCAAGGTTAAAGGTTAAATTAGGAATAATTGTACGGGTACGTACATACTGAAATACAAATGTTTTGAAAACAAATGTGTTGAGTTAAAAAAGAAAATTATAAAAGATGACCTGGGCATAGTGGCACACGCCTGTAATCCCAGCACTTGGGAGGCTGAGGCAGGAGGATTCCGGTGAAGTCGGAGGCCAACCTGGTAACGTAGTAATTGAAGGCCAGCCTAAACTGCATAGCAAGACCTCGTCTCAAAACGAAAACAAAAACAACAAAAGTATAAAAGAGCACCCATAATGCAATACTATTTTTTGTAAAACACTGTCTCATACAAGCACGCACAGGAAAAACTTCAGGAAAGTTAGATGTCAAAGTATTCCTAACCCTTATCACCTAATGGTAGGTTTATGGGAAACTGATTTCTTCACATATAGGGTCTCACTAAACAATTCAAACTGGCCTTGAATTCACTATGCAACCCAGGCTGGTGTCAAACTTGCCATGATCCTCCTGCCTCAGCCTCCCAAGTGCTGGGATTACAGGCCTGTGCCACCTCACCTGGCTACTTCTATAATTTTTTGCCAACAAAGATACATTACTTAAACAGTTAATACAGAATCTGAAGAAGTTTGGAGATTGCAGTCACAAACTGAATAGAGGAAATAAAGAATGTCCGTGTTGTTAATCAAGGAACTGTAATTCAGTCAGGGCTCTGGTGACTTAAGTGTTTAATTTTGAACCAAAGAGATGATGTGCATCTGGGGTCTAATAGGAAAAAACTATGCTTTCCAGGGATCTTGGAAAGTTCTCCAGAATTTGCACAATTAAGAAATGCAGGACAGGGATCCGGTGGCTGGGAATCAGGGTAGATACCGCTACACTGAATAAAACAGAAAAAGCTTGGAAACATTCAGAAGTACTGTGTGCCTGTGAGGTATAATGATATCACCCACGCACTTGTTTCTTGGCCGTATGTGGCATGTACACACGTTTGGAGTAACCTCAGATGCCCTGACAGAAGCATATGTAGTTTGTGCTTTTAAACTGCCTGGCCATTTATTATTTTAATAGCACTGCCAAAATACATTCAAAGATTAATATCACTTTACTCTCTCACTGACGTAAGTGCCTATTTCCTCAAATCCTGAATGATATTAGAGGAAATCAACATTTTATTTTTGTGATTAGTAAAAAATTTCTATCTAATTTTAATTTCCAGTTCCATAATTCTTAGTAATGTTCAACAAAATTGGGGAGTAGAAATGCTGTGTGAGGCCATAACTTTGGAACTGTCCATCCTTACACATTTTAGTCATTTTTCTATCACTGTGTCTTTTTCCTACTGATTTCTAGGCACTCTTTGTAAATTCAACATGTAACAGTTTCACAACCAAATATCTGGCCAGTTTTTAAATGTAGTTACATCCGTCCTTATTCTTCCTTTATGAATTCTGAGTTTTATGTGGATACGATAAAGTTTTAGATAACTTAATAGATTGAATATTAAGGTAGTTGTAGAAGCAAAATAAGTAATGTGTTCTTTTAAGATTTGCTTTTCCCATAACTCCTTGTTTAAGGTGAGGATTATCTGACTCTATCCTGTAACTTCAATAACCTAACAAAGTTACCACGCCAAGGTGAATTTACAATGTATATGGCCTCTTTTGTGTCTGTGACTTGTAAATAGGAACTGGAATTCTATTTACACATCAAAGATCACTAGGGATGAGATAATGGCTAAAAAGAGTATAAAAAGGGAAATGCTGAACAAAGGGGGGGTGGATACTGACCAGACTGGTTTCTGGCGTTCCCACCCGCTCACGGGAAGAAATTTTATTATTTTATCCAAATTCTGTGTCTCTGTGTATTTCTTTCTGAGATTTCTGCAACAATGTTACTGCTGAAAAAGGTTTTCCTCATCATATATTCTTTCACGTTTTCTTCTAATAATGTAATCATTTTGTTTTTATATTAATATATTTCAATCTATTTGGAATATATTTCTCATGTACCATAAGCTACAGCCCCAACTTCGTCTTCTTCCAAATAGACCACTATCTCATTACCATTGGATACAAATGTTTTCCATGGATTTAAAATAAACTGTCCTAATTTTTTGTCCCTATACAGTGCTATTTTGATAGCAAGTTAATTATAACAGCTCTAATTTGCCTTTTGCCTATAATATTGCTGTACATTTTGCTACCTGATAAGACAAGTGTTTCCTCCCATTTGATCCAGCCAAATGGGAACACTAGTTATAATTTTCTAAAAACATAGACTTGCAACATGAGCTACATACCCTCCCAAATGAGATTTTTTAACTGATTTTTTATTTCACACTTTTTAATTATTGCATGTTTGCCATACATAATGATTTTGTTGATTGTAGGGAGTTGGTACACATACAGAATGCATCGTAATTCTTTTTTGTTTTCTTTTTGCTCCTGCCTCTCCCCTTCCTCTGCTTCCTTCCAAATCTTGGCCCCCTTCCAATTTGCAAAAGTTCTGTTTTTATTGTCTTTCCTTCAATTCTTTTTTCCCCATCCCCTTTCCCCGCCTCTGTCTGTCTCTTGTCCCCCTGTCCACTTGAACAAGATCTCCCTCCTCCTATTCCTCCATCTTCTGTTTTACTCTTTATTTCACAGCTTTTAAATTTACAGGCTGCAGGATGCACGGTAGCACTCAGTCTGCCTGCCACAGGCATGGTGTGTGGCTTCTTTTCATTTTTGCCCTTTGGTAAATTTTCATATAGATCTTGTGAATGGAATTATTTTCACATTTCCATATTCAACTACTAGGATAATAATATCCTAAAGAAATAGCATAGACATAAGGATGTGGGGTATAGAAAGCATTCATTTCAGCACTGTTCCTAACAGCAAAAATATGCAAATCCATGTCCATTGATATGAGAGAAGTACAATAAATTCTGGTATAGCTATGTGCAGTTATTAAAAAGTAGGAGATAAAGCTATATTACTAGGATGGGGAAAATGGCTATGTATATGTTATAAGAAGAAAAGAAGTTTAAAACTATGTATGGCAAGATCCCATCTTATAAGTACATACATTCGCAAATACTTATGAAATGTTTAATTTAAAACATTTTATTAGGGTGTTTGTTTTAAATGTGCATAAACAAGAAAAAATCAATAGACAAACACACCCAACTGATTTCCTCTGAGAGGAATGAACTGTAGTGATAAAAGAGGAACTTTTACCCCTTGTTATATTCAATCTTAGAATGGATGAGTTAGGGTGTTTTCGTTGTTGTGTATTTTTTGAATAAAACCCACCTTGAAATAAAAACATAAAGTGCAATACTCAGTGTCCCAAACTACCCTGTCATAGCAGGCAGGAATCCTGCATGAACACAGGACGAAGTGTTCCTGGATCCTTCTGGTCCGTCTCACCAGACTCATCCTGAGTGGAGGTTTGCTCCTGTGAGCTGCACTTGTTTCTTGGCCGCCTGTGAGGTCCTCCACTTCACCCACACACAGAGGAGCGGGTGCTGCGGGGTGTGGGGGTCCAGGGTAACGCTGCTAATCAGCATCTCTGGGACTCCTCGCTGGTTTTGGTACTTACTACTTTTGCAGGCAGGAAAGGGAGGTGCCCAGCTGTGGTCCTCTAGGCACTGGCTCCAGGTGCTGCCTTTGAGGATGTAGTGGTCATTGCACTTAAACGTGATTATGTCGCTTACATTCACAGGACCTGAAGAATTGAACTCTCCATTCTCCAACACTGGGTCAGGACAGTGGCCCACTGCAGAAGAAAACAGACAGTGACCTGAAAGGGCCGGGTGGATGCCTGACACAGCACAAGCCAGACCTCTTGGGCTTCAGGGAGAAAATAGCAAGAGAGCTTCAAGCTGCAAAGTGCAGTATGTCAATGCAAGATGAGAAAAAGCCAGGTTGCTATACGTCTGGCAGAAATGGCCTGGTCATGCACAAGAAGGACATGAATTGAAAGTTAAGTTTACTAGATGTAAGTAAGCATGTAACTACACATTGCCAACTGTATATTCATGACCCTGTCATGTTATGCATTGCCCAGAATTCTTGAATCTGTGTTAAGGCAAGTCTTTCCGTTTATCCAGCCATATATACAGTTATTCTTCATTTTTTGGTTTTATTTTTATTTTCATGACACAGAAAGACAGGGGAAATGCAGAAAGATGTGAATTTCTTCATATTAATGAATGATGAAAACATTGGTGTGGGTCCACAGAGAAATAGTACAGCTATTTTTCAATATTAATAACAAAGAGAATGTGGACTATTCTCCATCTCTGAAGGGGACCCCATTTTGTGACACTGAGCAAGTCACTCTGATCTCACATACCACACTTGTAAATTAAAAACATCTGTTTTTCCCAGTTCAAAAGCTAAATGATGGGTGAAATAAAATGATTTGATGTTCTTATTTCAGAATACTAAAGCAAAGATATAAATGGAACAGGATTAATCAGGCACTGACAACTGATGAAGCTATGAGATGAGTATATATGTTAATTTGATTTTTCCGACTTTTTTTTCAATAATATAATTTTTTTTTTTTTGCTATATGGGGATTGAACCCAGGGCCTTTGCATCAAGCTACACCCCCAGGTCTCCCTCCCTTTCTGCTTAGATTGTGAAGATGGAGGGTCTCATGAAGCTGCTAAGTGGCTAAAGCTGGGCTCGAACTTGTGACCCTACTACCTCAGCCTCCCAAAGTGCTGGGAGTACAGGCTTGAACACAAGAATTTTTAAAGCAGTAAGAGATTGAATAAATTATCGCAAAAAAGGCAGGCTTAATATATGGGAAAAATTCTTCACAGGCCTAGGAGTGTAGCTTAGTGGTAAAACAGGTTCTTAGCATGAGTGAGGCCCTTGGGTTGATAGTACTGCTACTAAAAAATTCCTTCTTATAAAAAGAATTGATTCTATTAACTCAACCAAACTCATACTGATCAAGAGCCAATCTTATACCTTTCCCAGAGAAGATCCACTTCTACAGGGCTTTAAAAATGCATTCCTAGATTGAGAATTTTTTAAATACAGTTTTAACATGGCCTATAGGAAGGAGGCTACAAAAGAATATAGTGAGATGACAAAATGGGCAAAGAGGTAGAAAAATCCAACTTACAGCGGCACTGAGTGGCGGAAGCCACCCACTCCTCAGAGGCATTGCAAACAAAACTCTTCTTTCCTTGCAGGTGGTAGCCCTTGATACAAAAGTAAGTCCCCAGAACCTGTCCTTCCACCTCCTCTGTGACAGACATGCTGTTCTTCACTGAGGGCGTTTCTGGACAGCTCTGTGCTGGAAGGAAAAAGAAGCCAGACTCACTCGGCTTCCTGCGTGCTGCACGGGGCCCCTGTTAGAGGCCCGCATCTGCCTGTCTGTCTGCTGGATCACTGATTCTGATTCTTGTTCTCTCCAGGTGCATACACATGTTTGTTCCTCCTTTGCCAAAGATTTTCAAAGTTATCCTGTACTTCCAGAAGGACAGTCAGCATTTCGCTCAAATTCAGCCGCAAGGTACCCGTTCACAAAGCATCCCTTCCTCAACCATCCTGGAGTTCGGGTAGGCACCACCTCTAGGATTTTGAAGCAGGTGCTTGTTTTGTACCCAGAAGAGGAAGGGTGAGTCAACGGTAACCACTCTTCTCAGAGAGCAGGATCATCAAGAAAGCTATTCTAAGCCCCTCGTGAGTATGGAGCATTAGACGATGTAATTTGAAAATTTTCAATAAAAAAACAAAGAACTGTAAATTTCATTAAAATTCTGGACAGAATGCCTCATAACCCACAGACTGACATCAAGTGTCCTGTACGCCAAGTTTAAGGAAAGCATACATACCGGCTGAGGCCGAAAGCAGCCCCCCAAACACAAGACAGCACAAAATCCCGCAGAACATCTCCAGTCAAAGACTCGACCACGCTGGAATTAACCCAGCCCAACCACCTAGTTTGGGTCCAAAGAGATCTTCTGACACAGCTTACGATCAGACCAACGACATCTGCATCCTTCCTAGAGAGGAGGTTATGTTGATTTTCTCTCCCTGGAAAACTGGAAAAAAATACAAAGTAAAAACACCTCCAAATCTTGCAACAGGGGATAAGGAGAGCAGTAAGGAAGTTCGTGTGGTAGGGACTGTGTAAAAGAGCTGATAGTTTTAAAACTCAGTTTCAGAAATTCCCCAGCTTCTGGCAAATCCAGTGCCCCAGTCTCTTTTCCTAACTGCAGGTTTATCCTTCCCCAGTAGATGTGATGCCACGGTCTCTCCCTGACCTGGCTTCTGTCAATATTTGCTTGTGTCTATATCCACCTTTTGCAACTCGACCCAGCACTGGGGGTAGAGGACAGGGCGCCAATCAGTGGTGCTTTCCCAGCTAAGCCCCAGCTCCGAGCTAACCCCAGGTGCCACTTCTCTTCCTGCCCCAAATGCCAGATACCCAAGGCTATCAGCGGTGCTGAGACCGAATGCCCCGGGGAAGTAAACTCGCCTTACGGGTCTCTCCTTGCAGATACCACGCAAGGCTGTGCAGGGCGTCCCCTTGCGGCTCTTCCTGGGCAGGTTTGAGCTGAGCCCACAGTTAGTCAGGTAAATGGAGAAAGCGGTGAAGGGCATGCTTCGGTCTCAGGAATCAGCATATGGAATTGCTTTGGGGGCTCTCGTAGCATCTTGCTCATGACTTGTAGCACAGTTCATTCTCTGTGCTCCAATTATAAAACTGGGATAAAACTACAAAATATTAGGTTTTGTAAATATAAAGCATCTAAGGACACTGTAAGTTCTCAGATATTCTTATCTTCCTCACCCATTATCATTACTTTGCAATGAACTCTTTATGTCTTTCTTCAGACAAAGAGCAGACTATGCTACTCCCAAATATGCCACTGGGTATAAAGATTATTTTAAGTTGAAGATATCTATGATTCAACAAATGTATGAGGAGAAACTCTCTTGAGGTTCCCTTATTTGACTAAAAGCAGGAACTTCTGGGAAATAAGGCAGACATGAATTCTGCTTTGGTGCAGATCTACTCCCAGAAGAGAGAATGCAAATAAAATCCATCCCAAGGTTCTTTTTCAGGGGATTTTTATGGCCTTGAAGGAGACAGAGAAACCACTATACCCACAAGAACAAATATTACAAAATTTCTTATCTCCTGTTTGTTCTCCTGAAAACCTGTTTATCTTTGAAAAAAATCATCTGCTTTCCGGTCAGTACTTTTCTCTTTTGCCCTTCACCTATTAAGACGGTGAACAAACCTCAGATCTAACTACTCTTTGAGTTACTCTCTACTCACACATATTTGAGTTGCATGTGTAAATAAACTGATTTTTTTCTGTTAATCTTTTTTAGTTTAATTCACAGGTCACAAGATCTGGCATTTGTTAATATTTTGGGGCTCTTTTTTATTCTTTTCAATGTGGCATATAGCTATTTGACCTTTTGCAAGGTATCTCATCAATTACTCTTTTGTTATAGGGTATAGATCATTGTTGGAACTTGATTGGAGGGGTTTAAAGAGATTGTGTCTGTTTTTACATAAATTTGATTTAGAGAAGGACCAAATTATATGAATGAATGTCTTACAATGAAATTGTTACTGATTTGTTGTTGTTGTTGTTCTGTCATACCACTAGTTTCTGAGGATTTTGCACAGTGTAAAATGACATAATCATAGATTGCTATGGTTTAGGCTGTAGATATAGTAAAAACTATGGGTTTTAAATGTTTGGGGAAATTCCTATGGAAAAAAGAGAGACATGTAGAAGAACCTCTAACAAGGTTAATGTGCATGCCCAAGGTCTTTTGAGATTTCAGTGTGTAAATTTCCTTTTAGCTTACACAAAAATAAAATAATTTAAAATTCACAGGTCACAGAAGGTACAGGAAAGGGGTTTTTTTCCCTTCTTTTTACTCTAAAACTAAACTGTTAAGAACTTTGGAATAAGGTTTGCATCTCCTTTGATTTTTAAAATTATTCCTCTCCATGGGCCTCATACTGTAGAGTTGTCTGCCAAATGAATCAAAGCAGTGCAAGAATAAATGAATGCACCCAGGAGTTCTACCTAAGCCCCAAAGTCCATGCTGATTGTTTATTGTCTTATTTTTCAACTAATATGTGAACTACTGAAATGTAAGCACCTCATATAGTTTTCAAAGTTAAAAACATGATTTATGCAAATATAAAATGAATGTCAAAGATTTTATTCAATTCATTAATTAATGAGGAACCATTAAGATGCTAGAGAGTTTGAAAAATGGAGATGTATATTGTCAATCAAAAGCCTTCTGAAATGACTTTTTTAAAATGCAAAATTAGTTAATATCCCACAGAATGCCAATATTTGGAATTGGCTTTTCTCTATGAGAAAAATTAATTGAAACAAAATGGACAGAATTCACTTGCTTTGCTGTGATCAGGAATCATTGGCATTATTCTCAGGTAAAAATAACTTGCATTTTCCCCCTTTTGTTACAAATTAAACTCTATTTTTGGAGAGTTATGAAAGAACTGAGTGAATAGAAAGTTAATCAAAGTTGCATACCCTATGAAATTAATAATCACCTTAGTCTGCTAATAAATGCTCAGTTATTCACTAAAAATTTATTCCAGTGATCTCTTTTTGTCTAGTTCCAAATTTTGAATAGTTTTTCTTAACATGTTCTACCTCTTGAAGAATACCTGTTCTTCAGTGTCTTATATAGATAGAAATATATCCATGTTTATACAATTAAGGATTAAAAGGGGAAAGAAAATCTAATTTAGCCCTAGATAAATATGGACATAAAATCTAGCATGTATTATAGCGAATGACTGCAAGGCATTCATCTCAATGGCTAACTTCAGATACCAGGACTTTAGAGGTTCAACACTGCATATGCTATTGTCTTCCTAGTATTTCTCCATGAAATATAAAAATATTCACACTAATTGAAATATATAGACTATAAATATCTTCACATAGTTCAAGACAGGTTTCATTGTCAAATGAGTTAACAGAAAACTTCATTTTCAGAGTTTTTTAGATTGTAGAATTATAGATAAACAGATATTGGGCTCCCTGGCCTCTAGCCTCGATCTCCTGCTTAGGTGATACAATGCAAGGAGAAAGAAAGATGGGGAAACAAGACTTAAACAGAACATGGGGATCTAGGATGGTCCATGCTGAGCAGGCAACAAAAACACCAGGCACCCAAGACCTGCAGTATTTATTGATTACACAAGTATGGGAAGAAATAGGGCAAGGTATACGTGAAACATCTAGCGATAGTGTGTAAGGCATCTGCTGATAGCAGTTAACACAGGCAAGGCTCATAAAAGAGGGGGCAAGGCATTCCTGCAGAAGGAACAAAAGGAGACCAAGACTGGGTTGTAATTAACCAATAACCCATCAGGTACATGGGGGAGGCTGTAATTCAGGAAAAGGAATTTAGTTGGAGCCACGCTGTCCTTGGCCATGATGTTATCTCAGGCCCCTGCAGCTTCACAGACCAAGACTCAGGTCTCTGCCACAGCCTTTGGGAGGGGGCTATGCTCGCCTGCTTGCCATCCGACATGCCCACATGAGTAAGTAGGCTTTGGTCAGACTCTTAATACAGCCAAATTATGGGGAAGCAAGAAGCCTGTGCCATTTATACCCTGCCAGTCAACTGGGCAGGGGGCTCAGCTACAAACAGATATCACTTCACTATGTACATTTTAACATGTTAAAGGAAAGCATGTCAAATGGAGGAAGGCCTATGAGGATTTTACCTAGCCCTTGGTTTCCTACCCTGAGGTCCAGAGATGGATTTCAGGTTGTGACCCTCCTAAACTATCTGCAAAACTGGTGTGCGCCTTTTTCCTGGAAGAGTTGGTAGCATGTTGAACTCTTAAATGAGTTGAAGACAATGAGTGCACGCTGGATGGTGCAGAGTGTGACTAAAAACCACACAGCTGGGTGACGGGCTATTGCCAGACCATTACAGGAGAATGAGGGGATGGGGGACGCTCGTCACCCACAGCATCAAGCCAGTGAAGTCTAAAGGTTCACCTTCCTCACAGTGACTCCCAAATGAAAACCCTGGAGAGGATTAAGAAATGGTGTAACAATTAAAGTACAAGTCAAAGGCAAATAATAACCAGCACATAATGCCAGTGTATTCTCTGAATAGTTGTTTTCTAATCCTGATGTCTTTGTTATGTTACTGGCTACATTTCAAAATAGTATGATATGCATTTCTTGCATCCTCATGGTTAGGAATCTTACCGTTTGCCTTGTTCTGAGGCATTGGCTTTGGCAATAATTCTAAGAGTGCTGAGGGGGGGTCCTTCAATAAGGGTGCTTGTTACCTACTGTAAAACAAGAATGATCCCAGACTCTCAGCCTTTTATAAACCGTGGTTCCATGGCTGAATTAGGTAAAGCTTGCAACAGTGACTAGAAATCACACCCTTGACAATTCTCCCTCACTGCGTTCTTCCGGCTATACTATTGAAGGATAATGCATTCATCAGTACTTATTACCACCACCTCCCACTTCCAAATTTTGCAAAAAAAAAACAACCCTTGAATATAAAAGCAACTGGAAATGTTCTGCTGTTATTATGGATATGTTATCTCTGTTGTTACTGACTCCAAGAAGAAAGTTCCAAGTTCCTTTATCATATACATTTATGTAACTTTTATCTAATAATGGTTGTTGTCAAGGTCATTGGTGGGATATACACCTGCTGTTAACCATTTCTTTTCCAATAATAAACTTTAAAAAAGGGACAGGGACATTGTTTCAGCTATTGCAATCAACAATCAGTCATAAAATATCTGTTAAATAATAGAATGAAAATTTAGAATAGCAATAATGCAGGACTGTAACATTGCCATGGATATCGCTCTAAAACACTAGAATTTGAGATGGCAGTCATCAAATAAAATACTGCAGTTTAAATTACATATATAACTTAATAATATGTCTTTTTGTGGGGGAGGGAGGACAGGGTCTTCCCATGTAATCCAGGCTGGCCTCGAAGTCACTGTGAGCCTCCTGCCTCGGCGGGGATTACGGGTGTGCACCACCACACCTGGTGAGAATAATTTTTAAAGCTAGTTTCAGAAATATTTGGGGCAACATTAAGATTTTGCCTATGTACAATGTACCAGCTTTTTACCTTTGGTGTGTGATATTGCATTTTTAATCGAAAATAACTTTTATTGCATTTTCTTATTATAAAAGCAATACATGTGACTCATATATTTTAGCATGATTTTATTTGTCCAGCGAAATACATTCCTTGGTTTATAATAAAAATCAATGAGAAATAAAGTATTCCAAAAAGCCCACACTGCCTTAACATAACTATTATCTTTTTACAGAAAATATATCCATATCCTAGAAACTTAAGGTAAGAGTATGGATATCAGACTGAAATATTCAAGCCACCTACATTTCTACCAAAAAAACTGATGACAAAAATTACATTCCATTCTGATTGAATACGTGCAAATGCTGATGTGAGGACTTTACAAGGCCTTACATGGACAGAATAAACAAACACATTGCGCATCAGAAGACAGTGTATTTAGACGCAGAAGGATATCTGCACCATGAGAACAAAATCATTACAGTAAGCCTGCTCCAAGCAGCCAGACCGAAATCACCGGCTACAGAGCAGTGGAGGAGCCTTCCTGAGGAGCTCCGTATGTACAAGAGCTGCCCGGAGTTGCCAACACCCAGCTGCCTGCAGCTTGGCTCACCACCTCTCGGGCCAGTCTCCTGTACCAGCCACAGCCCAGAGAACCATTTATGAAAAGCTACATTTCACTGTTTTCTTGCTACTCAGACTTTTTCCCAGCAAGTGGCAGAGTTAAAAGGAAAAAATTTAAAGCTAAAAATGTACGATCTTTAAAAAATAGATTTTGTTTCTAAGATATGATATCCTTCAGGGGCTCCACATTCTTCCTCAGGAGGAGCAACACTAAAATCACATTTGCGAAGAAAGGTTTGTCCATTGTCTATTTGACAATCACTGGGGCGGGGAACTGCAATCTGGCTTATCTGCAGGGAAGCCGGCGACTGCCCTGAGGCCCTGCTTCCCCCTGCTCCTGCAAAGTGTGCATGGGAGACCATCTCATCATGACCGTGACAAGAGCTCAGGGGTGGGCACCATGAAACCGCTGCTTTCAACAGCGGCCACAGACTGCTTCAAGACCACATCTCCATGATAGACTCCACTGAAGGACATGGTTGCTTCTGTTTTGAAACCAAGAAGACTCCCTAAAATTGATTCCTAAGGAGCTGTCCTACTTCCTCACGGAATGCAAATGGCAGTCTACTTTTCTAACCAGCCCTGATTCCCAACATCTGGGACAAGTGCAGCAGTCTTCTTTAGCTATGGGAGGCAGAAAATACAGTAGCTTGAAAAGTAGCTTAAAGTTGGGTGTCCTTTCGGGGAGCTGCAGTCAGATCCTGCCCTGCAGAGCCTGGACTGAGAAAAACTTCCCCAAATGCAAAAGGTACTGCTGATGCTGCTAATCCATCACCACAGAAAAAGCATTTCAGGGACTGAATTTCTCAGATTCCCTTCATGCACCTGGCGATTTTTCTCTTGTTCCCAACATAGCAAGAGGTGATGGCCGGCACATGTCTTAGACTCCAGCCTGCTAGCCTGCAGTGGATGCAAAGATCAGCTCTTATTGCATGGAAAAAGTTTCCTGGAGTTCATCTTTCTCATTTGGAAACCAAATTTGAAGAGGTGTGTGTGTAGGACTGGGGATTTAGCTCAGTGGTTTTGCTGCCTGCTGCGCAAGCGCAAGGACACGAGTTCGATCCCCGGTACCAAAAAAAAAAAAAGAGGTGTGTATACTTTAGGCAAAGAATAGCCAGAGAGGGTTGCACTCCATGTAGGGTGTTAAGTGCCTACACAGAATGGTATTTGCAAACCTAGGCCAAGCCCAGCAAAGATATGACAAAAACTAATTGACTCAGGCTGCTAAATGCTTGGAGCGCAGTGTAACTGATGTTCCCATTAACACGAGGGGCAGCGAGGCAGCAATTTTTTTCCAGGCCCCAAACACACAGTCCCTGCTCGACTTCCTGATCTAGCCTTGGTGAAGCTGGCACCCCAGGCTCTGCAGCAGGTCCTGTCCCTCGGAGAGGTCTGGTTCGGCCTCCACATCATCAGGAGTACACGATGAGGGATGCCATGGAAGGGCGTCTATGCCCAGGCAGCACATTATCCACTGCCTAGAAGTCAAAGAGGGAGAGAGGCAAAGCTATTATACCATAGCCAAAAGATGCAAAAGGAGAGCAGAGCAGACTCCTCCCCAGCACTCCCACTACTCTGCCGTCCTCTTGCCCCATGGCCACACACATTCAGTCGAGGCCTGAATAACACGGCTGCACACACGCCTCAACTCTGGGAAGCCAGGCAATGCTAACGGCCCAGCCACAGGCTTCTTTCCCTGAGAAGCCGAACTTGTGACCACTGGGCCAGGCATTTCTTTCAGTCCTGACCCATAAGCTACAAACTCAAGACATGCAGCATAGGTGTTCAAGATCCTTGAGGTAAAAAGAGTATGCAGGCGACATCAGCCAGAGACCACGCCGAGAAAGTGACACTGCAGTCAGGGGTCGCCTGGGTCCTGAGGAGGCTTCCCAATGATGACGTAGCTACCCCCATCCATGCTGAAGTCAGTCGTGAGAGGTCAGCTTCTCCTCATATGCTGGCATTTAATGTTTTACCTTCTGAGAAATTCTGCCCCCCAGAACACTGTTAAAATGTTACATCTGCCTGTGGATTACATGGCAGGTAATCCCTGTTAGAACAAAGGCTCTGATCCAATTGTTCTGGGATAAGGCTGAGCTTCCGCATTCCTCATGAGCTCCTGGTCCTCGTTAGGGTAACAAGGAATAAGATGGGAGAAAGGTGAAACAATTCCACCTGTATTTCCTGCTCTAGAAGTTAAGCACCACTTTGTGCCATTGGTTATGATCTCTTTAGAAACAGGCAGGGCATATTTTAGAAGCGACAGCCCACTAAATCCTAAAAGAGCTCCCCAGCTTTTCTTGATAATGAGTTATACATAGCTAATGGAATCATGGCACCATATAGTCAAGCGTAACTTGTTGTGTGGGCCCCAACAGTATAGTAACTAATGCAATTCCCAATTCCCAGTGTCCTTCCAATCTTGCCCAGAAGGTGGTGGAAGAGAGCCACGCCTACACCACCAACTCCAGTCACACTGAGAATGTGTATTGGCCTGCCCAAGCCTCAACCACTACAAGCACGAGGGGAAAGTTTAGAGGTAGGGAGCGGGTGGAAATACAACCCAAAATACAAAACAAAAAACCCAGAAGCCTTCTGGTAGGTTCAAGTTGCTCAACAATTTTATTTGCCCATTCTACACATACACACACCCAAACACATTTCAAATACAGTTATACACACCACAGGTAGATCTGAGTGAAATATTTTGTTGTCTGTGTCATAGACTGATAAAATATGAATTCTGTTGAAGACTTATCCTCCTACTTTCAACAGAACCATGTCCAGAAAATCTGTAGTCGAGCTCTGTTCCCAAGCTTCCCAACCCAGCCATTTCTATCCAAACCACTCCAGTCCCCTCCAAAGGCACTATTCACAATCAGCCCTGTGCTTCTGGTATAGAAAACCTTCACCATGTCACAACAAGTTGATCATGTTACTTCAATGTTTCAAAAAATGTATACAAGCAATTCAGACACAAAACCCTAAGGAGGTAAATGCTGGCCGGGGATGTCCAGTGGAGGTCAGCGGAAAGGATACTTGTGCCCGCTTTTAAAATCAGTCTTTGAAAATAACATTTCCTTTGCATTTTTACTTCTTAGATGAGGAATAAAAGCCAAATACATGGCAGGCTAAAAACAGCAGCACTCTCCAATAGCACAGTACACTGCCTCAGAGGGTAAGGGCGGGACACAAGGTTCAGAAACGGGTGGTGAAAGTGAAGCCCTGCCCGGAAGCAGGGGATGGGATAAGGTGACTTCAAGTAGAGGTCAGAGGTCGCACCTTCAGGCTCTGAACAGGCATTCCCTTAGCTGAGCTCACAAAATACCACACACGTGATGCGCAACTGACATCTTTTATAGAGCCAAGAGAATTGGGCTCCTGCTATACAAGAAAGATCGTAGTGCACAGAGCTTCTCCATAAAGAAAAAGGGTGGAGTGTTCAGACAGACAGAGAATTACAGTAATGTACATAGACCATCACTCAGTACAACGAGAAAGCAGGAGACTGTCGGTGTGCAGACCCTCCAGAGGCAGTTCTCGGGACACTATGAGTTTAAATGCAATTCCTGAACACACTTCCAACGTCTGTCACCTCTAGGGAAAGTCAAAGAATCTAGTTGATGTTGCAACCTGACTCAATCATAAATTTTAAAAATACAAATATTTTAAAACACAGACAAGTCTCAAAAGGCATACAAGAAAAGCTGAGTGAATCTAACAAACTTCTTAACAACAAATCCAGCCTGGCTTCCGGGCTCGGCCAGGACAATGGAATGTGCATGAGATTCCTTCACCCAGGTTCACGCTGCCCCAACTTGGGCGTACTTCCTGTGTTTATCGGCCACCACACGCACCACTGAGTTTCTCTGAACCCAGATCTTGGCCCTCCGGGTGGACTTATTTCTAAAAGTAATTGCTTGCGTTTCTTCAAATGCCCAAGTTTGAAGATCAAAAGTGGATTGCAAAGGGGATTACCCAGATCCCTGCCAAAATATTCAACCATTCAGTCCAAGAGTACAAATAAACTGCATCCCAACTCTAACATCTGAGGAAACAATGGAAACCAGAGGCAAAGATTCAGGGTGGATCCACAGCACAAAGCATGTTTCTACAGGATCTTCTTATTCTACTTTCCAACTCAATGTAAAGATATCCCTTTACCAAAATAAAACAAAAGACAATACCAATAAGAGCTAAATCCCAATTTAAAAATTGGAGATAAAAACAGACAGGGATTCTCTAATACATTTGTTTGAGAGTCCTCTTTCAGATCTGTCTCAGGCTTCCTCATTCACTTTTGAGGCAAGGAAAAGAAAAGAGAATATATTGTGATTTTCTTTTCTCCATTTTATACCAGTAGCCCTCACCCATTTCCCCCATGACAAAACTTACAGCTTCTGCGAAGGGTGCTCAGGTGGACACCCCTTCTTTCAGGGTTTGTGACACAGACACAAGCCAAGTAATGCGTCTACTACCAAAATACCTTCAAGTAACAAGGGGACAGAAGGACAGAGCATAAAAGACGGGAAACAGAACTTCTCTGAAATCTAGACTTAGAGCTCTATTCGACTCTGTTCTCCGGGCTTCTTCCCACTAAGCTTCTCTAAAGGGATCTTGCTCTAAAAACTGAAGGAAGCAGAAGCTTTTGGTGTGCTCAAATTCCAGTTTCTCCGGTCCAGAGGATAAGATGATCACCCAGCTCCTCTTCTGAAGGAAGCAAATGAGCACAGGGAAAATAGAGAATAAAGGCAGCAGAGCCAGAATGAACATGCGGAGGCCTGTCTCTGACGGTGGCGTTTGAGACAGGCTAACAATGCTGCTTGGTCAGAGAGGGCCTCTCTTGCTAAGAGAAGCTGCAGCCTAAATCCCATATCTCTGGATCAAAGTTCTCTTTCTCGCCCATTAGCTCTGAATGCTCTCACCTCACTCCGGAAAAAGACTGAACATTCGTTTGGGCCAGAGCTGCCAACACCCAAGTGCAGCCACACAAGTGCTACGTGTACCTCCCAGGCCACATGGGGAGGGACACACTCCCCAACCCTGTTGGTCTCATAGCCATAGGACAAGACAACACTCTGGGGATGGAGTCTGTACTCCACAGCAGGGTCCGTACTTCCAGACTTGCAGCATTGCTCTTAGGTACATGTACAAGTAAACTGCATGCTGTCTCTTACAATAACCTTCTCTGGGGCCAGGACCTTTTCTTCTACTTCTGTGTGTCCTCCCTGTATCCAGCCCAAAGCTGCACAAAGACACTACTCAAGACACTGTGCAGCGGCTTAACAGGAACAGCAGGTTACTATATGTCTTGAACACAATTTCGAAGAGTCTCAGCAAACATAAGGGCAAGATGAGCTGTCTGTGATGACAGCTTCATCATCCTACAGCTTCTACCTCGGTGCCTCTCGGCAGGGTCCTTAGAGTAACTAGCCTCTATCCAGTGACATCTGTTGAATTTAGCGATTTGTTCCACATCACCCACAATGGGAAGGGGAAATGATGGGAGGAGAGCTGAGAATGAGCCTTTCAAACGCAGCAGCCTGCCCTCGAGGGATGTACCTGCTTTGATGCTGGGATGTGCTTCAACACCTAACTTGAGAACTCTTTTCAAAACCAAGAATGCAGAACTCCAAGGTCCATGCTTTGCGCAAGAAACTCCTACCCTGGCATTTTGCTGCCGCACTGCCTAAGGTGGAGTTAACCTGCAACATGGATCAGAATCACGAGGGAAGCTCTTTAAGCACACACATGTCCAGACAGGAGCCCAGAGATGCGCAGTCAGGATTCAGCCCAACTCAGATGGAGCTGGGCACAGTACATGTGTGTTTCAGATCCACAGGAGATTTAAGGGATGCTCCTGAGAACCACGATGAAAGGTTTCCTGTTGCAAAACAAAAGATCCTTGGAAAATAGCTAACTGCTCTCATTAGTTGCCTCTAAAAGACTTACCTAGTGGACAGGTAGGGACTCACAGACCTCACCTAAAAATCTCATGAGAACTCTGTGTGTTCATTCATAAATTTTGTATCCAAAATTGAGAAAAGGGGAACCCAAGGGGCTAAAAAGTCCTTTACGCAGGACCCATATAACCCTATAAAGAAGATGAGATGACAAATGAATAGATCACTATGAGGACAGGATGATGGGATTGTTTCTCTTTATCCACTAAGAGTAGCCCAACAAGAGAGACTAAATTCACCAAAAGTTGGCCATGTTTGGAGAAAAAAACACTTGCTCATGTCAAAAAAACTAACTTCAGGAGAGTGTGTGGAAAAGCACTGGAAAATAATGAGCAGAGTTAGTGAACTTTGCTCTACCCTTTGCCTTGAGGTCTTCAGGTATCAGCTGTGACTCCTAAATCTAGTTCCATCCTCTAAACAGTCCATGGTCACAGGCTCTGGCAGGAGACTTGCAGCAATTGGCAAAGGACCAAACTGTGGGTAAAATATCTGACTGAATGGAGGCCCCTGCCGCTTCACTGCCTGCCAAAGAGCCCTCCGCACGTGGACAGAAACCAAGACACTTCCCACATCCTCAGAGCCAGCTGCACCCACGGTGTCAAAAACTTGTGATTGTGTCTCTTGAAAAGAGGCAAGAACGCTCACCCTCGGTCAACTCTGGATGTTCTGCAGCCTGGGCTGAGCCTGGCAGGACCTGGCGGGAGAGGAAGGGAGAAGGGAAAGGAAAGAGCTCCCAGTCCAGATCCACATGCGTCCACTGCAGAGGGTGTCCACGGGGCCTGGGCTTCTCCCCACCAGCCCTGCTTTCCTCGCAGATACCACCGTGCCAAGTGTTACACAGCACGAGGCCAAGGCCAGGTGGAAGGGGGAGAAAGTCAAGGGAGTAAAGCACATCGAAGAGATAAAGGTGAAGGGCATGTGGGCATTTGTGTCTCCCTCCACTCATTACTGCTCCCTACTTTACCAAAAACCAGGTATGGCCGGGGATTTAGCTCAGTGGTTCTGCCGCCTACCTCGAAAGTGCAAGGTCCCGAGTTCAATCCCGGGTACAAAAAAAAAAGGAAAAAAAAAAACCAGGTATGAGTGAGTTTAGACACAAGGAACAGAGAGAAGAACAAAGGTGCAAGGGAGTGCGTACCCTTTCCCTCCACCTCCAGCCCGCCTGCCCTACAAGGCCCAACTGGCCCTCTTGCTTCTGGGTGAAATGTTTCAAACTGGAGAATACCTAGCGGTCTGATCACACAGCATCTCACACTCTGTGCTAAGGTTAACGCGAAGTTGTGAGAGTGGAGGTGGGCGTGTGCTGAAGTTAAACGACTCCTTGGCGATTAGTAGCAAGGACAGGAGGCCAGGGCTGGAGGGACACACACAGTTACACCACCGGGATGCTGACTTGGGTCTTCGGCTGGTCGGCCCCATCTTGCATGTCCAGGGCATGGAGAGGGCTGAGAGGCTTGAGGGGATGGCTCCCAACACTGTAATTTCTCGGACGCCTTACTGTATTCGAACTGGACAGAGGCGTAAAGCTGTTCCTTCTCATCCTTACAGGGGTTTGGCTCTTGGGGAAGTTGCTCTGATTAGAAATGGAGGGACACCACACACATGAAAGCCATGCCAAAAGCTCACTCGCAAAGGTTAAGTCACGCTTATAACCACAGCAGCTTCCTTCCTCTTGCTCTCTGTGCACAGGGCTTCGCACAGGACTGGCCTGATCTCCTCACCCCGGGGGGCTGAAGAGGCTAAGCAGCTTGTGACTCTCAGGGAGCGTCACATTCCGGAGCAGGAATGGGACCCAACCAGGAAGGCCTTCACCTAGGAGAACCACACGACGCCAGGACAGGCCAGGGAACCCCCGCCCACCCGCAGGCTCCTCTGGATTGTGGGGGTGGGTGGGGACCTGCAGGGCACTTCTGCCTAACTCTGGCCATATTTAACTCAATTTCCAGGAGCCAACTTTCAAGGTCCATAGAAAAGGCACTAACTTAAAAACTTAATAATTCTCCCATGTTCTCTTCTCAGAAGCAGACTACCAAGGCCATGAATTCTGGATATTTTCTTTTTGTACATAAAAGAAACCCCAGTCTCCTGCTGCCGGAGGTTCACAGACTCAAGGTGGCAGGGAGCAGGCACTTTGGTCTGTGGGCACACACTTACGGCGGGCTTGTCGCGGTGCGTGTTCACAGCTTCCACGTTGAGGTTAACTGTTTCCACTTTGCACCCTGAGAAAGCAGAAGAAAGAGATGCCATCAGGGAAAAGCTTGCAGAAAAGAATTCCTCGGTTGCACTATGGGAAAGCCTGCCATCCCAGATGCACACACGCATTTAAAAGTGCAAGACACTAATGGCAAATCCCTTGTTTCCAGGGGTCACAAAGTCAAACCTCTTCAAGACTCACATACTCTGACCTGCCTCTGTCCCTACCTCCTGGCAGCCCCGAGCGCATAGTTACCATAGGCCACGGGAGTGAGTTTGAAGATGGTGTGCAGAGGGCACCTCAGGTATGGAAGCTCATCTGCAAGAGAAGGGTCGGGTGAGGGAAGTGTCCTCAGACTGGAGCGCGGTCAGTACGGCAGGAGAGAGTCTAAGGTTCTTACCAGGGCTTCTCTACCCTGGCTCCACCTGCTTAAGCTGCTCTCCCCGCGCCCTGACAGCCATTAAGGCCATTACCCAGCCACTGAGTGGGAAGGAAGGAAACAGCCATTCTAGATCCTTCCTCAAGGCAACACAGGAACAAGTGCGAAAGCCAAGGCCCCGTGGGTGCCCACCTGAGTGACCCAAGTCATTCATTCTGCAGGCTTCCGGCAGCTCAGGGAGACGGAAAGGGAAGGAAAGGAGAAGGCAGCAGTACACGTCCTTACTGCTCTTACTAGGAAACAGCTGGCCCACCTCCCATCCAAAGGAGGAAGATGGCTCCCAGAAGCCACCCTCCCAGTAGCCAGCATGACGAGCTAGGCCTAGCCAGCCACTCTACTGATGCTCTCGGAGCCTCAGCGCGGCGTGGCCCTTTAGTCAGCAGGCCAAGCAGCTCCTCCACTGGGGCTTCCGCAGCCGCACGGTGAATGCAGCAGCAGTTGCCCCAGTGGCTGCTGCTGAGGGATTCACTCTAACTGGAGAGAACGAGGGTCCAGCGGCTGGGATGCATGGAGCCGCAGCGAGTCAGCCCTCCCCTCAAGCAGCACCTGCACCCTTATCCAGGAAGTAGGCCAGGAGGCAGCGCATGACAGCTTGGTGGGAGATGACTAGGACATTGCCCTGCCGCTCCAGCTCCATGATGACGGGCTCCAGGCGCTGCACCAGGTCCTGGTATGACTGTGGGGAAAAGGGCAGGCACAAACTGGCAGCCAGTGGTAGCTGAGGCCCAGAGTCAAGACGCCGCTTCCCCTGCTGGCTTTCCTCCTGGAGGCTCAGCGACTACGTGTTGCCTACCAACGGCCCTAGCCACGGTATCCTCAGAATACTCAGATTTTGAGACAAAGAAAACCATAGATCAAGAAAAGAGGCTTGAATTCAACTTATACTATTCATGTTGGGGGGCACTTTTTCTGACAGATGAACAGATAGAGTATAAGGTGACAATAGGCATCTAAAAGCTTCCTGGACCTCTACCATTCTGTTTTATTTACTTTTGCTGGAACATCCTAGAGCAGGAGCGGCAAACCTGCAATACCTGCCTGGATGGGGACGGATGGAGGAAGTAGAACGGAAAAAAGAAGTCCCAAAAGATCACGTTGGCCCTACGACATTCTCAACACATGCGGTATCTTGTTTCCTTTTTCCTGAGAGAGCTTAACAAATACATAAGGCCTAATCTGACCACCTAAACTGGAGTAAACACGCTACGAAGATAAATGATGTGCTGTCAGACCACCGTTCCCTACACCCACCCTCAGAATCCTATCACTCCATCCAACTAAAGCAAGCCCCACCCGGCAACGGGAAGGGAGACTCACCTCCCCACCAGGGTAGCGATACAGATACTTGTCTTGATCTCGGAGTGCAAACTCCTCTGGGTACTGCTTCTCGATCTCAGCATACGTCATCTCCTCACACACGCCCTGTAAGAAGCCGCACTTGTGTCAGGAGGTAGACTGGCCCCCCGTGACCCACCCCAAAGGAAAACAAGAGCACGAATGTCTTACTACACGCCAGGCCCTACACCAGGTCCCTCCATGCACTGTGAATGACCGTGACTAAGGTGCCACGGGGGTCGCAGGGTGACAGCCCCTGCAGAGAGGAGGCAGCTTTTCCAGCTGAGGCTGCCACTTTCTTCTACCACTGTGGAGAACTTAAAGGTCAAGAAGAATCGACAGGATAAAAGAACCAGGAATCAGTGATGAAGGGAAACTGAAGGAAGTGGAGAACTTACAGGAGCAGGAAAGGGGAGAGAGCAAGGAGGGAAAGGAGATGTCTACTTTGTGCTCAGGGAGAGAGAGGAAAATGTGGGGAAGGACTTTTCCAGAGTAGCTGGCCAAATGATCTAAGCAGCAATGAAAGAACTGAGTAGTTAGTTGTTTAATTTTCGCATAAGGGAAACACACAAAAGAACAAAATAAGCCCTCGTTAGCACCATTCCCTGCAGGTGCCGGAGTGGCGGGGCCAGACACGGATCTGGGTCCCCCACTGGCACAGGTGTTCAAAGCAGGCAGGAAGTCCTGGCTGTGGGTACAGCTGTCTCTACTTCTTCCCTTGACTCTCAGGATGACCACAGGTCTGGCTTCCCCCCGGTGTTTCTGGCGTTTTCTAGATAAAACTGTCCACCTTGTGATTTCTGAGAGTTTCTCCCTGAATCTGAGACTCCTACTCACAGCATCGATCTCATTCAGAATCTTCCACTGCTCGTAGGTCACTCCAAGAGACTCGGCAGTCTGGATTGTCCTCTTCAACTGGCTTGTCCACACTTTGAGGTCTGCTATCTCCTGTGCTTCCAGAAACTTCCTTAGAGCCTGAGAAAACTGGGGTTTCAAAATAAAAATTAAAAGAATACACACACACACACTCAGCCAACTCAGCCTGTAATGGGCAGTCTGCTTAGCCATGATGAGGAGATAAACCCAGGAGGAAGTGAGGAGGGGAATAGGATCTGCAGCACCGTGTGTGGTGCCAGAAACGCAAGTCATGTCCAATAAATCTCTGACGCCTGGATGATCACAGCAAAAACATATCCACATTGTCCACATTTTAAAACAGAGCGAGAAGCAGTGAGCAAGGGAACATCGGCAGCACTTGCCTATCTGAGACCACAGCCTAAGCTGCAGTGGGTGGGCTTCAGAAGGAAGAGGATAAAACAGGTGACCTCCACCATGCCCTTCTGCCTCTAAGCCCAGGGAATCCTGCCTGCTGGCTCACTACTCACCTGCTTTCCGTGCAAGGAGAGCCCAGAGTCGCCACCTATCTTCCCCAGGAGATTGAACTCGCTCTCTCCGTGCCGGCAAAGGTAAATGGTGCGAGGATGGACGTGGATATTCATGAGGTAGTAGACTATCTTGCTCTGGATGTAGTCCTGGACTCGGTTAACTAAAAATCGCTGACCCACATTTATTACTTTGATGAAAGAAAGATCCCTAGGACGGGGTAGAAAAACATTCCAGGGTAAGGAAATCTGAGCCTAAGAGTAAGGGGAAAAGGATTTCCATAGTGACTTCAGGCCCACGGCAGCTCCCTGCCTCTACCCTGTCACCCCCGATTCCTCAACACCAGCATGAAGTACAACTTCCTGAACTTCTAGTGTCCAACCATTTTCCTCAGAGCCCGCAGAGTACCATGCAGTGTAGATAAAGATGCTAAGCATGCTTCCCACCGTCCGTCTAGATCAGATGACACCAAGTTCTTCCTGAGCCCCAAATCTGGTGAGCAGCACAGGTCCCCTCCGAGGGGTCAAGACCTGGGCAGAATGCGGCATCACCAGCAATGAGAAGGGAGGAGGAGGTGGCAGAACCCGAGGAAAATGCAACCCATGGCCTGCATTCACCTAACCAGGCCTCTCAAAGAAAACCATCTGCTTTGTCGCCACTGTAGGACTTTTCTCAATATTCAGGTAACACCTTATTCCCCAAAAAACTTCAGAAAAAAAGGCGGAACGGCACAAATCACACATCACCCTACTACCAGCAGTAAAACTCTGTAAACACACACACTGCACTCATATACACAGATATCCTTCTCTGGAACCTTTTCATGTAGGACGGAGGCCCTGAAGAGGGCCCCGTTACACCACACCCTGGGTAGTGCTTTGCAGCCCTGTCGTAAGCGAACACCTCCAAATACTGCAACTCTGGACAACCCATTGCAGGAAGTGTGGTTCAGGATGACAGCAGCCCACTGCCGGGATCTAAGTTTGTCACGTACACTGGTCTCCCCATTTGCACTGCTGCTGGTCTGTATTCGTATTTGAAGGCCTGCTCTCTCACGAGACCAGGTCCCACAGGCCTCCATGTGTCCACCTCTTTCACAAACGTGGACCTGACATTTTGCTATAGCTCTTCCACATCACACACGGCAAGTGAATCTGTATGGTACAGCACATGGCACACTGCACCCTATACACCACCAACTGACACCGTCATAGTCTTAGTGACGACAACACTCAGACATTTCTGTTTGAGTTAGGCAGGTTCCCGAGGGCTTTGTGTGCAATATATGAAATGCAATACTTTATATATAATGTACTACATGTGATATAGCATGTACGTATGCTATATATATAGCCATTGATACAGCATAAATATAGTCATACGTAGCCATGTATATCAAATACATATTAATATTTATACACACATCCATATATATTTCTATCTACCTAACTGTCTATATACCTAATAATACCTGTACATATAAAACTTTAAAAATTGACCCAAAACTGATGACATCTCTAAGGGCATCTGACAACACCCAGTTCAGAACTACTGATCTGGAGCAATGGATCTGTCTGGGGTTGATTCTGCCCCCGCAGAGGGTTATTTGGTAATTGCCTGAAAACATTTTTGGTTGTCACAGCTTGGAGGTATTACTGGCATCTAGAAGGCAGACACTAGAGATGCTGCTCATCGTGGGATAATGAGCACAGGACAGCCCTACAATTCAGAATTGCCCAGTTCAAAAGGTCAATAATGCTGAGATCGAAAATCTTGTTCTAGAGAATAGAGAGGAAGACTGATGATAAAAACATTTCGGTGCTTAAGTGTAAGACACAGTGTGCATAAAAGCCACAGATCCCTACCCTGTCTGGGATACTAGAGGACATTAGGGACACAGAAGAAAGGCTCTCGTCCCCGATGAGACAAGCCCCTTCCAGCCTTGGCCCTAAACCTTACTTGTCATAGTTGTCGGGGTCGAGGGGTCGGTAGGTAACTTTGTAGCACTCGATTCTTTTCAGGAAGTCCTCCATCACATTCTCCCTGTCCCTTTCGGGGTAGTCAGGGCTCGACACCTTTACCTCCTGAAACCACAGGCACAGGAAGAGGTCAGAGGTCCTCCTGTAACAGCCTCACACAGATGGCCACTCCTAAGGCCGAAAAAGAGGTCCGTAAAAGTAGCTTTTCGACAGAGCACTGGCACTGCCCATGCAGTGAGCACCCCTGCCCTGTCCTGTGACCTTGGCAACCAAGAAGGGAGACAACTGGGGAGTCATGTGCCTGGCCCTGGCTGGCGGACAGAGGTAGTCATCCAGCTGGCACTGCTCCTGGGCCCAAATCCCTTCCTGGACCTTGCTGGGAATAAAGAAAGGGCCAAATTTCCCCCACCACTCGGAATAGGGACTGCAGCTCAGGCCTGGCTTGGGACTGGGCCTCTTCCTTAGATGACCCCGGTTCTCCACAGCCCGGAGCACCTCCAGGGTTCCAGCTGGCACAGCACAAGCCATCAGATGGGGGTGCTGTGACGCTGTGAGCCCACAGGGTATGAGGAGCACAGGACACTGGACAGTGGCCAGCAGATGGCCTTTCTACAAGGTGGCAGACAAAGAACCTGATCTAGGGTAATATACGGTCTCAGCATCTAGGCAAGGCCAGGATCTCACAGACTGCCTCAGTCTTGAATCAGCAGCTAATTCTTATTCTACTCCTCAAAGCCTTGGTTTCTTGTTCCAAGAGAAGAGTTTGGAAGTACAAAATGGCTCTCTGGCAGATAGAAAAGATCTCTCTGTGACAGCAAACAGATCAGAGCATTATCCAGAACACACAGCACAAAAGATAAGAATGGAGGTGATAAGTCAGGGTGGCACTCACTCACCAGGATATTGGCAGCAATGACATCAGGATCATCACAGACAGATTCCACAAAGAATACCTGGCCAGGGAAGAAGGCAGTGATAAATAAGTCGGAAATGTCAGGTAGCTAATTACGAGCACACGCTCACCTACCCCACCCAGCCACCACATCTCCCAGGACTTTTGTCATGAAAGTGGCCTGAAAGTCCTCCTCATTTAAAAAATAGCTCTTACCACATCCCCTGGGCCTCAAACACACAGGCCAAAGGTCTGAGAAAGGATCTGAAAGAAAACACTCAAGGCCTGGGGGTATGCCCCAAGAGAAGAGAGTCAGGTACCCAACCCCATCCTCGCCCAAGGCAAACACATTCAAAGCCTACCCTAACTCCCTGGCTCCACTCACTCTTTTCCCTCTAACATGGAGTTGGAGCCTACCTTAAAGGAATTCTGCGTGGCAAAGTCCAAAATCATGTCCCTTCTCTCCCGGGTGGTATTGGTGGCATCAAACACCTGGGCAGAGAGCACACAGGGTAAATGAATGCCACAGAGAGATGGTGCCCCACCAAGGCAGGCCTGGGAGGGGAGGAAGCAGGCAAGGCTCACCGCGATCTGCCCACTCTCCTCGGTGAGATACGCCTTAACATCTTCCAGCGCCACCAGTGCACACTGTCTGCCATGACAGCAAAGGATGGCAGCAATCAGAGCTCAGCTCAAACGCAGCCAGACACACAGCTGGGCCGCTTCCTCCGACTTAGTCTCGCTAACTAGGTTTTTCTAGGTTTTTACACCATTCCCTACCCCTTCCCCACCGCAATGCACCCATCTTTCCCTCTTTAGGCTCACCCTGTAATCACACAAGAACTCTCTCAGCCCCATTCTACCCATCCAGGCTCAAGGTAGTCTGCTCATCAGACAGCTCCTACGTAACATCCCATGAGACGTTCACTGAGGAAAAACAAAACCCTATCCCATCCAGTCTCATGATGATCCAGAAAGAGCTGACCTGGAATCCGGCCTTAAAAAGGACTCACCTTCGAATCTTCATGGCCTCCTCATTGTCGTGCCGAAAGAAGTCATAGGACTTGTAGGACTTCACAGCTTCTCGTCGATATACCCCGAGATTGAACACTGCAGAAGATACCCAAATCCAACAGAACACAATAAAATGGCCCCACCAAAGGGGACCTCTTGATGTAATGTCAGAGCAGCAAGGGGATGCAAAAGCACCACAGGGTGCTGGGAACAATCCCAGAGTAAGAGTTGGAGTCCAGTCCTGACTCCCAAGACCTTAGACAAGTCTTAGGCAGCCTGAGTTTCAATTTTATCAGGGTTCTCCTAGGTTTAGATAAACAGGATGCATGTGCAAGCATTTCGAATATGCAAAGCCCTGTTCTCATTCATTCATTAATACACCTATCAAAGGCATTCCCTCAAAACTGGACCAGTCTGCCCAGGCCAGCAAAAGACAACTCTGGGGACATCCAATAAATAAGGAAGCAACCACTATTTCTGCCACAGCACCCTACTAACCTTGATGTCTGGGAGGATTAGTCTCCCAAAGACATGTGGGACCTAGGGACTAACCATTCCCTTCACTAGGAATGACCTACACCTACCTTTAGTGGGCACCCCGATCCAGTTGAGGTAGCGGGTTAATTTCTTGGACACGTAGGTTTTGCCCCGGGCTGGCAAGCCAATCATAACAATGAGAGTTGGAGAGTTGGTCATGTAGGAGGCCCATGCTAGAAGCAAGTGAAACAAAACAAAACTAAATGACTACAGACTGGTAAGGCTTATGCTCTGTTCTAGGAACTTCACGATCTCATTAAATCCTCATAAATTAGTGGGGCAAAGGAAGAGTGGGAAGGCGAAGTGAGGCTATACAGGGCAGATCCTCCTGAAACAGAGCTAACAGGCCGTGCAGATTTCTAGGAAGTATCCAGACTAAGACAGGTCCTTTCCATTGCTCAAGGTCTTCACGGAGGTACCCAAGATGGACAGAAGCGTAAAGGGGTAAGGATTAGGAAGAAAGTAACCATGGCCCCCTCCTTGACAGGAGAATACCCAGTAACACAAGTATTATTCTACCCATGCAAACTGAGCTGGCTTGTGAAATAGGTCCAACAGAGTTCCTCCCCTGAGGATCCCATCTGTTCCTTCAGAGCTATGAAAGAATTAGCTCACTAGTGCAAAGCCTCAAGCCATTGTGACCTCTGCACTCAGGCCAGGAACTCCTTCTTGAGCTGGAATTTCTAAAGCACAGTGAGATTTAGCAGCCAAATCCTACTTGGCACAGGCTTGGAGAGCCCAGGAATCCTCCTGGTGGAGCTAACTCACAAGGGTACCAGCACCAGCCTGCCTCAGTGGGCCCTAGAGGAGCAAGTTAAGTGAAAAGCAGGAAGCATCACTGGCCTGCCCTCTGTAGTAAACTAACTTACTTCACTCAGAAAGTGCTCACTCAGAACACTCAGTCTCATCGTGCAGAGGGCACGCCCATGCTCCAAGGTCAGGCAACATCATGAGACGGGGTAGGGCTGGGTTTGGAAGGCAGACTTTGTGCGTCCTTAGCAGCTCTCCTCCATGAGAAAAGCACCCCTCTCCAGGTGCCTCCTCCTGCCCACCCTGACACCCAGGATACACTGCTGCCCGCCCTTCCTGGGGCCGAGACCCACAGGGAGGTCACCGGGAAGGGCTCAGCCCTGCCGGCTCTGCCTGGAAGACCCAGCACAGTGCAGGAAAGGGGAAGAAACACCTTGACCTTCTACCCCAGCACTGCTTTCCTTTCAGAAGGGGCCCCACAGGCTGGGGCTGCTTCTCTGTAAGCTCGAGGTGACCCCATAAGCCCAGGAAACCATCCAGTAAAATGGAAGCGCCTGCCAGGGAATTCACCTTTTATCTTTTAAGGAAATGTAAAGAGATCTCAATAGGGAAGGAGGCAGAAGGGCCTCAGGAGGGACCTGGCCCCAAGGGAAGAGTTTTGTATGGGTGTTAGGCAAGAGCTTGGAAGCCAGGGTGGCCTCTGTTGGGAGAGGGGAGTCAAAGAGCAGGACTTTGAGTCCTTTAGCCCCTCGGCACGTGGGCAATTCCTGACTGCAAGCAGAAGCCCCTCCAAGGCAGGTAATGAAGCAACATAAGTGATTCTCATCTCCATCCAAACAGGGACCGCAAAGGCCAGCCGACGGTCTCCAGGGTATTAACCCTGACCACTGACCTCAATCGAGCACCCACGCTCCGCCTGGAATCAGCAGTAAATCCTGAGTCTTCAGTTTCTCCAGCCGAGTGCACATCCTTCTCAGTCCCCCAGGATGTGGCTAATTGCCTCCTACACCTGCTAACTCCTCACCTTCCCGTCCATTGGGCACTTTCCCCCCATCTCCTGCTGCCCTCCCTGAAGCCTAAAATGAACTGATACTTGGGAGTTGCTCCGAAGGCAACAGGGAGCCAGCTGCTGGTGTGGACCATGCTGGACAGAGACTGCTGGAACAAAGGCTAGCACCGTGACGGGGGCCACACCCTGCCCTCCTACACACCTCCTGTCTCGGCCGAGAATGCACCCACACACACCTGCTACTGCCAGGCTTCTCATTCTCCGGAGCAAAACCAAACCATGTTTCCTATCTCAAACCGCTACACTGGCAACACCTGGAGCATTTTGTCCTCTCTGTTAAAAGCCAACGTCACCCAACCACCACCTTAACCTGGACAGGAGATACTTCAGGTTGACTGATTTCAGATACTATATAAGGCCATCGCTTGACTCCACTGCAGGCCAGTTTCAATCTTGAAATTCTATTTTCTTTACACAAAGTTTGACTTGTTTTCTCAATAGTAAACTAATTTTGTCTTCATAAGCATGCTTAGATGGGAAGGGGCTTGACAAATCCCCTCACGTAAGGGGAAAAACACAAGCCTGCAGCCATTCAGAGCTTTGGCCACAGTCCTGCAATAGAAGGTCAAGGTCAGGGATCTTGACAAGACTCCTGGTCTCATGACTGCCCATTCAGCTGCTGCTGCCAGCTCCTGGCTGCAGGTCAGCCCTTGACAGAAAGACCCCATGGTAATCCGAACCACATTCTCCACCCAAGTCTGGAAGGATGGTCTAAGAAAGCCAGGGTCCTCGTCTTTCCACGGTCTAAGTCTTCTTCCAGTATTCACTCCAGATAGTCCCAATACTTTGAAATATGCACCCATAGAGTAGGTTTCTTTAGTAATGTTTTTATCCATCAGAAGCCATAAAAACTGGTAACTCCTGTGATTTACTGGTAGGCATGAAACACCAGGTTGCTGTCATTGCAGGGGGACACTAGGAAAGCTGCTGACTTAGTCAAAGAGTGCACAGGTGTGACTGATGATGCCCCTGCCATCCAACACCTTGAAACCCCACAGACAGCAGGTAACACAGAACTTCCTGGAAGTGCAAATTAGTAACGCTGATGGACACTTCCGGCGTGCCTGTCATCCTCATTTTTGTAAAGAATGCAGCCGATACAAACACACTAAGCTGTAAGGATGCTCACTTCAGCAATCTCTGACAGTGAAAAACAGGAAATAATTTAAATGTGGTAAATCTGGACGCACCAACATGAAAAGCCGTCTATAATAAAAGAAGTTTTTAAAGGAAATAGCAGAACAGAGTATGTATAGTATGAACGTAAGTTCATACCACAATAAGATTGTTTAAAAGAATTGATCAAACACTCGGCAAAGATGGGAAAGATTATAAGAGATTTTTACTTTTCATTTTCTATATTATTTGACTTTTTCATGAACATGCTCTGTTTCTGTATTTAGGAAAAGGCACACACAGGGACTGGTCCGCTACAGACTTATTCCAAACACTCAAACAATTAAAAGAAACCAAAAAGCCCGTACCCTCCTCACTTCCTGCCTTCATCCTCATCTGGACACCGTAATGTCACTCAGCCAGCACTCCCTCCGGCCCCAGGCCAGCCCCAGAGAGCTCCAGTCCCAACAGTGCTCCTTGGGAGGTTAGGGTTCCCTAAAGTCACTGTCACCCCCTAAGTCCTGATCACTCCCTAGGCTGTATATTAGCCAACACAGATGTAATTAGCAGCAAGGGATAACAGCTGGGCTATTAATAAAGCAAGCACTGGTGTGAACACTAAGCGGCCAAGGAGCCTGAAACAAGGTACATTTTCCACAATATTCAGAATGCGGGGCATCTGGATTCACCAACATGGAAGAGCTGTCCACAACATATTAAGAATGTTTAAAGGACATGGCAGCAGAAGTGAGTACAGTAATGAACCTACTTCCATTGATACAATATACCCAAATAAGATGTCTAAAGCAATCCAAGTTACACATCTCCCAACATAGCAGGGAAAAGGAAACATGTTTTCCTAACCGCGCATTCTCTTGGCTATGGCTGCCACAGTGTCACAGTTTCACAAGGGAAGCAGGGTGCGTGAATGACACTGGGTTTCGGACAACCCAGCATCCTCAGCTGGGGAGAGAAAGCAGCCTGGAGAAGAGGATGGAGCTCCGAAGGAAGAGAGTAGAGCCCAGAGCGCAAATGAGAGTTCAGAAAACACGGAAGACGCTGACTACTGCTTCCTTAATGAAAAGCCCTCAATGCAGAAAAATTAAAAAGTGTTAGGAAGGAAGAGAGGAGGGAGAGATGGATGATACATAGATCTCCACTGGAATGAGAAAAACGGACTGATACGGTTCCAAAGGAAAGGTGCAATCTAAAAGCAAGGAAGGGCAAAAATTAGCACTCCTTGAGGATATTCCAGACTCTCGGGAAGCTCTGCAGCCTACAGCGCTAGGAATATAGATGCAAGGAGACAGGAAGTGAGGCTTCATTCCCTGCAGACCCTCCTGCCGTCTCTATCTGCAAGACCAGCATGGAACTGCTCCCGTGAAACAGTGTACGAAGTGCAAAGGCAAAACTTGTAAGAAACAAAGATGCCAAAGAAACCAGGAGAAGCCAGGACTCATTCCCTTGAGGCCTGTAGGAATAGGAAGGCACTGCTTCCTCCTACCTGCAATCTCTGCAGTGAGCAGCACCCTCCCAGTACTTTGCCCAGCAGATAAAGGAAAACAGAGGAGCAGCCCCAAGCAGTTCTTGTGCTCTGCCACTCTGCCTTACCCCTAACACTGAACTTCCAACATCAATCAAGTCTGCAGATATCCCAAACAGGCAGAAAGGAAATGCTGGGCCAAGCCAAGAGACTAAACCCACGGACAGACAGGTCGCGAAGTCCACTTGTTTAGACAGGAAACTGCGCCTGGAAACCGTGCTCCCCTATCAGGGTATTGCTTGCTCCCACCAAGCAGCAGAGCCTAGAACTACAACTAGAGTCTCAGGATCAAACCTGAAAGACAGCAGCCCCTTCCTCTTTCCCAGAACTCACAACATTTCTTCTCTGACATTCGGAGGTTTGTGGGTTTGGTTTCATAGCTGTTGCTGCTGGGTTCTGTGGAAGATGAGACACTCCCGGACATGGCAGCTCTTCAGGAGGTACCTGGGAGAGAGAGAGAGAGAGAGAAAGAAGAGAATGCAGGGAGGAGGACTTCCTCAAAACACTACGTGCAAGGACCAGTGTGGGGTAAGTGAAAAGAGCCCCAGCCAAGAGTCAAGGCCGCTTACTGCCACCTAATCTAAGGCCGTTGGGAACCCCCTCGCCCTCTGTCTCCTCCCTACTAAGAGCTGCCCTAGACCTTGCGTTCATTCGCTGACCCGAGTTCACATTCAGAGACCCTAGCTCCCCAGTCCCTCCAATAACCCTTGAATAAGGCAGGTTTCGCTACCATCATTATTTCTCCCCATTTTACAGATTGAAAACACGTTGAGTGTTTGTCCACCTTGCTTCCTAATCTCCCATTCTAGTTTTAAGAATCTGGGGAGAATAGTGTTGGCAATTAGGGGTGCAATGGGGGTAGAAATAGATCAAGTCCAAGAAAGTAAGTCCCATCCAAAGGTAAGGCTCAGCCCTGAAGGAAAAATGAGAACGGGAGGGGGTGTCTCATTTTCCTCAAAGGAAAAACTGTAACCGAACCCGAGACAACCCTAGCACGTCACTATTTCTGCTCTGGTGTGCTCATTCTCCCTACTCGTCCCCTGGGAATCAGTCTAAAGAAGGAGCAGGGCGCAGAGGAGGTAAATGACTTCCCCAAGGTTATCCGCACACCGGGCGTACGTCCTGATAGGAACCCGAGCTCACGCCACACCCATTGACCAAGGCGCTGGTGCGGACGCGGGTCCCACTGCCTCAGAGCTCGCTCCGTCCCTCCAGGGACCACACCGATGGATTCTCCACCCGCACCAGCTGTCCTCCGCTCCCTGAAGGTCTCACGCCCGGGCCGCCCTACAGGGCGAGGTAGCAGCGCTCACCCCGCCGACCCAGACCGCCCGGCCGGCGCTGCGCAGCCGTCGCTCACCCTGGGATCTCGCCCGAGAGCCTCCGGGCTGCGGCCCGGCGCTGCCCCAGGAACGCGGCAGCCCGAGCTGACAGCCTACGGCCGGCCTTGCCAGCCAGTTGCTCGTCACGTGGTCCCCGGCCCTGCCCACCGCGCGGCGCTCTCACCTGGGGAGAATCGGCCATCGGCCAATCGCGCACCTGCAGGGCCCAGGGGGCGGGGCTCCGGGCACCTCGCCGACCGGAGGCCGAAGGAGCGAGCCAGGAAGGAGGCCGACCGCCGGGGCCGTCTCCGCGCTGGGCTGGGTCGGCGGCCCCGTTGCCTGGTAACTGATGGGGCTGGGGGCGGGGCTAATAAAAGCCTTGCTTTCCTTTCGTGTTCTCGCGAGAGCACACTGTTGAGTAGCCGTCTGGTGGAGCGTGACTTGGGGGCGAAAAGGTTGCGAGATTAACGGTTGCATTCCGGGATCCCAGCTGGACCTCATTAGATCCATAAACGGAAACGTCAGCTTTGGAAGGTGGGTGTGACCCCTCCACGCGACTGGGGCTGGCGACCCGTGGGTGTCGCCTTCCCTTCCCTGGGTCAGAGCTGTCCCGCAGGCGGCTGTCCAGCTGGAACTGCGAGCTGTCCCGACTCGGCCCCTTCGGCCCGCAGGCTTCTGGGCATTGTCTTCCCGTCCTGCCCAGGCAGTGTCATCTGTTACGGTTATCTCGGAGAACAGGCGGGCAAAACCGCACCAGCAGACAGTGAGTCGTGAAGGTAGGAAAAGATGCAACGATTTCCTGTGATTTTCCGCGGGTGGAGGCTTTTGCGCATTCCAGACGGACAACACTCTTCCCAGGTGCCCAGCAGGACGGCTTGATGATTGGTTCTACTGAGAGCCTCGGGATGTTTGTGTTCCTCCGTCGCCCTTCAGCACAGTGCAGACTCGGAGCTCTCCCCAGCTCCCCGAGTGGACAGCTGCCCGGTGCCTACAATGTCTCTATCCACTTGTAAGCACTGATGGAACGCTTCAGTTGCCAGGCAGGGTCTTGTGTCTAGGGTCACAGGGTCCCCTCCCTGGCCGAGTCGCTTGCCTGGAATGGAAGAGTAGAGGGTCCGGCCCGCCGTGACCTCACCGTGCGCTTTCGGCGTGGCCGGGGCGTCGCCCGGCCCCTGCGCCCCATGAGTCAGGGGTTGATGATCCGGCGTCAGGCTGCAGGCCCCGGTCGCCCCACAGCCCTTGACTCACTGGCCACCTTGGCATCGCTCGCGCGGTGACCTCTGACGATGCCCGCGGCGTGGTCGGGACGCCCTGCCGGAGGACTCCGACCCGAGTCCCAGGTTGCATTCCAGGCTGCCTGGCTCACTTCCCCACCCCTTCCCCCGAGCATATATGCTGCCGACGCTGAGGCCCCGCACTCGCTGTACCTCTACAGGTGGCGAGAGCAGCTGCTCTGGAGGAATGCCCAACAACCTTTAACCTCGGGCTCCTGAGAGCGGGAGGAAATAGCAGCTGTCTCTTTAAGACAGTTGGCGCTTTCAAAGCACCGTAGGAAGACGCCAGACAAAAGTATCGCGAGAGTTGTAGCCCCTCCGGCAGCCTCTCGCGATGTTTGGCCCCTCCAAGGGTGGCCATTTTGGAGTCCGGCCCCCGGCGGGCTGCCCCGGCCGCGTCTCCCAACCTGGTGTGGGCACCAAAGCTGGCCCCACCGGCGTCTGGGCTGCGGGCAGCCGGGCCGACACGATGTGGCGGCTCCGCTGCAAGGCCAAGGATGGCACCCATGTTTTGCAGGGGCTGTCCAGCCGGACCCGGCTGCGGGAACTGCAGGGCCAAATTGCAGCCATCACCGGGATCGCTCCCCGCGGCCAGCGAATCCTCGTCGGATTCCCGCCTGAGTGCCTGGATCTCAGCAGCGGGGAGACCGTCCTGGGGGACCTGCCCATCCAGTCAGGTACGGGAAGCGGGGCCGGGGCCGGAGCCTGGGAGGCGAGGCCGTGGAGGGGCGAACAGAGACCCGGTCCGGGCAAGTTGGCTGTGGGCAAGGGGGGTGCTCTGGGGACCGGGTTGAGGCGGACCGAGCACCGACAGAGGCCAAGCCAGTGTCTACCGACTCCTTGTCCTACCCAAGGTGGACAGAAAGAAAAGCCCAAGGCCTGGGAGACTCCTCTCCCCAACTTGCTTTCAGACCAACCTTAAAACTATCGCGTTCATTTTGTTTTCACTACATACCCAAAAGTACACGAATGTAGAACCTATTTTTTTCTGCTCCGGTGGTCTTTATCATTAAACAGCAGATCTGACGGGTGCAGAACATTTTTTGTTTCCTTTCTTGATTTCGACTTTGTAGGATCCTTCTTATATACTCAGTTTGACAGATATATTCATTTTCGAGTTAGTTTTTAAACGTTCACTAGAAGTTCTTTCAAGTTGTAGTCAACAGCAGTTATTTCTGCCCAGTACTAGAACTTGAACATCAAAGTTAATAATTAAAAGCTTTTTGTTGTTGGGGCAAGGACCCTGTAAACACTACATTGGTTAGACTTGTTAAGTTTCAGGAGGAGGAGAACCCCCTAGTGGCCTACTCCATGGTGAACACCTTCTGGAAGATTTGTGCTTTTAAATGCAGAGAACGTATAAGGAAATTTGGCTTTTGAAATGTATCATGTTCAGTAAGAATAAAGCTGTGTGCCCGAGGCCTCTCACTAAATTGGGAAGCAACCTGAAGTGTTCTGTTCTTTGTACTGTTTTCATCTTTAGGGAGATTCAGGGAACAAAAAAAAGTCATTAGTCACTTGCTTACAAAGTTGTATTCTCCTTGGTAACCCTACTTTAGGTGCTAACTCCTTCCCATTGTAGTTGATGAACTTGGCTAGTGAACTCCTAATTTCATCTATCATTTCTTTGCAGTTCTGGATTTGTTTTATTTTTAACAGGTGACATGCTAATCGTTGAAGAAGACCAAACCAGACCCCAGACTTCATCTGCATTTACAAATCGTGGTGCTCCTAGTTCCGTCAGGGAACCTTTGCCTGTGCTTGCCAGAACCGTGGTCCCAGCAGACAACTCTTGTCTCTTTACCAGTGTGTACTATGTCGTTGAAGGCGGAGTCTTGAATCCAGCTTGTGCCCCAGAGATGAGACGCCTCATAGCACAGATTGTAGCAAGTGATCCAGACTTCTATAGTGAGGCAATACTGGGGAAAACGAATCAAGAGTACTGTGACTGGATCAAAAGGGATGATACTTGGGGGGGAGCAATTGAGATATCGATTTTGTCTAAGTTTTATCAGTGTGAAATTTGTGTGGTAGATACGCAGACAGTGAGAATTGATCGTTTTGGGGAAGATGCAGGATATTCCAAAAGGGTTCTGCTTATCTATGATGGCATCCACTATGATCCACTTCAGCGGAACTTTCCTGATCCCGATACCCCTCCACTGACCATTTTCTCCTCTAATGATGATATTGTTCTTGTACAAGCACTGGAATTAGCAGATGAAGCTAGAAGAAAGAGACAGTTTACTGATGTAAACCGCTTCACCCTGAGATGCATGGTGTGTCAGAAGGGATTAACTGGACAAGCAGAAGCAAGGGAGCATGCCAAGGAGACAGGCCACACCAACTTCGGAGAAGTGTGATCTATGCACGATGAGGGTTGAAGCCTACTACCTCACAGATCCAGAAGGCTCTGGGTTTCCCAATAAGCTATTCGTAACCCTAAAATACAAGAGGACACAATGCTTGAACCATTCTTTTGACTTAAACCACTAAGACACTGAAATTCCTTGTTAAGATTAACATTAGTGTGCAAGTTTACAGATGTGTCTGCAGTGGCAATGCGTGCCATCTTTCTGCTGGGGTGACAGAATACCTGGTCCTTGCCACCTACTGACACTAACATGAAGATTGGATTTTAGTATTATAAACTAGCACCTAGCAGCTTTAACCTGTAGAAGAAAACATTTTGGGTAATGTGGAAGGCTGCATGTGAAGCCACTGGACATGTACCACGGTGTCTCCAGTGATGATTCCTTTTAATAACTCTTGAGTGAGTCAGTAACATCTAAATAGATCAGTTCATTAAAAGAAGATACCAGAATTGTCGACACTGATTTTCTATTGTAATTTGGTAGACCTTATAAGTGTGTACTTAACCACTTCTAAGTGCACAGCCAGCAGTTTTTACAGGGATGTGTTTATTCCTGAGCATGTTACCTAAAACGGCCCGATAGGTGCTGTTTAAGACGAGTGTACACAAGTAGAATGTACAAGGAAAAGGTGCCTGAAGCAGCTCACTGCAGCTTTAAAAGACCCCTGGCCTCATGTTTTAATGCTGTTCATGTATTGGTCTTTGTCACATTTGGATACAATTTTTAAATTAAGCAGGGTATGCTTTTTTTAATTGACGTTCCTTGACATTTGAGCACTCAGTTTTTGCTTTTTTACATACAGGTTTTTCTGGAGGGATTTAATGTCCCCAGCTTTTTGTTAAGAGTACTCCCTTCAAAAACCGTCTTCGTGTAAAGTGATAAAGCTATGCTTTGGTTTTTGTAAGCACTGTTGCATATCTAAATGGTATTTGTCTTTCTGCTGGCTGCATCCTGCTACTAATGCTCTTTTCAACATTCCACATTTCTGCAAGTTAGCACTTTGCTTACCTTCGATCTTTGACTTTTCAACAGTATTAAAGTAACTGATGTCATTTATTTCACTTCCAAAATATGAAAGTTTTTAAATCCTTGCCTTATTCAGCTTTCCCAGAATTCCGCTTCTTCCTAATGTCAGAGTGTAGCCATCTGCTTAGTGTACTGATCCTCAAGATACCCTCTAAAACTTAGCTTCACTACAAGATCTTCCAGATAAAGTTTTCTACCTCTTACTTCTTCTGAAGATCAGGGATGCTAAATTATAATTTGTTATGTATTATCTCACAATGTGAAGAAGCTTAATTTTGTGAAGTTTTGTTATCTTGGTCTCATTTCTGATTAAGTATCTCACTTAGAAAACCAATGGTATACTTTAAAGCACTTATAGCTCTATGTATCTTCTTGGCACATGTTTTAAAATTGAGATTGTTCTCTTGTTGAAGGCTGTAAAACTAAGGAGTTTTAAAGTGAACAATGTAGGAGAAAAGTTCCTTTCAGGAAAAACTTACAAAGTATGCTTCAAATCATCGAGTGACATTTTTTAAGTACCTTTTATGTACCTACCTGTTTTAGGCATTATAAGTTATGGTCAGTATAAGTTGAAAGTATTTTTCTTTTTTACTGAGCCTTAAAAATAGCACTTGTAAGCTTACAATACTTAATGTTTGGCAATCATGATAGGTACTAGTGAGTATGATAGGAAAATCTCTTTGTACTGTCTGTCATCTGATTCTAGATAGTTTTTGTATCTTATTTCCCCAGAAAATAGAAAATTTAAAACTATAAATTAAGAAAAGTACTACTGGGTCCCAGCACTCAGCAGGCTGAGACAGGAGAATTGCCGTGAGGTTGAGGGTGGCCTGAGCTACCTAGTGAGACCCTGACTCAAAAAAAAGAGTGCCACTGGGTGACATCAAATTGAGCTTTATGCATCATGGTTCCTAAAGCTTGTCTTCCTTTCTTTGTCACGTCAGGAGCCAAATTTGACATTTACTTGATCTTTATATCTAGAAGTTTATTCACACAGCAAGTATTTATTGAGTAACTTGTAATGTGCCAGGCATTTTTTTGTTGTTTCCACAATGTAAATTCCTGTCACTTTAAAATTGAGTATATAGTATCTACAATGGATTAATTTAACAAATGGAAAGAAGTAGAACACTGATACTTTTCAAAATTGACCCCCTTCGTATTAAATGTTTTGCTTACATATTGTTAAATATTCAGGGGATCTTACTGTATCGTTCCTAGGCATTCAGGTGGACAGTGATAGTCATATTACTTTCAAAAATGACTTTTTAAATTAATCATTTGCTGAAATTCAGCACTGATGGAAAATTCAAGATGAAGCATCAGTTGCAGATCACTGAATTATTAAAGACTAATAAACTCATCTTATGTTCATTGTAGACTAAAGCTTGTAAGTCTCACAGATTTAAAGGTGTTATTTTTATGACCTTATTAAACTCTTGAAATTAATTATTAATGTGAGTAAATTCTCATCGTGGGAAGTTTGAAAAGTGTGGGTTTGGTGCTTGCAGCAGGACTAAAGAAAACTGTCCTAAGTTTACCCTGGAGTAGAATGAAACTTCTTCCTGGTCGTGCAGTTTTGTCCTTTCATTCGAGACTTATTCTTTAATTAAAGTGAGGACAGTTCACATTAGTAGCAGAATGAATAAAGGTTGTGCTTTATTCTAGCTGGCTCCCCACTCTGGGAGGATGAAGCTGGAAGATGTCAAGTTTCAGCTGCCCTGGGCTACTTAGCAAGACTGTCTCAAAAAATAAAACCCAGGCTGGGGATGTAGCTCACAGTGAAGGCCCAGGGTTCAACTACCAGTACTGCTTAAACAAAAAAGCACGGAAAATCGTGCTTTCCCATCCCAGCCCTCCTCCTATCTACAGATTAAAGATGAGCTGTAATGCTATGAATACGCACACCTGGGTGGGGTGACTAATGTCCTTCCTCAGGAGTGATGTGCCAGCCTTGTGAAGACATCAGGGTGTTACACATTCTGCTCGTGGTCCGTCGTTGGTGTCTTAGCTTTTGAAGCTTGGCTGCTGGTCAGCTTGACTGTTAAGAACCAATGTTGTCATGCTATTTGAGTGTTCTGTGAAGTTCAAGTCCCAGCAAAATCATGATCAGGAATGAATGAACAGTATCTATCTATGCCTCTAAGTGCCCATTCCTAACTTGCTCATCTAGCTTATTCCTTCTGTCTCATGTAGGAATTAAAACTTGGGTGTTGCCCCAGCTAAAAATAGTTCTGTATGTCTTTTTGAAAAAAATCACAATGGAGAGTATGTAAGATTAAGCAACAGAGTGACTTTTTTTTAGTTGTGATAAATCAGGTGGCCTTCTTAAACTTACATATGTTAAATGTTCTTCATGTGATGAGACATTTATTTGCAGCACTTTAAAAAGTATGAAATAGCTTTCATGATTTGGCCTTTAGGAATCTTGTTAAGGATGTTAAAACACAATTCTTGAGCTGCTAACCATCAGCTCTTAATCAGCTTTCGCCATCAGTGTTTAGTGGTACAATATTTTGATGTTTTGATAACCGTAGAATTCAGTTTCAGCAACTGAAAGCATAATCTGACCCCAGGGTCAAAAGTGTCACTTAGTCCTATAATGTGATTGTCTTTTATCATTTGCTGTACATTGCAGTATTCAAATTTGTCCTTGTAGCACAAAGATGAGTAATAATCGCTGAAAGATTAGATTCTTAAAAGTTTTTTCATTTGTTTCTAAATGAACTTATTTTGAGGAAGCTGATTTTTGAGTCAGAGGCCTTCAGTGTATCCTGTATAAGCAACATAAGTCTAAAGTGAAACATTTCATTTGAATAACCTAGTTTATTAACTAAGTATGTTTTCTTATTAAGCATTATACTATTTCAGCATGGTTTATCCAACACAAAAAGAATATAGAACTTTCTGGTCGTGGGGAGTGTTCTGTTTTTCTTCCCCAAAAATGAGCTAGCGTTTTGTTTACACTGCTTTCAGTATTTGACTTGGATGAAACCATTACCTTGATCTGAATTGTGTCTTGATTTCCATGCATTTAAAGGAGGTTGATAACCTCCCGAGGTATTTTAGAGTAGAAGAAAGGAGGAGTAGGAAGATTAAGTAGCACTAAAAAGGAAGAGATTGTCGAATGGATACATTCCTACTCATAAACTGCTTTTCTCAACAATTTTCAACCAATGCCTTTTTAGTCACCCTAACCCTTTTCCTTTGTTTCTTGACACAGAATATAACAGACCCTTAGGTGAGAAAGCTTGTTAAAGACCATGAGTATAAGCATTTTGCTGTGATGCCCTTTAATATATCTGTTTTCAGAGCAGCTAACCTATGTGTAGGAGTTTAGGAATGGTGGAAGTGGGATTTACTTATATTATAAAGTAAGCAGCTTAACCTCAGAAAGGTTTAGAATTTCTACTAGATTGCTTGAGTCTGACTTTCTAAGTTTATAGTTAATTATAACCCTTAAGTAACTTAAAGCAGGGGTCCCCAGCCCCCCAGGCCACGGACTGGTACCAGCCCATGACCTGTTAGGAACTGGGTCTCACAGCAGAGGATGCGAGCAAAGCGCTGTCTGTAGTTATACCCACTCCTGGGTGTTGCCCTGAGCTCCGCTTCCTGCCAGGTCAGCCGAAGATTAGAATCTCTTAGGAGCATGAGCCCTATTCTGTGAACGGTGCATGTGAGGGGTCTGGGTTGTGCGCTCCTTTGAATCAACCCCAACACCATCTCCATTCCCCCAGTCCACAGAAAAATTGCCTTCCGTGAAACGGCACTGGTGCCAACAGGGTTGGAGACCACTGACCAAAAGGACCACAGAACCCAATTCTCAGTTGTCCAGTTCACATTATTGCCATTCAGTCCTTGAGTTGTTTACAGGAAATACATACTTAGCAAAGAAATTTTTTTCCTTTAAGAAATCCAAACTCAGCTTAAAATGCCTGTCACAAAGGAGAATAATGATAGTCTTTTGTACCTGCAGTAGTGCAACAGAAGCTGAGGCTCCTGAACAAAGAAAACCACAAGCAAAAACTCAAATTTAGGGCTTTCAAACATAACTTGAAAAAGCAGTATGGAAGAGCAAAACAGAACAAAGTTGTTTTTCTTGGCACAAAAAAATTCTTAGTAATGATGGACAGGGTTTTGAAAATGTTCCTTTGTTTACCAGCATTTTTTTCAAAGCTAATGCACTGCTGCTACCTGGAAGAGGTCTGATTTCATTTTGTGTAATTCCTGATTTTGCCATTGTCATTAAGCTGCATTGATTTTATTTATGAGGTGTATGATTTTAAATAACTAAATGCTGTATGGAGTGACTTGTTTTAAAAGAATAAATGAAGTGAAAACATTGGTGTTTGGACATCTTTTGGGATCATGGCAGAGGGCCAGTGAATAGCTACTAACTCATGTAAGTGGAATCAGACCACGGCTTCGACTTGGGTACCAAGTTCTGCCAAATCTCACCAGGTAGGAGGCCTCATGAGTTAAACCAGAAAAGGTATTTCTCCTTTTTAACACTAGAGGGCATTTGAAATTTCCCTTTGCTAGATTTTCTTCTAGCTCCTGGAAGTTAATTCAGTATCCTTTGCTGATAAACTGTCAAAGGGGAAGGATGAATGTGCCTCTTCATGTTTAGTACACAGATCTGTGAACCTGTATCTGAAAACACTGACATCTTTGTGGAAGAATTTCTTTCATCTTTGACTGTCAGCGTTTGAACACTTACTGGAACAGCACTGAATTGGTCACAGTTCAGGCCGGGGACAGTGAACCTCTTAAGAGACCGAGTGCCAAACTGCAACCCAAACCCATTTATGTATCACAGTGCCGACACTGCAGTTAAGCCTGCATACTGAGGTTTTAGTTTAGAAAAACTACATTAATATCTTTTAATGCCTGTGCCATAGGTTCGCACTACTGGTTTAGACTAATTGATCTCGTTACCCTTTTTTCTCATTGAAAGTTTTAAAAGTAAGGGAGTGGAGCCATAATAATGCAATCAGTATACATACCAGGGCAAAATACGTCTCGGGGTCAGCATGAATCCCACACGAGCCAAGCCTCATATTTTAAAAGGGATAATGGCTGGGGATGTAGCTCAGTGGCGCTGCACCTGCCAGGCAGGCACCAAGTCCTGAGTTCGATCCCCGGCACTGAAAAAAAAAATTTTTTTTTAATTTTCTTAAGGTTGTAATGGTCTCCGCTGTGGATAGTAGCTTGAACAGTTAACTATGCTCATAAAACGGTACTTCTCAAAGTGGGTCATCATCTTAGGGCACTGGTTAGAAATGAAAATTCACAGAAATTGGTAAGGCCTAACAATTGGTTTTCAATCACTGATCAACTTGAAGAGACTTCCCATGGCTTACGTCAGTCCCATGTCCTTGGTGCACATCATTGTCATCCCTGAACCCAAGACAGTAAAATACACAATGTGAATCTGGAGAAGATGGTACCGCAGTCAATAGTAATTCAGAAACCTCCTCAGCAGGCTCTGGCTTCTCATAAATATGAAGTCCTGCCCTTTAGTTTGAAAATAGTCTTATGTGAATCCAAAATGGGAACCTGGTTTTATAGTTGATTTGATGGGATGTAGGAGGAAATACCTGGTTAAAATTCTGATGACAGGGCTGGGGATGTAGCTCAGTGGTTCCGCTGCCTGCCTCGCAAGCACAAGGACCTGAGTTCAATCCCCGGTACCAAAAAAAAAAAAAATCTGATGACAACAGAGTGATACTTGAAGAAATACCTGCATCTTAAGATTGGAAAAGGGGCAGCAGTAATGTTAATGTTGGTAATGTTACACTGGGGAGTTGGATGAAATACATGGTGAAAAATGAATTTTTGACAGCTGTTATATATGAAGTCAGAAGAAACGAGAAAAGGTATTAAGTTGACATAGTAGCTAGTAACTTCAAATTTAGGGAAATGAGTGAAATAGGAATTAGATTTATTCTCTGAGGCTCTATAGAGAAAAGAACTCAATCCCATAAATACCCCACAGTAAAACGACCATAAGAACCTAATAATGGAAAAGGACAGATGCTTTGATAGTCTTTTTTAAACCCGAATTGTAATCTCCATTGTGAAAAACAGCACTACAATTCATTAGGTTTCTGCCATTTTGAAAAATCTATTTTAAATTCTAGTTATGAAGTGACAATTATAAAAAACTGCCCTCCACCCTTTCAGCTGCTAGCTATGAAATGATAATTACAAAAAAGAAAAAAAAATCACATTTTCTCACTCCTGTTTGCCATCCCATTAGAGTCTTGTGCTCTTAGTTATACGGTGAAGACCACAAAGCAAAAGTCCCATTTTTGTCATACACTCACTGTAAAGTAAAGATCTATGTTACATCTCTAAGCCCACAGTGAGTCAGGAATAGAAAAGCAGGCATCACAATGTATTTTCTATTTTAAACTTTCGTTCTGGTTTGAATTTTCTTTGTCTCTAAAGATT